GGTCAGCCAACCCAGAGTGTAAGTGTCCTCGCACCAAGTTTTGAGGACACCATCCGAGAAATGGGCCTTACCCCGGAACCTGATGTCGTTGGGCTCGGTAGTTAGGGTAGCATCAAGATCCGCCAGGAGCTCATCTTGAATTTTACCCTCGATTTGTAGGCGGATGTTATCCGCCTGTTCTTGTGTCATATCCACGAAAGGCTCAGTCATCACGGCAACACAAAGCTCGTTAGCTTTGTATGATGCTGCCGCTTCCGCGTAACTGGCCGAGGTCCCTGCCACTGTCTGGGGTTTGTTTGGTTTGACCCTTTTACTTTCCCCAGTCGGTGTTACGGTCTCCTCTGGCCGGTCGCGCTTCTGGCCCTTCGTGGATTGGTTTGTTTTGGAACTCTTAAGTCCCTTGCCGCACCCAGAGCAGCTAGGCACGGGCGCAGCAGTGGATCTTTTAGGCTTCGGTGTCCTTTTCCCGCCTCTCTCAACTGTGGTTACAGCGGGGGCAGTTCCAGGTTTCACAGGTGGCCTCGGAGCGCCGGTGACCAGCTTCTGCTGTTCCGGCGCCCTTAAGGCTCTCCTGTGCCGTCGCCTTTTAGAGTTGCTCACGACCATTTTGAAAGTCGGCTCCTGAATTAGTGCACTGGACGTGCCCTCCGTCGCAGCCTCGGTCTGCCGCATCGTTCTTGCCGCGGAAGCACCCCCTTCAGACGCAGACAGTGCTGTATCATCGTCCGGAGTTGCTATCTTTGGCTCGACCGACGCAGTCAACCTGGCCGCAGCAGTGGTCACATCCTTGTGCGGTGGTATAAGGGATTCCATCGGATTGGGTACGGGCCGGAGTGCAGCCCGGATTGGTGCAACCCCAGCCGCTGCCCTCTCCTTTGGGGTCCCGGACGCTGCCCGTGAGGGTGCATCCGTGTGTGTGACAGGGGCATCAGAGTATCGCGCCACTGGTGACTTGCACCGCGACACGTCCAAAGACGCAACCCTGGGTTTGTTGGTGTTAGTGATAGTTTTATTAAGTTTTTTTGCCTCTTTATCCATGAGGTGATATGGTTTGAATTCACCATTGGAGCTCTCCACCCGCCACGGAGCCCTCACGTCGGGGACGTCCCTTGCTCAGCAAGCGACGTCAGAGCTACTCCTCCGGTATAGAGCCAGCACGTAGGGAGGCAGACGCATCCGCACGCAGCAAGGAAGTACGGAGCTGTTCACGCCACGAGACTATGACGCAAACTCACCCCGAGTCCCGTACCGCGCCGACGGCCCCCCCCCCACATCCCGACTCTCGCTCGGCAGCCCGCTTATGGGATGCCACAGCCGGTTGACCGTGGTTAGCTAAACCCCGGCCTCCCGTGTGAGGAGAAATCCAGACCAAAGAGGTGTGTTGTGTGCAGCGCACAACTGTTCCGGCGCACTACTCCACTCAACCCCCAGGATTCCTTCATCCCCCCGTACGGGTCCCCGCGCACGGCACAAACACGCGGGAGGTCATTTACTGTCCACCGTCCTTCCTTTTTGGACGATGAACTCGCAAGGACATGACCTCTCCATCCCTGCAATGGTTCGCTTGGCGGTTTTAGTTACGTCTAATACATAGGGTATTAGACCAAGAACAGGGTCGGCAACCTCGAGAAGGTTAGTCCACCAAACTTGCTTTGAGGGGATCATAGCGACTTGCGCTACCCCCAAAAGCCACGCCTCCCTACCCATCAGAAGGATGTGGTAGGGTGGGTTTGCACCTATGCTACCATGCAAGCATGTCGTACTGGGAACCGTAGAAGCATAGACCCAAACCCCCCCCAAAGAATTAGATGATATATTATTCAAAAACTTTACTAGAATGTCACGAACAGACTTTGAATTACTTTTGAATAAAGTTAGCCCATTAATTAAGAAACAGACGACCAACATGAGAGAACCAATTTCTGCATCAACAAAACTTGCTTTAACCCTTCGATTTCTGGCAACTGGAGATTCATACAAAAGTTTTAATGTATCTGTTTAGAATTTCTGATAGTTGTATTGCACTATTTGTACCTACTGCATGCAGAGCTATTGCAGAAGTTCTTCGAGAATATATAAAGGTAAGTTATTTTAATTTAAAAGTGAGGATATTTAATTTAAAAATAATTGTATTAATCAACCTTTTTATTTATTTAAATTCACAATTAAGTAGATTTTTAATTCAAATAAATCAATCAGTAGTAATGTACTCCACGGCATTAGTATTTCAAAATGCAGTCAAAACAAAAAAAAAAAAATATAATGTTACGAGGAAACAGTTCAGTTTCATTTCCAATGTTTACGCTGAATGCTAGTTAATTAGCGCACTGAAATTATTACGGACATTTCCTCGGCTTTGCAAAATTCCAAATGAATCAATTAAAAAATACGACATAAAATAATCAAGCTGTTGGCTATGTTTGACTAGACGGTAAAAAAAAAAGGAACACCGTTTTGTGAACTAAAACAGAATGAAGTTGTAATTTATAAATAATTATAAAATATATTATTTAATTATTTATAAATTACAACTTAACTTAAATTTTATTTTAATTTATTATTTTTAAGTTATTTATAACACAACAAACAGAGGCTGACTACGCGCTGGACTCTTGCCGCGCGCTATCCTACTTCCACCCGACCTCTCGCTCTCCCCACAAGCAAGACGGCAAGCCGCAAAACAAACAAGTGCGAATGAGATATATACAAAAATTGCTAGGAATTTCCAAGTCCATTGGAAATTCGTCAATTCGTATCTGCGACATTGAGCGATATGAAATATCTGGAGCAATTAGAAGCAATATCGCCGAAATAATTTATTGAAATTTATTGAAATTGCTCCATTAATTGCTCCAGATCGGTCCATTCGTGTTGCCGAGCAATTATTGCCCTTGTGTAAGCGCACCATTAAAAGTAGAGTTGAAGACCCGGGGCGGTTCTTTAAAAGGTGGAAAGGCAGATCTTGTCACGAAGTATAATAATATAATCACATTGGATATTTTTCAAAATTCATTGAAAATTTTCTATGAGGATAGAGATGAAGAATTTTATCAATCATATGTTAAAAGTATTGATCAAATTTTATGTGGGATATTTTAAAAAGGCTTACTTAATAAATATATTTATAAGAATTACTAAGAAACAATAAAACCCACTAATTACTTTGGACTTTTATTTAAAATTCCTTCTTTAAAATTAGCATAACACAATTGAATCCACGGTCAGCCATTATTGCATCTTTTTCATGAATAACAGCCAAAAAGTAACTTCTTTCAGTTATTTGACATTCACCGGTAGAGCCTGCATATCCATCTGAACAAAACTATACGAGATGATCTAAACAAACTCCACCATATGTAGCGCCCACCAATAATTTTATAGTGTTGTGGGTGTTTGTAGCTACTAAATGATGTTTGTTGCGCTGTAGGGTTTTTTGATTTTGATATGGGTATTTCAGTACCATCTATTATCACTCTGGTAGCTGGATGATCTTAAATAAACCTGGCATATAATAATCAACCAGTGAGCGACTATTAGCCTAGTCGCTATAACTATTTTTTCCATAATTCATAAACAAAATTTACCCATGTAACAAATATATGCCCAACAGCAGTAGTACTAATGCCAAAAAATTTGGCCATCTCAAAATCAGGTTTATTTATTATTAATTTAACTAACATCAAAAGAAATTGATCCAATCCAATAATGTTAATGACTTGGCTGACCCTATAATTTGATTATTACGATACTTGCTGCGGTAGTGGGTTTTTTCCATGCGAAAACAATTGGGATTGCTATCTTTTTCAGATATCTATGAACTTGAGGTAAACCTAAAATGAATGCATAATAATTAGTAGGTACTTATTACATACCTTAGTACCTATACGGTATACCATATACATCATAATTCAAAAGTAGTTTATGCAAACCTGTAGAGGAGCTTACACCATTATAATCGGATTCAATAAAATGTTGGGGAAATTGAAAACCACCCATGCGATTAATATAGGAAATGGCTGTTGTATTATCAATTCGCAGGAGAATTTGGAAATTTCGGTATGATTTAGCAAAAAATTTCAACCCAAAAAATGCAGCAAGCAATTCTAGATAATTAATGTGATATGAGCGTTCTAAATGAGACCACATTCCACTCGCTCGTTCCTCCAGACATTCTACGCCGCACCCCATAGTTGAGGAATCACTATAAATTTGTAACCAAAAGTCAATTTGTTTAATTTTATTTATAGGTTGGTCTAACGCACGATACCACCATTGTAAGTCCGGTAAAACTGTCGATGGTATGTTCATGTAATTGTTGTAGTTATCGCCATGTAATAGGTTTAAATATTTACATCTCTTTAGATCCTTTGTGTAAAGCCAGCCATATTCTACTGCTTGACAGGCAAAGGTAAGTAAGCCAACTAATCGTGAGAAATCTCTTATCTTACAACGTGAGAATGTGCAACAGTTCGTCATCTAATTCAGCGACAAGTGGTTGTTGTGGCTCCAATCTCGGCGGCGCGGGCGGCGCGGCCGTGCGTTACCCGTTAATAGGATTTAAGGTTTTATTTATATTAAAGAAATACAATGTTTTTCTGTAAGACATTTTTTTAATCAAACTATATTCTTCTTATAACAAGTTTGTTGCCAAGGCAACTTCTTGTATGCCAGTATATACATACTTCACAGTTATGTTATATGTACACCTACCTTCGTTCGAGGGCACATCTGGAATAGCAAGATAAATGCTACATTACAACTGGATATACCGATGTATACAGATCTGCACAGGTGAGTACCGATAGTAGGTATATTAAGTAAAGTGATAACCCCAGAGGCGACCCGCATTACTAAATTTATCCGCAAAGCTTCAATTCTGTCTAGAGGGGGGCGAGTGCCATCTTTAGAAATCAGGAAACCTAAAAAACTTACCTCCTTGGTTCCAAGTATGCACTTCGATGTATTAACGACGACGCCATATTCTGAGAATCTGGGGAACAATGAGCGAAGGTGCTCAGCATGCTCCTCAGGAGTTTTGGAAAAGACCAAAACGTTATCAATGTAAGCGTAACAGAAATTAAAACCTCGCACAACTTCGTCCATAAAACGCTGAAAACACTGGCCAGTATTCCGTAGACCAAATGTCATAAAAGGGAACTCGAACATTCCAAAAGGAGTAGTAATCGCTATTTTGCAGATATCACCCTCACGAACGGGAATTTGCTGGTAAGCCTTGACCAAATCGATTTTGCTGAAAATAGACGATCCTACGAGGTTCTGACTAAAATTAGCAATGTGGCGGACCGGATAGCGGTGTTAATGCACGATAATCGCCACAAGGTCGCCACCCGTCCTGCCCTTTTCGCGCCATGTGAAGTGGTGACGCCCAGGGGCTGTTTGAAGGTCAAGCTGTACCACAGGATACCATTTCCTTGAACTCTTTCTTAGCCGCTAAGAGTTTTTGCGGTGCAAGTCTTCGTGGTCGACACGAAACCGGGGGGCCCTCGGTGGTGACTATATGATGCTGTGTGGAATCAGTCTTGGAAGTCCAGGAAGACGAGTAATATCCGGAAACTCCTGCGGGATCGTACTAAATGGTGATTTAGCGACAATTGTCTTGATACTCGCCTGGTCCACCTGAGAGATAGTAGCAGGTGCTGTTAGAGTAGTACTACCATCTAGAATGCGGCGGTTGTGGCAATCTGGCATAAGGTTGTAGTGCGCTAAAAATCGGAACCAATAATCGGCGTGCTCACATCCGCAATGACAAAATGCCAAATAAAGTCCCGGCGTAAACCTAAATTTAATCGCATGGGAGAGGTACCGTAAGTTTTAATTGCACTCCCATTGGCGGCGCGTACATCAAAGTTCGTGAAGCTATAGTTACTCTTGAGTAAACTGCGCGGGAAACAACTAATGTCTGAGACAGTATCAATTAAAAATCGATGTCTTGGCCTGGAATCAACCACGAAGAGTCGGCGGCCGTGGACTGTACAATCAGATGCCGCCTCAACTGATTGCTCTGTCCGTTTCCCTGGTTGTTCCCAGTGGTCCAAGAGCATGGAGCAATACATTTACTGGCCTTTTCGGAAAACCTTCCATGATACCAACATAGGTATTTGGTACCATAGTTCGTCTATGTGCCATAATATAAAAAAAAGTAGAAACACCAAATGAACCATAGAGTATAACTTATAATTTGTATCGAATAGAACCTGTGGAATAAAACTAAAAATAGAAAGTAGGTACTTAAAAGATATTGATTTTAGGATACAAGAAGTATCCATAATTTATAGATGCAGTTCTTGATATTTGCGTGGAATAAGTGGATACTGTTCTCATCTTCTTCAGAATTCTTCAGAAGTGTCTTAATAGAAATTTTGTCGTTTTTGGTGATTTGAATATTGAGTTTAAAATGTTTAAATTAATTTGGCAGTGCTTGTACTCTCCTCGTCTTTATAAAATTTATGGAGACGGCGAAAAGGATGTAAGTAACTGGTCATATTATTATGGAATCCCATTATGATAATTAAGTTGAAATATATCTTAACGAATAAATGGCTAAATTAAATACTTGGTCTAAAGCAATTTAAAATTAAGCCTAAAACGAACGAATCTTCACCTTTTTATTAAAAAAAAATTCCAGCATTATACGCATATGCAATTTTATAACATTCACCCGAGTCCTAATTTTGACAACAATAAGCCACATCGTGGTAATCATAGTTATAAATTAAAAGTTGGCTAGGAGCTAACTGCTTATGCCCAAGTTTTGTTTCAATTAATCTGAAAAAAGTAAAACCCCATAATTAAAATTGATGTCACACAATTTTCAAAAGTGTTGATATGACTTGTAGAGAATATATTATTATAACTTAAGTGCTATACTGCAGCAATAAATTATTTGTTATTGTACTTAATTTACCTAATATCATGGATCTAAATGCATCTAGAGATCAGTACCATTGACTCTATTTGACCTCACTTTTAAACCATAGACATTTATAACCTCCGTTTTCTTTTCTACTCGTTTTTCTGACACAGAACCTAAACAAGAACAAGTACCATATTAAAGCAAAGTCAACTTTTAAAGGAAAAGATCTCTACTTTACATTGTTGGTAAAGAAGAGCTAAAGTAGAAACTAATGAATTTGCTTTTTTGAAGCAGAACTAATAGTAGCATATTATTTGTTAAAGCTAAGCATTTTCTCATGCACATTTAACAATTTTTTTTACAAAGACACATACAATACAGGTGTATCCGGTAACATTGATATAGGGTACGAGATAGCTAACCTCTTTCCAACTCCATCATACCGAACAACACACATTGGTGATAATATTTAAATTCAAAGAGAAAAACAATTTAATGTGGTTGAATTTGTTTTTGTATAGATTTTTAAATAAATTTTGGTATATGTGTAGCATAGAAACTCATTGTATAGGCAAAGTAATATGTAAACCAATGAATGCACTTTATAACCATACAATAAATTTAAATTGAAAATATTTTGTTTATACAGGCTATGTACCAACCAAAACGTTTGGAAAAGTATGGAGATAAAATTATTACAATTGTAAGTTTAAGAAAGTGTATTTAAAAAATTTGTTGTATTGTTAGAAAACATATTTAATAATATTTCAAAATTTTTACAGGCACAGAATATAATCACTATTGTCAGCTATGCTTCTCCATTTATATGCACTTATATTTATAGAAGAGGTTTCTTTTCATGGGATGAAACAACATTTTTAACTAAAATTATGTGTGGCGTTAGTTGTTTTATTTTGTTTTCTTTTCTTGTGAGAGCAGTGGGTCGAGCATATAACTCTAAATATACTGATTTTCTATTTGTGATTCAACAACCAAAAGCAAACACTAAAGAATTTATGAACCACATCAGGAAATATGATTTTGAATTTACATCTTGGCCAGTGACTTTTGCTATGCCTGCAACAACAAGGTACCATTTTTTACTTTTAACTGCTACCTTTTTACATTTTATTAGAAGAAATATAATTATAAGTAACTTGTACCCGCGGCGTCATCTCCGTTTAGGTTCCTTTAGCACCTGGCATACTTAGTTTACGAATTTACGTTATGATTAACATTTTGTGTGCCAACCGCGTTTACTACCACATCGTGTTTCGTACCCCACCATCGTCACTTGACGTGTTGACGTCGAAGCTATGACTGACGAAGTCACGTGGGGTGCCAGTTTAGATCGTCTCATTGTCTGTCGCGCCGCCGCCGCTGCCCGCAAAATTCGAGGCAGCAGCCTAAGTGCGTTCCAGAGAATATTTAGAGAATTAGTTTATAGTACGAGTTTTTATAAAAAAAACTAATTAGTACTTACCCCAGTGATGAATAATAAGACAGGAACAAGCAAAAAATCATTTATAATAATCCTGTTATGAGACTTGAATCTAGTGCTCAACCCTGAGATTGAATCTCTTATGACTTTAGATCTTTAAAAAGCTAAGACTTTCTATTAAGAAAAAATTTCAAGATCCTGAAATGTGTTTGCCCCATACTCCGCCTGTAGTTATGGCACTTCATTCTATAAAATATTTTTTTTTAATATAAGCCTAAGCTACTTCTGTCACTCCTATAATCAATGTATATATTTTGAACCTTTCAAAAAAGTTATGTCATATTACTTAAAAAAGCTCAACAATCATAGCTGTTTAGCTTAGCTATTTATATTATATATTATTTTGTTTAGCTACTTCACTACTGGTGGAGTTAACTCTTGTGGCTTCTAGTGACTTTCATAGTAAATTATAATCATAACTTGTTAAATAAAAAAAACTTCTACTGATAGATGTTTTATCAAATTTATCATTAGCATTAACATAACTATTATTTTTTTAGCAAATCCTGGTTTGAAAACATTCCATTTAATAAGAGTTCCAATGAAAACTTGCCAATTTATCAGAGAATCCCCTTACAAATACTGGCATTCATTTCTGTACACACCTTCGCCATGCGCATAATTTATCCTGGAACTTTAACTCTCATACAAAATTTATTGTGTAAGTTAATTTTTAATCAGTTTATTTAATTAAAAGTGTTGGCCCAGTAGCTTGATCGAGCGAATCTCATCTCTGAGATTGAAGGTTTGAACCCCAGCTGTTCAATCATGGACTTTTCTGTTTATATCAGCCACAGAATATTATTTATTAGAAATGCCTGGCTATTACAAAAAGTAATAATCATGAAAGACACAAAAATCAGAGGCTAATGCAAAGGGTTGTAGCGCTACTAGTTTTTCTTGTTCTAAATTACTTTGATATTAATTAAGTCTAAATGTGTAATTATAGGGAATCCATTAATGGAAGGCCGTACACAATTGGTGGAAACGTTCCATGGTAAAAGGGCAAAATTACTAACATCAGATGCCAATTCTATAGATACTATATTTGTAGACAATCGAGCACATTCAAATGGCAATATATTGGTAATTTGTTGTGAAGGAAATTCTGGATTTTATGAAATCGGGATGGTAACTACCCCGATAAAGGCAGGTTTTTCAGCTCTTGGATGGAACCATCCCGGTTTTGCAGGAAGTACTGTAAGTAAATAAGGGAAGAGGCGATTTTAGATGCCAAATGCTTAATAAAATAAAATATTATGTTTCTCACAGGGTATTCCATTTCCGAAACAAGAACAAAATTCTATAATCGCCGTAATTCAGTATGCCATTGAAGAACTCAACTTTCCAATCGAAAATATTGTATTGTATGGGTGGAGTATTGGTGGTTATACTGCAGCTTGGGCTGCAGCTAACTACCCTGATATCAGCGCTTTGGTAAGATTATGCGTATATATTTGTTATAAGTTTTAATTTGTGACAAAAGTCTTTATCTGACCTTTTCATTCTCTAGATTTTGGATGCTACATTTGATGACTTGCTGCCCCTAGCTCAAAACCAAATGCCTAGATCATGGTCTTTGTTAGTAAAGGAAGTTATACGTAGTTATGTTGACTTGAATGTTGGTGAATTACTGGCACAATACAAAGGTCCGGTGCAACTTATTCGGCGCACTGAAGACGAAGTCATTTGCTTAAGGTTTGTATTGAAAATGCTATAAATTACGATCACTTTATAAAACGACTTAAATAATACTGTCAAAGATAACATTTTTTGCAGTCATTGTTTAAATATTACTAATCTACTATTATATACTCTTATTGTCACTGTTTTAATGTTATTTGGTTTAAATAATATTAAAATTGATAAATGTTTAATACTGAATTATGTGAATTACCTGAAACAATGTAGTATGATGCAAGGTTAATATTCTTTATCACATTTGGATGCTCATCTGCGAAATTTCTTATTTGTAATATTCTATACTTTAGACAAGGCCAACTGCAGACAAACTGCGGAAATTCTCTACTAATTACTCTTCTTAAGTCCCGGCACCCAAGGTTTAATGAAAGTGACGAATTACAAGAAGCTATACTGTCTTATGTTGGAATGAGTGAAATGCAACGTAGCAATATAAACAAAGATACATTAACAGAAGTCAAACGACAAGCCCTTCAATTGGTAATTATTCTAGTTGTTTGTAATTTTTTTAATAAGTACACAAATTAAGTGTGTGTTTATAGGCGTGTATTATACACATATTAAGTCTAATGTGTTTTGATTTTAATTCTTTAATAATTTTTTTAATAAAAGCTTGTTTATTCCAGATTATTAAATATATGAGAGATTTCCAATCAAATCATTGTGCACCTCTACCAGAGAACACATTTGCTGATATTATGAAATATTTTTATTTAAAGAACTAGCTCATAATACACATCTCTGAAAGTCACAGTATTTCTGTTACTTTCCACAATTTCGGGAAACTGCGCAAGGGCATGCACAGTAACCCTACTGAGGACATGAACTGATGTAGTGACCTGTGACACTTTGATCAGTGAGAATTGACTAATAATTTATGCTATTGAAACTTAAATAATATATATGTTATGACATAAATTTAATGAATTTTTGCCTTTAGTCAGTTAAATTATGACTTTATGTGCTTGTAATCTATTATTACTTATAACTATATTGTATGCATTATAGAGCCATCTAAATCCTGTAGTGATTTATGAAATTGCAAAGGATGCAAAGATTTTTCAATAATTTTATGAATACTGATATATGGTTTATACATGACATTGTAGGTTTTAGTTTGAAAAATAAAACTTTACCTTCTAAAAATCAAAATTCTTGCTCAAAGTAGGTAACTATATACATTTAAGTTTGTGGGGTATAAAATCTTTTAATGATTGTTATATTCACTTAATAGGTGTATTGGTATATCCACAAAGGAAGGACTTCCAGTATGTAATAATCTTTTACTACTTCTTTCCACTGTAAAATATTTTATTATTCTGTTTTCATTCACCTATGTAATAATATGTGTATAGTGTAATAAGATAAAAAGAAATGTGTTGATGTGGATATTTAAATTTCCACAGATACTTTTAATATTAGTAATAATAATATATTTATTCTTATTGTATACATAACTATTATATTTAGGCCTTTACAGATGGAACAATTTTTTTAGTTTCCTTACAAAGTATGTTCTGTCCATTTTGCCTGATTTATTACTATCAAATTTCATATAAATCTGTAAGAGTTTTAACCTACAGGGTTGTGGATAATATCAAGGAAGCAGAACTTGTTCTCATTTTATTATGTTGACGGCCTCAACAAACACAAATTGTTTTTGAAATTTGAATAAGATATTGTTTCAGCGTAAACAGCTGAAATAGTTGTTCCATCTGCATCTGCGCCATAGGAATCTAGTATTAACTACTAGGTTATTTATTCAAAATACAATGTGTATAATCATTTAACATTAACAATATGAAATGCTGTATAATATAAATGTTTAGAGGTTATGGTTGACATTAAAGTATATACCTACTTATTGACATAATGCATAAAGTAAATAAAGAATTAAAGCATTTTTTCTTTCAATTCAAATTGAATTATAATTCGACAGCATTTGTGTTCGTTCGGACACTGCTTAATAGAATTCTTAAAATTTACAAATCTGTAGCACCAAGATGTAAATAATAAAAATTTATCAATTGGCCTAAAAAAACAGGGACAGAAATAGATTACTGATTGTCTTACATGTATAGTAAGTCAAAATATATAGATTTAGGAATAATTCGCCTAAGTTTCCATCATAGGTTAAATAGAGCCTATAGCTTAATAATAAAGTTGTATTAGTCATTATATCCATTTTATTTAGATGAATTTTTATTCTAACTAAAGCTAAAATATCTGTAGAAAAAATCTTCCAAACTTCGCGACTGTTATTTGCAATAACATCGTGGTTACTTGGTTTACATCGAGGATCCACAAATTGTTTGCTTTATAAATTACAAGTTATTTCAAAATCTCAACAAAGATTATTACATATAAAGATACATTTACAAAGCACAAATTGTTAATATATGGTATGGGTAGAAAGATATATGTAAATAATTAATTTATTGGCACACTGACAAGTGCTGAGTTGATAAATGTGCTTAGAGTTTAAAAATCTAAATGGAATATAAAAAGGTCATGTTTATTGTTATGGTTTCTAGGTTATGACTAGGGATGTGAAAAAATAATCAGTCGATTTTTTTAAAAGTAAAAATTGATGTTTTTACGCGATTTTTATATTTAAAATAATCGATTATTTTTATAATTGAAAATCAATCATAATCGATTTTTTATCTGCCACCTCCCGACATTGTCTGGGGTCTAGCCATATTGGTGTCGAAAAGTATTCTACATACACTACCGCTTTTGCGTAATTGTATTGTCGAAAACGCTTCGTTCGTAGCCAAGAGGCATGTCGATACAGTCGACAGCGTAGATGCGAGCTGCTGTTCGTAGCACCTTATTCCGTCATATTGTCTCTGGATTAAATGTATTCCTATTTCCTAATGTCACTTTTATAAACAAATAAAAGTTAAAACTTTACAATATTATTGTAAATTTGCAATTGGAAGCTGCAAAAGGGACATTAGAATGTCAGCAAGGTCGGAACAATTTTCGATTTAAGTGGAATTTACGGAAGGTGCAAAGTGAATATATGAATTTTAATTGAATGTTTAAATTAATTATGGTTTGTTTCATGTTTTCTCAGAAATTTAAGGCTACAAAAAATACAATATTTTGAAATTGCATAATCGCGATATATAATAATTAGTAGTACTCATACTTTGATATTTTTAGTATTTGACCTCATACCTAATCTGCAAAATGAAGAAACAACATATTTTGTTACCGCTTAGAAGAAACAATAGAAATAGTACTGTGGATTGATAAATAAAGACTGAAAATAAGGTTGACTAGAAGTTGATAAAGTCCAAGGAATTAAAAAACAATAGAAAAAAAACGTAGACTAGTGTGAACACTGAAATTAGACTTTGATTTAAGCTTTAATTAGGTTTGTGCTTGAACATTTTTAATGTCAATTTGAAAGCAGATTTATATATAAGTGTAGATTTTATTAGTGATTTGCTAATAGTTGGAATTATCTCTGTTTATGTCCAACAAAGAATTTCAGTTTAAGTTAGAGTCATAAAGGTTGATTGTTTATAATATATTTATAATTTTAGAAAGTGAGAATTGAAAAACAGCAAGTACTCAATGAAATGAAAAGAGGGATTAATAATAATTATAAAATAGAAACTTAGTCTGGTATGAAATTATAACCCTTAATCAACCTTTGATTCCATATAGATGCTCTAACATCTTAGATATAAATTTACCTAAGTTTGATGCTGATTTTAAGTTAATATTTATGTCAATTAACTTTTGGTTAGGTATATCAGTGATTTGCTACTAGTTAATATGTAAATGCAAAATCTGTTTAAGTAAGAAATGAATAAACATTGTATGTTATGTATTTGTCAGTTTTAATTTTGGTAATTTACCTATGTCTTCTTTAGTAGGAAAAGCCATTAAAGTGGTTAAGAATATTAGTCTATTTTACAAGAATATACAGATAATGCATATATGAATGACCCGTACCTACTAATAGTTAGGAATATTAAACAGGTAGCAAAATAAAAATGTTTCAGTTATGGTTATTTTTTATTAAAATAAGGCACCAATATCTTCCTTAACATAATGCAGTCTACATAGAAAAATAAGCATATGTAACAACTTATTAAACAATACAGACCTTACTACTGAACACTCACAGGTGCACCAAATTAAATGCATTACTACCTAATGTAGATGTATTCATATTTACATATGTAGATAACTCATAAATGTAAGTGTTAATTTGCAGCAATGTCAATATCTTGTTTGTGTGCTGTTATATACAAAAAATTGTTCAATTCATAAAACCTAACGTTAGATGTTGTGATGATTTCATAAAATTACTATGATACCTACAGTTACTATGAATACATCCTGGGCGATTAAAAAAATAGTGATTGTTTCCTTAACTCAACAATTGTAAATAATAATAGTTATTGTAAAGATATAATTCTTCCCAAATCTACAAATGTAGTTTGTTTATAATAGTATCTCATTAACATTCAAACTGCTGAACTTATTAAGATTAAATGTGGAAGAACATAGTTTCAGTTACTGTTTCCTGTTCTTGAGGTAATGTTACTTAACCAACCATTATTTCATACTCTACTTGTCTTATTTTTTACATTATTCATAAAATGCTTCATTCCCCATTATCAATTTCAGGTACATAATATAACACTTAAATTAATTAAAAGATAAGACTTTAATAAATCTTGTCCATTTGTGGTTTATTTAAATATTTTTAGTTGTCAAATATTTTAGTTAGTACTTTGATCAAATAGAAAACTGACAAACTAAACTAAGATCGGTCCAAGGTTTGTTCAATAGGTAACTTTAATATTAAAACTCTTTACTTAAAAATATACTTAATTTGTCACTTTACTGCTTATTGTCAATTAAAGTTTTTAATAACCAAACAATGTCAGTAACTCCCAAGGGACTTGAATTCAAACTTCTCATTCATTAACAATATTATAATAACTTCTCTAGTATATTGACTTAGTAAATAATTAAAGAAAATATCTGCTTACCATTACTTAGTATTGCTCACTAGATTTTATATTTCCAAAGTTCATAAAGTATAAATCCACTTTATTTGATTAATTTAAATCAATATTTATATATCATTATAAGCTTCTATTATAATTACAATAAAATATATTTAGAACTTCTAGTTATGTTCATTAGTGACTGCTTTCTCATCTGAAATATACAAATAAAATGTACAATCATTTTACTTTGTGATTACATAATATATGCAATATTATATGGTATATGTATTTTTCAAATTAAAGAACAATTTCATGAACTTACATGCAATAAAAGATATCCAATATAACTAGGATTTACCTCTACTAATTTACTGATTTTCTTGATATTTTCATATTTATCTGTGTCTATTATGTTATCCTCGCATTGATTCATAGAAAAACTAAAACTCTTAACTTAAAAATATTAACTCTAGTTTAAATTATTATAATTACACGAGAACGTTAAAAAATACAGATAACAAATTAAAACCATTTCGTTAAAATGTCCAAAATATGCCATGTTTTTAAAACGGTAGCCATTAAAGATGGCGATAGTTGTACTGAATTATTGCAAACAGCAGCTTTTGAGATCACGCTAAAACATGGCGGAGAAACGCCGTTTTTTCTACACTGCCGAAACATTAATTGGCCGTTGGCTACCGAATAGCGTAAGCGTTAATGTGTGTCTTTTCGTAGCACTGTCATGGCGTCGCTTATTGTATCCCGTCTCACGCCTTTAGGGCCTAGGCTACCGACTGTCGACACGAGCTGTCATTTTCATACAAATTTAGTTTTCGACTTTCTACATACACTACTGTTAAGCCATCTTGGCTAGACCCCCTGGTCTTTTATAACCCGGACCTCGAACTATTAGGGATATTCGATATACAACGATGTTTACAATGCGATACATTGAATCCGATTCTTTGAAGATGTATTGATATACTCGATACATTGATGTTTTTTTGTAAAACATCGAAAGGATGATAAAAGCAGTCAAGTTTGAATGGAACACTATAATTTAAAAGTAAAATAAATTTATTCAGCAGCACAAGACTACATACAATTAAAAAGACAACAAAAATACTGCAATGTGCTACTGAAAAGGAATACACTCAGCATTTATCAAAATCTATCAAAACGAGATTAAGTTAATTTCTATTTTGATTATTCTTAAACGTTAATTTATAATTACTATTGTTTATTTTTTATTTAAAAAACCATGAACAATAAAATATTTAGGGTGTTTATTTTGAAATTAATTCAAAAATTAGGAAAAAATCGATTAATAAAAAAAAACGATTTTTTTTTTATTATAAATAAATAATCGATTTTTCATGCTAAAATAATAATCGATTTTTATGCAGAATGTCACATCCCTAGTTATGACAGATGACTTATGCTAAATGTTTTCTTTACTTCACCTTTTTTCTTATAATTTACATTGGCAACATAAATCTTGACCATAGATGAGTTACTCTTTGGACTAGTGTTGTCAGTTGAATGAGAAATGACAATCGTAGACTAAACCTAGCGTGCTGCATAGACTGGTGTAGACTTCTGTGATTAGTGATATACATAATTATAAGATAGCATCAACATTTTAGATTGATTTTAAACATATTAAAATATAAACTATAGCAAAAGATAACTGGTAAATATTTTAATATTATGATTACGCATTCTTAACTATATATATATATAAATCTTAAAGTTTTGCTTAATAATAAGTTAGGTACGCACTAATAAATCATAACAATAAAATGTTTATACTAATTATATTATAACATTATTAATAATGCATTTAAATGCTGTTAAAGTTGCTTTAAAATTTTGTAACTGTTGCCATCTGTTCTAAACAACTTTCATAATATTTGAAATCGTTATGCAATAAAGTCAAATATCTGTAACCTGCAACACCTTTTTCATGGTTTTTGAAAGAATGTATTTGTTATTTAATATAACTTTCAGGCTATGTCCCAAATTAATGACTTAATACGGGTAATGAAAGGGCTTCGTCAAGTTGTTGAAGCAGGACTTAAATTACAGCAGGAGAGTTCTAGCTTAATATGGAATAACTCGAGCTTTAAGCCATACTTTCAAAACTGTACAACTAACCCCTTTAACAGCAAAGTATATCCAGACGTACCTAAAGACTTAGTTGATAGAGCATTTGTTGTATTTCATGGAATAAGACAATATGCCCTAATGCATATACCAAATTTTAATCCTAGTATTAAGAAAAGTAGCATGGATCCTGAATTGCAAGATGAGATTGAACAGTTAAATAGGGAGTTTGATAAAACATTTGAGACTTTGAAGAGGAAACAAAATGACGAAAACTCAATCTTAGCATCTGGGGATATTACTGTGCCACTGGAAAAATTGAAGTCACAAGCAGAGAGATTAAAACTAAAAGCTATTGACACACCGAAGGTAATGCTGCCTTCTGCAGTGGATGTAGAAAATAATATCACCAATATAGAACAGAGTAGAGTTCCAGTTTTAAAACCAGTAGCCAAGAAGAAGTTAAAAGTATTTGTAGGTATAATTTAGTCTAGTTTGTTTTTATTAAGTTCCATTTATCCTTATAAATAATTGGCATTAGAAATATCTAAATTCTCTTTTAATTTGTGTTGTATATGTACTTAATGATGAAATAAGTAAGAAAACTCAAAACTCTACCCTATCTGTAATTATACATTCTTTACAGCTCAATGAACATTCAAGAGCTCGTGTGGTGCCTTCATCCCGCATTGGGCGTATGATATCATTTGGCTCATTAGCTGCAGGCCTGGGTGTGGGAACAGTAGCACAATATGCAAGAAATACACTTCAGTCTGTCACAGGCAAGACTGACGATACAGTCAATGCGTTTTTGTCACCTGCAAACGCAGAAAGAATTGTTGACACACTTTGCAAAGTTAGAGGTATTTTGTTTAATTATGTTTCTAATACAACACAAAATGTTTAAATATTAATGGTATATATGTACTTTACAGGTGCAGCTTTGAAATTGGGCCAACTTTTGAGTATACAAGATGAGTCAATGATACCATCAGATTTACAAAAAATATTTGAGCGTGTACGTCAATCTGCTGACTTCATGCCAACATGGCAGGTTGAGAAAGTAATGTCGTCGCAATTAGGTCTCGATTGGCGCAGCCGTGTTCAATACTTTGAGGAAAAACCATTTGCAGCAGCATCAATAGGTATTACTTTATTTTTTACCTATTAGTCAATATTTAAGTATACAAAGTAAGTTTTAGGTATTTCTAATATACATTTTATTTTAAAGAATAAAATCCCACCTTCATGCTATCATAGCACCTGAATTCCTTCATTGAAATGTTTGCTGAAAGCTGACTTAGTAAATTTATTCAAAAATGTGTACAATTATTTTTCTTATTTAGTGGTTTTGATATTTAAGGACAAGTACATTTAGCGATGTTGCACAATGGCAGAGAAGTTGCCATGAAAGTGCAGTATCCAGGAGTAGCAAAAGGAATTAATAGTGACATAGACAACCTCGTTGGAGTACTTAAGGTAAATAATAAACTAACTTAAAACAGAAATTGCTTGAAACAGCATTTACATCTTTTCATTAGTTTTCTATATAACTTAGTTGTTTTGGAAGTGACTTTCTTAGTGTTATAGTTATAAATATGAAAAAAAACTAAGTATTTATCTTCAAGATCATCAACATTCAACTGAAATTATTATTAGAAACAAATTGATTTTAATTTGAATAAATAATATGATTGTTTCAGGTATGGAATTTGTTTCCAAAGGGTATGTTTATAGACAATATTGTGGAGGTTGCAAAGAAAGAGTTAGCTTGGGAAGTGGATTATATCCGTGAAGCGGAGTGTACAAGAAAATTCAAAAGACTCCTGGCGCCGTATCCGGAATATTACGTGCCGGAAGTTATAGGTATATCTTGTATATTACATCTTTACCATCCCAAAATATTTGATGTCCTCCACATGCATTTAGCACTACCCAAAACAACATATAGTACAAATTAAGGGGAGCAAATAACAAATATTTTTAAAGATGACTGGTGTAATTTTGCTCTTACAGGTTATTTGATATAGGAAAAAAAATACTTCAATGAATATATAACATGTGTTGTGTACCTTGACACTTCTTCAAGTGGCCAAATTTGAATATTATAAAAAAATTTGAAGGATATTTGTCTTATATTACTGTTGTAGGATATTCGTAGTATGCAAGAAAATTATGAATGTTCTTATTACAAATTTAGTTTTCAACATTTATTTATTATTGATACATATAATTATTAAATACAGATGACCTGTGTGCACCAGAAGTGATGACTACAGAGTTAATAGAAGGGCAACCAATTGACAAGCTATTCAATGCTGACCTTGAAACAAGAATGGACATTGCCTACAAAATTATGCAACTTTGCTTGCGGGAAATGTTTGTATTACGTTGTATGCAGACTGACCCAAACTGGGCAAATTTCTTTTATAACACCAACACTAAACAGGTATAAAATACTACATTTAAATGCCTTAACTCAACTTAAGCAAAGCTCGAAGTGTTGTTCATTAAGATTGAACGGCTAAATAAACTATTAATTCACTAGATTGAAAGCTAAAATTAAATTGGTCAACTAAACAAGTCATAATTATCGTATCATCAATTAAGAATAACATGATATTTTATTACAGGTTATTTTATTGGATTTTGGAGCCACACGCGAATACTCCAAGGGCTTCATGGACCAATATATTGAGATAATACACGCGGCCTCAGAAGGTGACCGTGATGCCATCTTGCGCATGTCAAGGGAAATGAAATTCCTTACTGGATACGAGTCAAAGGTAAATTTTAATTACATATAAATATCAGACCTAACAGCATACTCCAAATCTATGTCTACCTTCATAGGTATGGTGGTTGTGAAGGCCTAAAGACCTGAGTTATTTTACCTTACAGATCATGGAAGAAACGCATGTAGACACGGTTATGATAATGGGGGAGATTTTTACCACGGCTAGTACAGATGGTTTCGACTTTGGCTCCCAAAATACGACAAAACGCATACAATCGCTCGTACCAACAATATTAACGCACAGGCTGTGTCCGCCTCCAGAAGAAATATACTCGTTACATAGAAAACTATCGGGTGTTTTCTTATTATGCTCAAAATTAAAAGTTAAAATGAACTGTCGAGATATGTTCCAAGATATCTACCGACAGTACAAAAATAATGATTTTAATTAAGTGCGGCAGCAGCTAAGGCTGACTCATTCTTGGTTTTAGTGATATTTTTTCAATATCGTAGTTTTATAGATTCCATTACTATTTCATAGCCTGAGAGCTAACATTTGGGTTTTTTGCTTGATCCTAAAAATTATTTATTTGAAAAATCTATCTCTAGACTAGGAGTGAAAAATCTTCAAAGTCCGCTTCTTTTTAGTAGTTTTTTTAATCTTATTCTTTGAATTTGTGGTAAATATAACCATAATTTTAAAGATATTAAAACTTATTAGGTGGTTTTGGTATATTTATTACTTGTTAGTAAATATGTACAATTCAATGAATTATGAAAATGCTGTATTTTAGGTATAATTATTAATTAACACATTAAAAAAATTGTGTGTTAAGTTATTTGCTTCGTAACACTACTAATTTTGATTTGATTTCAAGTTGTTTATATTATTGTTATTGTAAAAATCAAAAAAGTTGTAATTTTTATGGCACTGAATGTAAGTGTTTTTAGTTAAATAAGAGAACAAATAATACATTATTTTAAGCATTTCAATATTACCTCGTCTGTATTTATATTTTTGTACAAAAACTACAAAGTATTTATAAAGTTTATGTGACATATTAACAAAATTAATCAATTCTGTAAAAAGAGTGATGCTGCGTTCTTTATAAAATAAAATGATACGACTAAAATTAGATTTTTATTCATATGATGTTACTTTTGTCTAAGTTTTGAATGTAATGTATGTATGTATGTAACAATGCTGTATATACTGTCCATTTGGAGAACTTTAGAAAAATTAACAAATTACAATAACACTATCGATCGGCAATGTAGGGTTTCACATGGAATTCGGTCTGTAAATATTAGTATGAACAGTCACGTATGAAATAAAACATGAATGAGTGCGCATTTTCTATACTTTATTCAATTATTTCCGCAGAATTTTAGCACTCGGGCTAATATTTTCTAATAAGTATATTTATTGGTTCTTCTAAAGAAAAGCAACACGTGATACGGAAACATTAAGGATATTGCAACATATAACATATGTGTTACAAACGAACACTGAATATACATTTTTTTTTATTTAATACAATTATAGAATGTACAGAGTGCTACAGTCCTCTGAATATTAAACGTCACTAATATACTGGCTTTAATAGCCCTGGAAATATGTGTAAATAAGATCCTGAGAACATTAATATAATACAAAAAAAAATTCAATACCACAAACGATGTCATTGACTACCAATATAATTTTTTTAAGATTACAAGAATGCTTCCAATATGATGTTATGGTATAAAAATCGGCTGGTGCTGTACGCGGCCTATTTCTGATATTTATCTTTAATAGTATTTATCTTCTCTTCGGCATCAAGTTTGCTCAATCCGTTTATTGTAGTATTGAATTATAGACATTTATAGTTATACAACAGTAGAAATTTCGCTAAAATTCTTAATATACTTAAAGTTATCAGTACAAAAATCTGCAACATTATCAACACCGTCTTAGTGGCTGGTCTCAAATGCAGATGTATAATGTGAATTCATTTATTTGCGATAGTTTATGTGCGAATATTGAATTATACCTGATTTAAATATGTTTGTTTATTTAGATAACCTAAACAATACTGATATAATTGTAACTAGCATTAAAATTTTACTAATTTTAACACATATAATCTACATAACAACTAACAACCAACAGCTACTTTACTGCAAACTTTGAAATTTTTAAGTCTGAGACTTGACAGTCAGTTAATGAAGATATAAAATGTATTACATAATAAAATGCATATTATATTATGAACGACATAGTGATTTTGTGGTTTAGGCTTTCAAAAAGATGAACAGTAATTAAAAAAAAGACTAATTAAAATACGCATTAATAGAGCATTTTGTACAGCAGGCCTCTTATGTCTAAATGAATGAAAATAATAGTTTTGAATAAAAAGTAAATACTTTAGAATAAGACCTTTATGTACATGAGGCCCCGTTATCTTATTTCAAAATTATACCAAAAGTTGGGATTTTCTCTTATAACTTTTACTATTATTGAATGAGTAATAAACGTTTTCATAATTATTCAAAACAAATGTTAAGTATTACCAACTCTTTGAACCACCTTAGTTACACTTTATAGGGATCAAACTATTTAAAAATTAACTAATTGATGTTTTAAACTATTGCCAAGATATTTCGTTGTAGTGAATGTGTAACAAATAATAATTATAAAATATCTATTGCTTTTATTTTAAAATATTCATAAAGGATCTTAATACTGTTACTGTTCTGTACTGTAGATCTAAAATAATTGATAAAAAGTAATTGTTAATCACAATAAAATATAGACAACGATGAGAGACGATACTTAGCGATTATTTAGGTAATAAAATACTGGTAATATATAAAAGTGAATCTCAAAACGTTTACAGGTAATTAGCAATAATTTGTAATTTCATTCTACTTAAGAATTTTAAGACTATTGTCTAGGCTTTCGAGCTTGTGAGGAAATTTAGGTACGTATTACATTTTAAAAAACTAGTTATATACAATCTACATTGCTATCTTGACCGTTTCCCACTTCATACAAAATGCAAAATAAGCTGTTTATACTGAAGTATTAACGATAAATAAAAACATAACAAATTATTACAAAGTAGTAAAAATAATATATTAAGTAATCATTTACATTTTCTAATCACCTAAAGTATATTCTTATGCCAGACGAGTAATAAATTAGACGATTTCACAAAGGTTTAAAGTAAATAAATATCCAACTAACTTCATGGCCATTTAATTTTATACTTTATACATAAGTAGTTCATAGTATAAACTATTAATACCATTTCAAAAATATATATTAAGGATTAGATAATAATTTAAATAAAGCATGTGTTCGTGTGATATCTCAACACGTAAGTAAATAAATGTTTAAAGAGATTTAACGATATAAGTCTAAATATTAACATATTCACCTAGATAGGTACCAATATGAAGGCGGATTGATAGGTTTGAACCCTCCACTTATTTCTAGTATACTAGCATTATGTTTTTGGATTTTTGTTTTATTCGTTAAATGTAATTTCTAAATTGAACAGGTTAATTGTACATCCATTATTGAGGAAATATTATATTTTAGTCGTTCTAGCAGTCAAAACGAATACAGTGGAATATATATTACTATAACTTTTGAGAACAATTAGGTAAAAGAAAGTACCATTACTTTATAAAGGTAGAAGTAATATCTACAAGACAGTTATTTTAATTAAAATTAAAACTACCTTCTGTATTATGTTACACAAGTACTTTGAAACGCTTAACAGTAGGTACCTTATCAGTAGACGCTTGTCAGATCTATCTCTAAAAGATAGCATACAAAAGTAGTGTGAGAAACGGTCGTATGGGATATTCGAAGCAGTCTGTCTTTACAGTTAAAGCAATAAATATAAAGTGAAATTGATGTCAACAATATCAGTCACCGCACTAGTAGTATGCCAGACGGCCTTGACTGAGGGTTGTCTACTAGGCGACTGACGTTGCGTTCTTGAAATCACGTAGAAAACCTAGTATAAAGTTGATTTGTAACAAAAGCATTATATTTTAGGCGTTGGACTCCTTCAGATCGGTGAGTCGCGCGAGTTGTGCGGGTTCTAGTTCGTCAGGGATAGAAGCGCGGCCGGCGCGGGGTGCGGCAGGTGGGGAATGTGGAGCGGTAGGAGGGCCTGAGGCTACCGAGGCACCAGGGGACTCGCCATCTGAGGCTGTCGAGCTTGAAGCTGGGTGCGGAGCGGAGTCTGCGTGACCCTCGTCTGTGTCCCGAAGACACACAGCTGTCTGTTCAGATAGAGAAGATTCCTCGTCGTCATTTTCCTCAGCTCGCTCTTCTTCTTGTGGCAGCTCCCGTTGTTGTAGCTCAGGTTCATTAGGTGGAAAAGGTTGTTCTGGTTCTTCCACCATAGGGGTGGCGGCAGTGATTACTATTTGTGCCACACCGAGGCCGCAATCTTCAGTGGGAAGTTCAACTTTTGGCGGAGGCGGTTTCGGTTGCGGGGCGGGGGGTATCTCCTCTTCCTAATACCAAAACAGGTTTAAATAATTCATTATTTTAATGTTATTACTATTTTTTCCCTGTCTGGATTTGAAATGAGCCGAATGCTATATATGGCAATGGAGTATTAGTGTATTTTTAAATAAGACTTCAAATAAACTTTTGTAATGGATCGTTACAGTACAATCTATTATCGATCTACTCTAGAACAACAATTTTTGCATGCGTAAGGCAACATGCTTGTGATGAGATGAATTTCTAAACAAATATTAACACTCAAGATTATATGTATCTAGACTAGTTTAACTAGAAATAACCGTAAATAAAGATATACTTTCAATAATTAGCTCTAATCTTATAGCAATACATATGTACTGTGAAATCATCGTGTTTTTATCTATTAAAAATAAAAATGTTTTCAACCATTCATTATCTTGTATGTGGAGTAAAAAATGCAATAATTGTTTTTATTTGACAAATACCAACAATCTGAGGAAACTTGAAATAGCCTAAATAATATTGATTTTTTTCAAACAGTTTAATTGTGTTATATATAATTGAATTAATAAGAACAAGGTTATATAAAATATTTTATAAATTTCAGTTTTAGTTAAACATAGTTCACTGGTAATATAAGATACAATTTTATGTGTATAACATATTCCGATTGTGTCTAAATTTTATACTCTTCCAAATTCACTCTACCGGCGCAAGTTTTCTAAAGGGCGTTAATATTGTTTTAAAATAAACACTACCACGCATAAATAAACGTTATTTTAATTATTGAAGTCGCTTAAATTTGCGTGACATCATTTTTCGTACATAATAATTTAAAAAGGCATTAAATAGCTGTAAAATCAAGCAATTTATAAGCGCAGTGATAGCGTACAGTAAGCACACAACACGAACACATTTTTAAAAATCATATAATATTTATAAACTTGTTTAAAAGATAAGATCAAACCTCGTCCTCAAAATTTTCACTGAGAACCTCATCAACTGTAGCATGGAAAAATATAAATATAATTGTTACACGGTAGTAATCAAGTATAATTTTAGTTCAAGATACAAGGTTTATGTAATTGTTTTAAGCTCAATCACGCAAACGTGTTTGATGCAAAGGTAATATCAAGGTAGGATCAAACAATCGTATATGACTTACCGATGATTGAAGGCGCGATGGGTTGTTGAGGTGAGAATTGAGTATCGTATTGGTCATGATGATTCCTACTAAGTTCTAGGTTAAAGCTGAAGTCTGGTTGACTGTCCATTGAGTCGCCCATTCCGATCGGTGGCGGTGGTGGCGGGTCCGCAGGTGGAGCAGCACTTTTTATATTGTTGTTCTCATTCACCACTTCTAGCAGCGTCCAAGAAGGGACAAATATTTCAGGTAGCTAATTCCATCTTTTGTGATAGTAGGTGCCTTTCAATATTTTGGCGGTACATGTTATTGTAACTGAGACTTGCATCATTTTGTTTAAATAAGTAAAATATTTCAGCAAAGATACATAGGTATGCGGCTCGAAAGGCAGAATCTTGAAGTGCAAAGGGTAAAGAGCTTAAGAAAGATAAGATGAGAAAAAAATAGACTTGAAACATTAAAATTCATTTTCACCAGTAGTACCAGTAGTACTGTAATGCAACATATTATGCTATTCCACTGTTTTATTCCGATAAATTATTTTCTCTTTTTTATGCTATAATAAACGGTGCATTCACGAGACCCATGCATTTAGACCGGCTACAAAACTTGCGATTCTTATGCTTTATTCAAGTTAATATCACATCACAAGTATATTAGCTATTATTGACATCGAATTTTTGCCTGTAAGCACACGTAGCGCATTGTACCAAACTTTGTTTTGAAACGCCAGATTTGTATCCGCCCCTGTACAGCGATTACGAATGAAATCGTGAGTTAGGCGTTGAATCACGGAAATCTAGTGATTTTTACCGTGCCATGTTATAAATCATCATGCCAATTTCAAATTATACTAAAACCATTTACTTAACGAATCAATAAGCTATCTATGGCGTGTGTTACAAACAAAATACGGCACAAATTGTGACCTCTATAATTGTATGAAACTGTATAAAAATATGCAGCGGCAAGACACCGACAAACGGCACTCGTACGTAGACACTTAATTTTAATGTTACAAGCAGGAAGTGTTTAGACGGAAAGAAGTTGTCGAAGTACGAGGACCAGTTCATAAGAAAATTAGAGAGTAAAAGTCACCAAATCAGACAAGCTTACGGTCATCGTTAAATTCGCTGTCGGGAGACCCGGGTGGGGACGCAAATACAGGTGCCGCTGAGTCGGGAGGTGTCCAGTCCTCATCTGCTCCACTTAGTGGATCGCCATTCTGTATTGAAACTCATGTTGCAATTGAGTATCGTATATACACACAAACATTTTATAAAATATATAATAACCTCGTCACATTCTTCAACAATCAATGATGGGAAGTTTCCAACAGCTCCGTTTACTTCACCACGCCACCAACCATCGTCCACTTCATGAGCCTCACGAGAGACAATGCGAATTATCTGAAACAATATCAAGATGTTCATTACAGTTTGTTATATTCTGATTAAAGCTTTAAACTATTTTACAATACCTGTCCCTCTTCTAGATTTAATTCATCAGATGCCTCTGCATCATAATCATAAAGGGCAAAGCAATAGCCTAGCGTTGGTAATGACTCCGCCGACGGTTCATCAACTCTTTGTTGTTCCACTTTCGGTTCTTCCGGTTTGACAACTGGAGCCGAAATCACAGAGATCTGGTCAGGAGACTGGATGACATCAGCATCCTCACCCTCCACAGTATAGTCGACGGATGAAAAAGAAATTTGTGTAACAAGCCCTGGAGTACTCGATGGCTAAAAGTATAACAATTGTTAAAGCAAACGCTTAAATACAGTGAATAAAATAAAGGTACGGTGAGTAGGGTTACCTGTTCTCTATCAATGTCCAGATAATTATGGGGTACATATCCTTCTTCCCCTCGGTAATTACGTGCACGAAGCCAACCGTCACCATCGCCTTCACCGACTACTTCTAACTGTTCACTTTCAATAATTGATAGTTCATCTGGATTTTGAGCCTACAACATAGTGCATATTTAAGAATGTTATTAAAGTTGTTTATTTTGAATCTCTTTCAATTTTAAAACACTCACAGTGTATGAGTACAAAGCTGTACACTTATAGAGTGGAGCAACGGGAGCTTCTGCGGGCTCAGCCGCTGGAGCAGTGGTTTCAGTTTCTGTTTCACCCCAATTCACTTGTGTTGGGTCGTCCCAGCCAGCTGTTATTTGTTCTATACGCATGCGATCTTCCTCTAATTCAGCTATAAGTGTAATTTAAAAGACATTACGTAAAATAAATCAAAGCAACTATTTATTAAGTTTAATTATAAAATAATCCAGTGTCGGATCCCTATATGGATCTTGACCGCAGATTGCATCCGTTTCTTTGGATGATCAGCCTTCTGTGCCTGACTCATGTCGACGTTTGCCTTCAGAAAGAAAAATTAAGCGGTGCACAACTGTGATTCAAACGCACGACCTCAGGCTTGAGAGTCGTACACTTATGCCACTAAGCTAACACTGCTCTTAAGGTTTATTCAAATAATAAGTACCGTCTTCTTCGTCATCTTGTTCATCTTCATGTTGTGAATCAGAAGTTGTACGTTGATGACCAGATGTTGTAGCGACAGCGGACGTAGCTGCGTCACCTTCAGTATTATCACTGTCGTAAAATGAGTCCGAACTGGGCTGATCCTGTCGTGAAATAAAACTTTTATATATATAATAACAATTATTAATATGTGAATTTTTTATCTTGAAACGGGTAGTTAGGTTTTATTGAAAGTGCCTAAATTACTTACGGCAGCTCCAGATGCATCAGTGCGAACACTAACTAAACTACTGCTACGTGGCAAAGTTTCTTGTACTGCCAATAGGTCTACTTCTTTGAGCCATTCGTCGACTGGGGCTCCACCGTTTCGTAAACATTCCAACCGAGCTTCGTATTTAACTTTTGATGTTTCCGAACGTCTTATGTTTGTGCGCAGTTCATCCATACGAACATCCAATTCTGGTCCATTAGGATCATTAGGATCAACCTAAATGTAGTGAAGAGTAAAGGTGTTTATTCAATTCAATTAAGTGCAAGAAAAGATAATAAATTTTTAGCTTTTCTATACTAAGTTTATATCAGATTTTACGTATTATAATTATATGTATATAACCTTTGGCCAGCATCTCGCATTGCCTGATATAAATTCAATTTTCGGGTAGCATCTCTGACAAGAGATGTCTCCCGGACAACCCGAGTGGCCCAACGACGGGCTTCCTGAGCCAAAGTTTGTGCAACTGTTTCATGCTCCATTGTCACCGTATCAATTGGATCATTATCGCAAGGCTCGAAGTCATACTGAAGCAATAAAAAAACGAATGTCTATCCTAGTTTTGATAAGGGTTTTTCTTTCGTGTCTTTAGATATAAATAAATCAACTCAAAAAAGACTTTATCGATACCATTAAAATAATTATTGACTTGTCACTACTCCATCACTACATTTGATTACAGCATTAGAAATTCGCAGCACATATTACAGCGCTATTAAACATCTGTAGATCTCCCACACTTTTATAAAATTCAATTGCAAAGTATTATGTATTATAATTACCTGAATATGTTGCTTCAGAACTGGATAGTACAGATAGATACATTGTAAATTATACTCCCTGGTTAATTGTTGAGCTTGATCACGAATTTTTCCGAAAGAATGTTGAGTGGCTGAACAAGTGAGCAGTTCAGTTCGACCCATGAGAGTTAAAAACTCAGATACTTTTTCATACACAGCTCCTTCCATATTTTGCATGCATGATTGTAGTTCCACCAAAAAGTAACGATTCTATAAGAAATTGCATATTATAATTAACCGTAATTTGATAGTATTGAGTAAGTCGTTTGAGTATTTAACCAGAGAAATCTCTTTCTAAAATATACTATATAAATAAGCGTATTTGTACCTGGTGTGCATTAGCTGCAGAAATGCTAAGAAGATAATCGTTCCTAGCGCCTGTAGATTTCTCTTCAAGTTGATCGCGGCGAGAAGACACTTTTGCACTATTTTTTTGCAATGAAGTTATTGATTGGAAGAAGGATCCCTTTTTCTTTTTTAACCTAAAAATTTATAAAAATCTCAATGTAACTAAACTTAAAATTCAAAGTTGAAATTTGTTAGAAATATCTAGTAGCACTAACTTCTCTTCTATGTCTTTAGCTTTGTCTCTGACATCATGAGCGGTATGTTCTTCGTCAAAGTAAAACTTCTTGTTCTTATCCACATCGAGTACTGACAGTTGAAGCTCTTTGTGTGCTTGGGCCAGTAGATCTGTGCTCTAAATTGAAGAGAAATAAATAATTAATCACCAAAACACAGCGCAGTTAAACACCAAAGCACTGTATATTTAAAATACCTTTTTTGCAACATTAATTTTATGTTGTCTTAACTGTTTTGCTTCATCTGCAATCTGTTGTTGGAACACCTCCACCGCGGCAAGGCGAGCTCGCGCCAATTTTTCGTTCTCTTCCAAAACAGTTCTCCAGACATTCCACATATTCCTATTAAAATGATTAAGATATGCTGTACTGTGTTTTACGTTTTACATTTAAACTAACACACAATCAACTCGATCGGACTAATCGAACAAGTGGTCGTTCGTGGAATAATTCGCTGAGTTTTTCGCTATAAGCGATAGGTAGAGCGTATGGTAGAGCTGATAGCTGTAAGGTGGAACAGGACTATCCCAGGTGTAGTAGGCGGAACGCAGAGTTCCACCTTAGGGAGAGTTTAAAATTTTAGCACCATGAGTGGAGAGGATCGTATCTACGAGTATGTATTTTGATTAGTCATCATCAGTATCAGTCAATATTATATTATGAAATTACTATTTACTACCACTATAATGAAGCTATTATGAAGTTCATTTTATTTATTACTATAATATATAAATTGACACTGAAACAAATGTATGTATGTTCCCATAATAGTAAGGGAACATACATATCATGATAGCATTACATGAATCATTTTCTGTTAATGATAAAGTAGCGCAAAAATTCTAAAAAGCAAGTTATACAAATTATTTGATTGCTATGCTGAGTAAAATTTTTAAAGTTTGTTTATGTGAAATTACTATTTACTATTATGATGTTAATTTTATCTATTACTATAAAATCTATATTGACACTGAAACAAATGTATGCTCCCATACTATCATTACATGAATCATTTTCTGTTAATGATAATGTAGCGCAAAAATTCTAAAAAGCAAGTTATACAAATTATTTGATTGCTATGCTGAGTAAAATTTTTAAAGTTTGTTTATGTGAAATTACTATTTACTATTATGATGTTAATTTTATCTATTACTATAAAATCTATATTGACACTGAAACAAATGTATGCTCCCATACTATCATTACATGAATCATTTTCTGTTAATGATAATGTAGCGCAAAAATTCTAAAAAGCAAGTTATACAAATTATTTAATTGCTATGCTGAGTAAAATTTTTAAAGCTTGTTTATGTGAAATTACTATTTACTATATGAAGCTATTATTAAGTTAATTTTTTATTACTATAATACCTATTACACATTAATATAAAAACATTGTGTTAATGTGAAATCATTTACATTAACTTAAAAAAAAATCCATTACGATATTCATATCAAACTATAGAATGTTTCTCTCGTACATCATATAAAAATGAAGTTATGAAGGCACTTCGTTTTCTTTTAATTTATCAACAGTTCAAACATATTTTTAGACCGTTATATGATGATGTGATTATTCTTCCCATAATAGTCACTATTATTGTGTATGAAAATGGATTGTCCTATCACCTGTCATTGTGATAAGTTCTTTGTCTAGCTATAATAAGAACACAATCTGAGCGAAGTAAAACATCAATCAATAATATACGAATATTTATCTAAACTAATTTAAGGTATCCTAGTGGCGTTTCTAGTTTGAAGTTACAGATATTGTAGTGTACATAAAAGGTTATTATTAATCACTTACCATTTTTCTTCAGCGCCGTCAACTTTTATATCAGGTATGTTAGGAATCTTCTTATTAAGGTACGCGGAAGATATTTTTAATAACGCCTAGGACAAAATACGTTAAAATAAACTGTTGCTCACATATTAAAAGAATAATAAACCATAATTAATTCCTGTACTAGATTTTTTTTAAAGTCTAGTTCATCTGTTAGAGATGGTGTACAATCATCTTCATTAGACTTAATATTGAAAGCTTAGCTGACTATAAATCCAAGCAACAAGAATTTCATTAAATTTACTAAAGTATATTTATGAAACAGATTAATTATATTTTTCGGCACATTTGTATGAATTTTATTTATTTTAGTCTCGTCTAATGTAGGTTTTTATTATTTGAATTATAAAATATATATCAGTTTTATTGAAATTTACCTCGGAATATGATTTCTCAATGGCAGATCTTTTGATGGTATATGTGCGGATATCTTCCAATAAATCGCATTCATGTTGGTTCTTAGCATAAAGCTTTGCGATTTGCTCTGAGTGTAAATTTTTGAGAAACTTCGTATAGTTACTCTGTAACAAAATTAAAAAAATGTATGCATTACTTGTCAAATACGTCTTGTATATTTATTATCCTTAACGTCTGGTTAGGTAAGAATAAGGTAAACTATCAAGAAATTTCACACATCTTCACAGTTAAAAAACACCTTTGACGAAAACGTTTACGGCATGTAGTAAACAAAAAAGAGTGTTAAAATAATATTCATTAATTTAAATTATTCAAAGTAATTGTTGTATATGGACCATAGCAACCACAGAAAACTGTATATATCTTAACTACGCAGGCGAAATTGTTGGTAAATCTTTAGTAAATCAAAAAAAAGACGCAGCAAGTTTTGGGAATGTATTATTAACATACATATACAATATAAGACCGATGCACAGTTACTTGCATTAAACTATTCCAATATTGTTTGTAACTAAATAAAACTATATTACATACATTAAAATTAAAATATGCATAAATCGAAAAAGGTATCTTATTTATTTTTGTGTGGGACTAATATGAATTGTTTACTACTTTGTGAGTAAATGTGAAACGAATAAACACAGTTCTTTTCGCATTTATACGAATACTTGTAAATGCAAATAAAATAATGTAATCAAAAATTTTAAATTTAGTTTAATAGCTTATTAAGTGTGGTAAATTTTCAGCCACCAGTAGGTTATCATTAAAACTTCTACAATATACATAATATATTTTGTTTTCATAAATAAGTAATAAATACCGAATTTAAACTTTGCATTTAATTATCGAACACTAGTCGCAAACGCCTTAATTGTCCGTCAAGAAAATTTTCTTAATCTCTCTCTCTATGAAATATCATTTAAGACTTGAATTAATTACACGTCCTAATATTACCATAAATGTGAATATTCAATTCAAGTTACATAATAGGTAAGTTACGTAGTAAGATTGATACATGAACACCAAAAATTGGAGGACTTTAGGAGACGTCTATATTCGCATTCACTAGAAAGATATATATTGAATCGATACTGCCCTTCGATATAGGGTTGTTTATTCAGAAATAAACAGATATTTAGATCATTCTTACCTTTCTCGGTGGGGGTTGCATGGTGCAGATCGCCGTGGTGGCGGCCTGCGCTTAAGAACGCGTAGCAATTTGGATCGATGGAGACCCACGCAAGCGTGACCGTGTTCTGCCGCTTTTGCCCATTGCCCAGCCGAGGCAGATTACGCGCATGCGCTTTGCTTTTCTTACTAGGTACTCTCATCTCAATTTTATCGTATCACTATTAGGATAATTAAGCTTAATTATGCGACTATGTTTAAATGATTTTTCGGAATGTAAGAATTATATCAAATTATTCACTTAATGTTTTTCTAATACCTTTAAACTCTTCGTAGCCAAAAAGAAAATTGTTTTAATATTCATAAAATATACTTTACTAACTATCACGAATTTTTATGTCTATACTAACATTTCTAAGGCGCCTACTTTTAAAAGGATTTTGCTAATCGTATCTTTTCTGGTTATTTACTCACGAGGAACAATCACTATACTTCTATTTGATTTTAATAAAAATTTACTTTGAAAGATCGCATCGCATGGAAGACATAGCGAACGCGTCTTTTTCATTGTTTAAAATTCGTAACGACCGTATAAGCATAGATGTATACGACTCTGTTTTTTAGATCATTATTCATAGAAAAGTAGGATCAGTCTTCTGTGTCATGCTATCGATTTTTGGGTTATGACGTGCAGGCTTCATCACGATGTTTTCCCTCACCGTATGAGTAAGTATTAATTGCGCATAAAGATGTAAAAAGCCATTGCTGTACGACCTAGACGGTAGACAAGAGAACGCATCTAGCAGTGACACGTACTCTCTAACGATTCGATAAATATCTTCTAGGTTATTTATCTATTTCAACAGTCAGATTTCTCCCTATTTGTGTGTCAGTTTTAAGTACGTACGTACATAAAAACGCAGTTCAGTTTATCATAAAAATAAATCGTCAGTTATAATAACATATTTAATATTTACCTAGTACATAGTTATTGATAAGATATAATATATATGCTGTGCTCTGTTTCTATTAGCTGTGGACCTTCGGTTTTACCTGCTTTAATATGGCATCATAAATTGACGCGTAATTTGCATGCAGTTATTTTAAAACTATAATATCTCCTAAAATACACATTAAATTCATGTGTGTTGAAAATTAAAAACATATCATGAATTAAATTTAAGGAAATAATTAAATAAGGAAATAATATTAAGTATATAGAAACACTTTCGCAAGTAACTTTAAAATTTAGTCTGGAACTTTTATAGAAGATATAATTGCATGCTTTTTTTATACCCTCCTTTCGAAAAATGAAAACGAACAAACTCTTCAGTAAAATAGGCTATACTTATTTATTTCCAAAATATTAAAGAAAATGTCCAGCCGTAAAAAGATAGAACAGGCCGCTTGTACCTGAGATATTAATTGATAAAATTATTAAAAAACTTATTAGTAACATTCATGTCACTCGATAAAAATTTAATTGCTTTTGACGTTAGATTCGAAATCAGCGTATAAAAATAAATACAGGCAAAGCAATTATCAAATAATCGTTTGACAGTCATAAAAATATAATATAGGTATATATGTAATGCAAAGAATTTCCGGTGCTACTAGCACTTTATACAGAATTAATTGGAAATCATTTTTTTGTAACTTTACAATAAAAAGTACTGAACTAATTATCATGCAGTTATTGTTCTTTAAAGTCCCGAAATGAGAACGACTCATTTCTGTGTCTTGATCTATCTATCTTTTAAGGCAATCAGACGATCAATCTTCTAACACAAAACAATCCGATTTCCGCCTCAAGACGTCCGCGGGTAGCGAATAAGTTTATCACTATTCTGGCCCACGTATATTTGCTTAAAAAGCTCTCGGCATATTATATATATATATACCATATGTTATATTACACTTATATAACATATTTAACTTAAGAGAAAGGGAACAAATATGCTCACAGGCAAAACTTGACTTTCTTACTAAAATTACTTACCCGGTAATAACGACCAGTCGCACTGGTGTAATTGCGTTTGTTTGACATGTTTTTTTAATTTTCATTCATATGTAGCTTTACAGTATTTTTTTCAAAATGAAACGATTTAATAAAAAAATTGTATAATAATATTGTAATTACTGCCGTGAGATTATTTACATTGTCGTGTTATTTAAATTTTGATTAGTGATAGCAATATCACGTGTCTCACTATCAGACTTCAGAAGTAAATTACAAACTATCGATTCAAATTGACACCACAATCAAAGATATCGCACTTATTTGCAGTAAGGTGTGATAAGGCCAACAATTTTATTGTGTTTCTTGAAATTCGTCAGTATTGGATATATTATATCTGGATTTTATAATGCCTACGTGGTGTATCGGAATTATGCAGATAATTTTTTATCTATACCTAATAGCAAAAGGAAAGTCTCCTTAGTCCATTTTATGTAAATTTTGAAAAAAATAATGATGGGTTCGAATTCGCCAATTTAATTCATACATAAATATATCAACCTACGTAGGTTCAATATTATTAAATTTAAATTTTATTACTTTTGCTAAATACTTAAATTCTTTTGCTTATTACAACTTTATGTTGTGAATCTTAATATTTGTACCAAGTCCAAAATTTTTCTATCTAATAAAAATATCACGATAGTTCAATCGTTTAATATATTTTACAATTTTTTCTACAGTCCTTATTTACATAGAAAAGTTGTACTTATTAGCATAAAACGGATTAGATACAATACAATCGATACCTTCTGGTTTTCTCTGTAAAAATAAATCCATATTAGAATAAAGATACATAACCCATATATTATGTAGATGGTAATATTCAAGATCTTGTTAAGTCAAATCGTACTTAAAAATTTCGCCTATTTCATTGTGACCATTTAAGTGTTTTTGTCCTTATTTACATAGACGGGAGCGAGAATGAGAATGAGAGATTAATCACCAATTTACTACTTGTAGGCAAATAATTATGAACAGCAAGCATATACACAATATAGTATAAGATCCCGATATACAACGACCTTCACCGAGATGCTTATTTAATGAAACGTATTTTATATTTAATTTAATATGTCAATAAATATAATCCATATGGGTTGCCTAGCAAATTTCAGTCCAGAATATGTTTAATTAATATTTAAAAAAAAATTTTTTTTTATAATTTGCATGTAGTAAATTTTTTAAATTTTTTTCAATCAATATTTTTAATCAGGGTAGTATTATATATGTATCACTATAACTTTCTTTTTTACTAAAGATGTATATATACTTTAGTGTCACATAAAAAATATACACATAAATAATTAATTGATTAAAAACAACCTAACGTTTGCATATTCTATGGGCTTCATACTTTCGATTGGTATAGAATTTATTTAATAATCATACCGGTGAAATGTTTAAAAAATTTTTTTTTTTTAATTAATTAAAATACTCTGGACTGAAATTTGCTAGGCAACCCATATGGATTATATTTATTGACATATTAAATTAAATATAAAATACGTTTCATTAAATAAGCATCTCGGTGAAGGTCGTTGTATATCGGGATCTTAGACCAATAGCGATTCCGTATTTAAGTTTTCGTACAACGTAAATCCAAGTTTGCAACATCTATTAAAATAACTACATCGAAAGTTGAATTGCTAATTTCTTACTCTATTTTATTTGAAATCGGTATTGGTTTTACAGAGTAGACCTGCTATTTTGTATTCCAAGTTGAATTATTTGAATCTCAGATAGATGAAACATTCAAAATCATAAAATAAAAGAATGAAGTAATTGATCTAGAAAAATTTAATAATGAAGGAGGCGACTATGTGCACATTGAAACTTAAAATATTTACAACACCCGCGTTGCATTTCCCTTTACTACGTACACACTGCCACTTTACCATCTCTTAATTTCTCGGATAACTCTATTCTGTACATAAGTAGTTTGTACAATTTATTCTTAATTACTAATAATCTAAGTTTTTAAAACCATGGAAATACTTATAAGGATAATGGTATTAGCTGTTAATCTCTCTTAAAGTATTCTTACTATCTAATACATAAATAACTATGTGTGAAATTATTTTTAAACTAATGACTGATCATTCAGCCAACTACAATGAATTACTAATGATGAATTTACGACTGAGGCATAATATACAGACATTTTATTAACGATTTTACGGTTACACATTAGACGTGAGCTAATTATTTATGAAATCTATTGAAAACTTGTGACTATATTTAATGCTATATCAAATAAAATGTTTTTCCGACTTCAAAGGGAAAATTGTCGAACGACTTCGTACGACCTCTACTTTAAAGTGACTACTAAATATAACCTCATACGTACATGTAACACATTAAATATTCCAACAACACTCAAGTTAACGATGCTTCCTATATTTAAAGTAAATGACAATTCCAAACAACACTTACAATAGCTAAAAATTGGTAAGTTATTAATATAAAATCATACGCTCAAAGCTCATCTCTAAATAACACCAAATATATATAATAGTAGTACCAAAATCGTTATTTTATTACATTAAAATGGTTACAGAACATGCTAGTACACATTATGTATATTGTATCAAAATATTTAAAAGTATTTACAGATTCGTCACTGAGTGTTATCAACGGTTGTTATTTAAAAAAATCTTAAAATGATGTATAAATTAAAACAAATCACAGTAACAAGGTAATGCTCGATAATTACAATGTCTGATAATTCAATTCGTACAATATTTACTAAGCCACATGTTGTACATACTCTTTATATTGGATAGATTGTGCGTACTGCATGCGTAGTAATAAAAAATCAAATAAAAATCAATTTGGCAAACGTGGAACTATTTAAAATATTTTCCGATCGGTGAGAAAATGCGCGAAAGGAAGACAATTTTTATGTGATTTTGTTGACACTACGAGGGTTTTAAAAATACATTTTCGAAAGATGTAAACATCGTAACTAGGCCTTTTCTGGAATCTGATTCCTGTTTGCTCTTAAAAGATAGTCAATTTAATGATCTAATAAAATGATGACATCTGATGATTGTTGGTATTGCATTATTCAATTCAATAAGGATTTCAGTCGAGGCCAGGCCCGAATAGCAATACCCAGATTAAAATGTAAAAAAAAACAGAAACATGCAAATCATTATTTTTAAATAATATAAATTATTAATCTATTTGATAAAGTAACCCAAATGAGGAATTACATGTATTTCATTACTTACAACCGTTTAATAAAAATTCAGTTTCAAATACGAGCATCACCGGTGACAACAATAAATAAAGAATAACAAAAAATCCTTAGACAAATTGACTAGTTTAAAAAAATATACACAAACATTGATTTTATAAATCTGTTGAACTTTTTTTAAATATAGTTTTCAAATTCAATTTTCACTAAAAAATATATGAAAGGTTTTGAGAAATTTCGCCTAGACGATTAAACGAATATTTTGTGACTACCCGTTGAGCAACAACACGAATCAGGTCCCACCAGATTTATGTTTGATTTACTATGAAAAAATTGATGTAATGTTGTTGACATCTTTACCAACATCTAACGTACATATAAACACATTACAATGGAAATGACAGTGATAAATACTGATTCTAATCGTCGACAGTTTATTATATCGCATTAGTTGGTAAACTATTAAACTATTTTTACAATACGTATCTTAAATAATAATAAATGCACTTTCAGATAATTTACAAACTGAGAAATTACGTCAAAATAAAATATACAAATAATGATTCTCTTGGGATCTGATTATTTTAAAACATTGAGTTATTTATTGTGAAACATTGATGAACTGGAAAAGACATTTATTGAATTGTACTTTTACAATTGCAAGATATTGGTGTGTATATAAATAATGCTTAAAACTACACCACATTTCAGAGAATACATTGTGATTTTCTGGGCTATTAACTGAGATTTGATTTTTTAAAATTAATTGTATTTACATCGTAAAATAACATTTATGAGAGCAACTACTAACATATATGGACTTAAACCTACACCGGCCACAGAGGTCGATTAGAACATGACTATCCGATGAGTATTTGCAAATATTGCACATTTTATGATGCATACAATAATAATCTATCATAAGCTAGCTGTGATTTTTACAAAATACAGTTTTCTTTTATAAACTCACACATAATTGCCATGGTTTAAATAATTTTAAAAGAATAAGAGTTTCAGACCTTGTATGTCGTAATGATTCATGATATTTTGGATTTTGACAATACAATTTTTAAAACAATTTCAACATTAATATTGTTAGAAATATAAGTTGATTTAAAATGTGAATAAAATAAATTTTTCTTGCAAAAAAAATGTACATTTAATATAATAAAAGAGATGATATAAAGAGTAAATATAATCAGTATGTGTGCGTTTATAAATAGATTATTATAAAGTTTAACAAAATAAAATCCTTTAACATTGTGATATCAATGTAAGAGCAAAATTCCATTTTAAAATTTTAGTGACCACAAAAATACAGTAAAAGAATAATGTTTAATTTACTGAATTGATTTTATAGAAGGTGGAAATATAAAAAATATTTTTTAAAGCTTACTAGTACAAATGTTTTTTGCTCTAAGCAATGGCAGAAAATCAGTAACAATAACCTAATCAAATTATTAATAGTTACTAGTATGCATTTTGTATGACAGTGAGATTCTTTATTACGAGTAATATAGCTAATGTATTAAAGTTTTATCCCTATATAGTCACATTTTTGTATTCATAAATACTTCAATGTATTATGTAATACATATTAGATGTAAATTGAGCTTTCGATTTATACAAATAAATAATTTACACTTAAGGATATCATTATTTTTATGTTGTAACTATATACATGCACTTCACATCAAAACGTTTTATAGTCCAGTTTTTAACTTTTTATATCACCTCACTGTACAGTTTCCATCGATGGTGGCGGAAGGGAGCGCAGCCGATGTTGGACAACTCTTATTGGCTTCGGCGGCCTCTTTTTCCAACCTCGCCTTTTTCATTACATAACCGGAACCTTGCGAACTACGTTTTAAACGTATCGGGGTCACTTTTTCATTTCGTATCCTTCGCAAGGCAGACGAGGATTCACAGAAAGGGGTATCTATAGCGAGTGGGTCGGGCGCTGACGGGTCGTAGTCGAAGGGGTCCACAGGCAGCTCGGCGCGAGCCGCACTCTCTCCGCTTTTGTCCTCTGCCGCGTCTTTTTGGCGCTTAATTTTTATAATTAACTTAGTAGTGCTTTCACTATCACTATTAACCACTAAAAGTTTTTTATCCTTTTTCTTCTTGCCCTTATCTTTTTTTGGCTTTTTGGGTTTTTTGTCCTCCTCGAAATCAGCCATTACCATACGGCGGTATATCATGCTTTCACGTTTCAAATCTTCCATGCTAGGTGTGGGTATTATTTGGGATTGAAGTCGTTTCTTAGGGGGGCGGAATTGGCAGCTTGATGAATCTTCAGGTACGGGTTGCACTAAGTTTGAGCCAATTTTTATTTTTAACTTGGGTGCAACAGGCGATATTTCACTGGGCGAAGGCGGGCTTGGTTTCGAAGGAGCCACTCGCGTTCGTCTCTTTGGATATTGCCCTAGACCAGCTACGAATTTCGATAACTTTACATTATCAGACAAATCTATGTCGCTATTTAACTGCCGTAATTCTCGAGATAGAGCACTGCTCTTACGTTTTTTCTTTTCCACAGCCGTTTCGGTCATTTTGTAATCTTCTCTGGTCGGTATGCTTGTCATGGAAGCTACGGCTTTTGGTATCGTTATAACTGCTCGAGCTAGCGGCTGAGGTGCTACAGGTGGAGGTACGATTCCGACATTTGTAGTATTAGTAGGATCATCCATGTTCATATCTTGCGTCCAATATTGCCGCAGTAATTCTTTTTTACGCATGCGTCTCAAGTTTGTAGAGCCAGTTGATGAGACAGAGCCAGTGGACAAGTTCAAGAAACTACTATTGGGATCGTAAACGGGGGCAGGTGGTTTTGGTGCTACTGGGGTCGCTGAGCTAGCCGAGTAATTTGCATCTAAGAAGGGTCCTTTTATTTTAACTTTTAACTGATTTCTAGAATCGGATAAAGAGACCTTTGGTAATTGGGGCATAAATGAATCTTGATGAATATTTATTGTGTCTGGTATTGGGGTGGTAAGTTCTGCGTCTGCTTTTTGGTTACTTGTCATTTTGAGTGCAGTATGCAATTGCTTTTCTACTTCCTCATCAATATCAGGTAAATGCTGATCAGCAGTTCCACTAGCAAATTCTAACAAATGACTGTGGTAAACGTCACTGACAGCTGGAGATTGCATTTCCGAAGCGTTGTAAGTCCGCATATCGACTGGTCCAGGTAGAACTGGCTGTACTTGAGAAAAACTAGTATGTTCCAAATTATCCGTATGTGTGGGCGAATTAGATTCGTCTTTTTTAATTTCAAGAATAAGAGAATCCTTATCCTCTTTGATACTGATGGATGCACTTTGTGGGCTGGAGATTTGTGGTGATTGCGATGATTCTTTAAAACTATGCTCCGATTTGCGTTCGTCTTTTACATCTATGGATTTTCGGCGGTCTCTTAATGCTTTCAGATCAACACCATCATTGGCTATCTCTTCTTCAAAGTCGTATACAGTACCAACAAGTTTACTTTGTATAGAATTTTCCATATGGGCGCTAAAAAGGTTTTGTGAACCCTGAGCACGACTTTTTGAACGACCTCGTCCCCTTTGTGTTCTGTTGCTTCTGTTGCTTGGTCTTTTAGTTCCCTTTGGTACATCTACTTGTTTTGGCGATATACCAGGACTCTTCCCGGATAGCTTTAGTGAATTATGTTTTGTAACTTTCAGTGGTGATATAGAATCTGGGGGTTGTGAACTCTCAGTATTTTCAGCTTTAATTGTCTCTCGGGTATTGCTACCATCGTTAAATGAATCAACACTTATACTGGGACTTGAAGGTGCGTTAATTGATAGCTTGTCACTACCGGTTACATCAATATCTTCAGATGGCGAGTCAAGCGGCTTTGATGTCGGTGATGCTATCATTGCTCGTGTTAAAGCTATATTTTGGGAGGATGTCGTAAATGCCGCACAAATATTGGAAAATATCGGTTTTGATAAGGGTGGCATCAGTGATGTAGCTGAATAAGATAAGCTTGGAACATAAAGGCCTGGAGCAGTCGAAGATAATGACAGTTGTGATGATGGGCATGCTCCTGGAGGAAATATAGGCAACACCATAGGACCCAGATATGGAGACGCAGTTTGAGGATAATTCGCATATTGGTTCAGAGACATAGCAGGATCTAAGGGATGTGAATATGGTGGTATAGGTGGGTAACGTTCTATTTCTGACATAACACCTGATCGATGGCGATCGCATGATATACGAAGACTGGTCTTTTGAGAATTAATAGAACTGTCAGAATTTGTGCTAGATGCTGAAGAACGTCTTGTTGTTATCTTGCTCTCTTGCCACTTAGATTCATGATTAAGATAAGGAGATGACACTGTAGCACAATCTGAATGTATTACAGAATTATTATTATCATATGTATGATTGTCTTGAGTTAAATCATTGTCAATAGAATGGTCCACCACTGATAAAGACTGAGAGTCATCACTTATCTTTGAAATTGATATGGAATCACCAACTTCAGAGATGGAGTTAATGTCAGACTGAGCAAGAGATGGTTCTTTTATATCATCAGTAAAAGAAGTAGTATCATCATATTTCTTATCAATTTGCTCTAATTGTGAATCATTCTGTAAGATAGATATAGCATCTTTATCATCATCCATATAGTCCATATTGTTCTCATTGTGATGGTTAGAATGAGATATTTGTTTGTTCTGATTAAAATTTTGAAGTAGATCAATTGTGTTTGGTACATGATGAATTAATGGTAAGTCTTTAATTGAGCTTTTGTCATCATCAACTAATGAAATTACTGGACTATCAGGATCACTCTTAGGTGTACTCAGACCTAAAGGAGGAACTTCTATTTCCATTTCTTTATTATCATTGGTAAAGCCATCATCTGATACAAAATTTTCAGGTTGCACTTTCTTTGAACTTAATTGCATTCTTAGACGGTCAACTAGGTTTAAAGTTTCTTGGGCACCTTGTTCTTTAGAATCCTCTTTAAATATAAATTCTGAATATGGTGGAAAGACTTCAATTTCATAATGATCATTTTCTCTAGGTTGAGGTGAATATATATTTCTGTTTGGAAATGTATTTAAAGCAGATGGAATTTTAGCACTTTTTGATATTTCAACCCCTTGGACATGACTCGAGTCTTGTGCAATAAATTTCTTGTCAAGAGTAGACTTTCTATTATTTCTGGTCAATGTATTCTCAACATCAATAGTATCCATTGTAAGAGTTCTTGCATCCATAGGTGTTTTGGGTGATTTAATCATTGTGTTTTCATTTAGATTTGCTTGAATTTTAGCAATCATTCGAATACTGCTTCTATCTGTAAAATCAACATCTAGAGATTTATCTTCTGTCATATATTTCTCGTGATCGCCTGGTTTTTCGACAGGAGGAGGATGAACATGTGGACTAGGAGCTTGTGACAGCCAGTTTTGGTGTGTACTTATAGTTTCGTCATCAGAAATATGTATTTTTTCTTTAATGGGTGATAAGTTAGAAACTGACAACGATGTATCATTTTCAAGTGACTTAGTTTCACTTTTAAGTTCAATATCTTTATTATCAAGCAAATCAGGTTCTTCGGTAATTTCTTCTTTAGGAGACTTGCTTCCAGAAGGACTTTTAATTATTTCAATTATTTTTTCTGTGTCGATTTTATCAAAGGTCTCATCCTCATCTTTAATAGTGTTTTCCGCTTTAATTTCATCAACTTCATCTCTTATCGTCTCGTCCGTTTCCCGTTGCGTAACAGTAAGTTCAATGGACTTGCTGCCCTCTTCTTGTTTGGGCGAGACAACGTCGACGATCCTGGGTGATTTTCTTGCTCTCGATTCTGAATTGTCAGACATATTTCCGCTTCCAGCAGTGCTTCGGGTCCGAGTACGCACGGTAGGGACCGCGACCATTGTTCGACTAGATTCCTCTCCTTCAATAGCCGGCGATGAAGCCCCACAGTCGGACCGCCGTTCGGAAGTTTTAAGCTTCTTGTCTGGGGTCTTGTGAGTGGATTCATCTGTGATAGTTTTGGCTTTGCGACGTCTCCGAGGTCGAGTAATCGAATACCTAGATCCTTTAGAACTATCGGAGTCACTAGAGGCACTAGTTGAAGACAGTGGTTTTGATACCTTGTCAAGAAAGGGCAAATCCACTGTTGGCCTAGAACCTGGTGGCGAAAACATCGATGGTTGCCTCGGAAACGGTTTTATTTCTCGAGCTTTTGCAGTAGGTTTAATGCCTGGTTTTTCATGAATTTCATCAGAACTTGAAGATGATGTGTAACTGCTACTGCTAGAATTAGAGGAGGAGCTCGAACTTTCATCTTGGATAATTTTAGATTTTATTTCTTCTTTCTTGGGTGACTTTATTTCTTCTAATCTTTCACTTTCTTTCTTTTTATCAGAATCTGGTTCTACCACTGGAGCTTTAGCCCCAAGGCCACTCTTTATATGAGCTGCTGCTTTTTTAGCCGCCTGCCTTTGAGGGACATACGCAATTGTTTCCTTTTGATCTTTCGATGACTTTTTTCTGCTTATTTTTGCAGGTTTTGAATCTTTCATTTCTTTTTCCTTAGCCTTTACTTTTTGTTTATTCTTTGAATCATCTCCACTTACTTGCTGCTTTTCAACAGGAGCATCATCTTTTTTAGAGGCAGTGGTTGACCGCATATTTTCTGAGGCCTTTTTAGCAGCTTGTCTTTGGGGAACAATCAAATCAGTAGGATTTTCTTTTTGTTTAGCAAACTTGATATTCTCTTTTGTTTCATCTTCAGAAACATTGGATTTATTTGTGTTTTTCTTGTCCTTATTATTCTGTTTCCGTCCTCTCTTTTTGGGACTTGCTTTAGAGTCATTGGACTCTGCATTAGTTGATTTCTTTTCAGGTTGACTAGAGATGAATTCCTTCATAGCTGCTTTTGTTCTAGGCAATGATTGCATAGAATCATTTTCAGTCGGAGATTTTTCAATCTTTATCTTGCTTTCTTTATTACTTTCACTACTATCAGAATAAATATCAACTGGGAACTTGTTGTTTCGAGTAGATCTAATTGGAATCAAATCATCACTATCTGAAACAGAGTCTCCTCTTCCAGCAGCCATTTCTTGTTCCAATTGCTGAAGAGTTTTACTACGAGATTGATCTTTATTTAATTTAGTTTTTACTTTTTCATCGTCTGAACTACTTCCAACAATAGCTTTTGAAAGTGGCACTTTCTTCTTCTTTTGTTCACATTTTTTGGGAGATTTTTTACCTTTACCTTTAGGTGAAATCTTTTTCTTGGCAGCGACCCGTTTTTTAGTGTGAGTTGTTTCGTCCTCATCAGTGCTGGAGCCAATTGTTCTTCCCCGATACTTCGAAGATCGCCCAATCTCAGTACCACTTTCTTCACTAGAAAGTCCAGCATACATACCACCCCTACGAGAACCATTTACATAAAGTTTTTTATAAGGATTTGAAGATTTTGACCCACGGACCAAGCCATTTCGGTCCCGTTTTTTGTCATCACTAGATTCCTGTGGAGCTATTCTGGCTAGAAGATCATCAAAATCATTTTCATGGTCAGGTGCATTTGGACCTGAATACAACCTGTCATATATAGAGGGTCCATGATTGGCTTCGATTATTGCCGTCAATTCCGGTGTTGGAATCGTTGAATCCGCAGATAAGACTGCTAATTGTTTGTGAAATGTTTGCTCGCGCATTCGGAAGTAGGATCTTGACAATTTTTCGCGGCGGCTAACCATATAGCACAAGTTACGCACCCTTTCCAAATCTTGCCGAAGTTGTACAAATTTTTTCATTTTTTCGAGATCAGCCTGTTCTTGTCTATGTGTCAGCAGTTCATTATTATCCGATTTAGGAGGAAGCAAAGGTCTATTATGACCAGCCCTTCTTTTTAATTTCCAATAATTATAAATATAACTGACAGCATCTTGATCAACATCTAAGTGAGAACTAATATCATTGATACCAATGTGTTCATCAAACTCTGCCTCAATTTCTTGAAGCCTCGCCGCTCGAGCTTGATTCTTTTCTTCTGAAGTCATATCTTTACGACGTTTTCTCTTAGCTTCCTCTTCTTCTTCTCCAGAACCAGGACACTTTTCTTTTTTGGAATTTACACTGTGTTTTTGGCAATATGATCGCAGTTTTACACCATCATCAGCATTTTCATCTTCAATTATCGCCCGCATTTCTAAACCATATTTAAATGCACAAGTAACATGATAAGCCGTTTTACAAGTCTTTACAGAGCATTGTATACAAGCCCCTTTTCTTTCACGGCACAGAACACAAACTAGAGACCACCTTGACTGAGGAATGGAACCTATTTTAGTGATGGGCTCCATTTTTTCAGCACAACCAATTGACACTTCTGGAATCCACAAAACACAGCTTACATGGGCCCATTTATGACCAGATGGCGTGCATTTCATGGCCCCGCTCACGTTGGGGCATAAAACACAATTAGGTTTAACACCTGCGCGGCAGGGTCGACACAACCATTGACCTGGAAATATATATTATTTTATGACAACATATTTACTTATTTGGTAAAATTTAGCACAGCAACTGAATTAAACAACTTACCTTCTGGAATAACTGTTATGCCATAGCATGCTTGGTGGACACATATATTACACTCATCACAAAACACCATCTCATTTCCATCTTCAGAGTCTGGAGATCTACATACATCACATATTACATTTTCATCATATTCAAGACCTAAGCCTTCTTCGGATTTTATTATTGATTGTATTTTGTCCCATGTTCGTACCTGGAGACAAAATTTACTTAATAACAGAGCCACAATTACAAAAGTGCACACAAAAAATATTAATGGTTGATATTAAACATTTTTTTATGAAAAGCAACATTGTATAATAAACTATGATATTAAGTGATTTTTATATATTTAATATCTGTTGCGTTGTATATATATATATAGGTGATACAACAGACCATCTATCATCGTCACATCATCTACATTTTCTACTCACTATATAATAGTTTTTAAGTTTAACTAAATTTTTTTAGAGAATCAGAATTTTGGAACGATTAGTTTTCACACTTAAGCCTATCAATATATATTTCATATTAAACATACCTCTAGTTCTTCTATTACTTTTTCAAGTTGGTCTTCTGTTACTGCTGTGGCTCCGGCTCTAGCGCGTTCTGCATTTAATAATTTGAGCCAAGCCATGTCAGTAGCATCTAGGTCATAATTACAAGCAGACTCTGCTTGGGATGGTGTTGTGCTCAGCACATGCTTATCTGGCAGGTAATGAGCATCTCTACTAAGATGAATATATTTATCCTTAGGTCTGGAAAAAAAGGAAATAAAAATAAATTCTAATAATATCCCTTATTTCTAAGGCCAATCAGCAAACAAATAAGTGGTAGAAGTTTTTGTTACATCTACATATTATATAGATCTACTACAACTAAACCACTTACATAATTATAATAAATTTTCTATATCCTATTGCTGGATCAATAGATGTCATGATACATCACCTGACCGTAGTATATGATAGATATTTGTGCAACAATTTTGCGCAGAAAGGTAAAGATACTTATTTCAAACTAAAAAATTATTTAGGTTAAAAGAAATAGTAATGTCATCATTAATATGTACTTACAGTTTGAATTCTTCAAATTTTGGTGGTTTTGGATTTTTAATAATTTTAACTTTAGGGGCTGGCAAAGAATCTGGATTGACAGGAACCTGTACTCCTCTCTCCCAATCTTGCTTCCATGTGTCTGTGATTATCCAGTAATCGCTTGGTGTTAGTGGCTCGGTATCAGCCAATTTCATCATTGAAATGAAATCCTTCCTGAAATTTTTGGTATACTCCTGTAATGACATCTCTTCAACAAAATGGAAACTAAATTTACATAATTACTTCATACATTTACAATTGCATTTTCAAATAAAAAAGAAATGTAATAAAAATCAACGCTAGTGTAGCAATGTGTAAATTATTTTGAGGTTTTAATAAGATAAACAAGGAATTGTGGGTATCTAATTTAGAATAATTGAAATCTCACAGCATACAGAAAATAAACAGTAAGCACCCCATCCTGAGTACCTCAAGAAAAAGGCTTAATATTTGTGGATTGGTATTTTGTATGGTGTAGTCTATTTATTTCAAAATACTGTATATCCAAGTACACTTTATATGTATCATAGAGGACTAAACCTTATAGAAACCTTCAGCAATTGCATTCAGTTGTTGGATGTATTTAGTGATATTTTTACCTACTATGTTATTTCACTAAAGGTTGACTTCTGTTTTGAGTGGGACATATACAATATAGTTCCCTTAACTTTTAAGTCTAATAATTATGTTTTATTATTTATTTTATCAATATATTTGAATGTAGTAATTCCCATAAGATTTAGGCTATTACTTTTTTTTTACTCGTGGTTCGGTATTAAAATACTATCCATACTGCATAACAAGTAAAAAAATAGTATTATAGTATATTTAGTATATATTATTAAAGCCAAAACTTAAATCAGACTATATGAACCTTTCATTGTCTTATGAAATAAGTAAGCAATTATAACACAATTTGTAAGATCTTCGCTTATAGCATATGAAAAGACATAGTCAATTTTTAGTTCATAAAGAGGCAAATATTAAATACAAATATAAAATCACTGGTTATATTTCTTACCAGACTTTCACGAGTTAGCCAAACATACTTTACAAAAATTCTCAAAAGTAAACAAATTGCATATTCATATATACTAGGTAAAGATTCTGTATACAAAAACAAAAATTATAATAATGAATAGGTGTAAATATGATCATAATAAATGTCTATGGCATGAATATAAAAATAAACATCAAAGCCATTATATGGAATTGTTCTAGATTCAAATCAACAATTGTAGATAATTTTATACAATATAATATATAAGTGAAGGTATTCCCTAAGACCAAAAGATATTTATCAATATTTTCTTTCAATTATACCCTTGGTTTTCAATCAAAATAACTTTTGACTAAAAATTTCTTATAAAGTCAGCAACACTTGCAAATTTTCTGTAAAAATATAATGGTGGAATAACATTATATTTTTACTTTTAATCATACATACTACGTGAAAAATAGTAAAAGCATGTATAATACCTATTATTATCGCTTAGCACAAAATTAAACTAATAATCATCACAATACACTCGCATGTTTGGTATATGGAATCAATTTTTGCCTTTGGTAGCTAGATAAAGAATATAACAATGCAATGCAATCTTAAAACTACAAAAACATTTAAAACAATTTTTTATTCTTAAGATACAATAAATAGTACAAACAACATCTTCTAAACAGATAAGACACTTGCATTTGCTTCATTTAAATACTGTATCTTCAAAAATATTTTAACAGAACTTCCATTGAATTAGTTCTAAACAATGTTGCACAAGCACAAATGCCCAGTTATAATATTTAAAACACAAACCTGAAAAGTTCTGCAGGTGCCTCAGAGGCATTTCTATTATAAATTGATGACATCTTGAGGTCACTAACTGGACGAAGCTGCCAGAGTGCATCTTCAGACTCCACTCTTCGGCGCTTGGAAGTGCCTGCCTCGTCCCTGCGGACCCCACTAGCCCGCTTTGTGCCTCTCAACGACATCTTATAAAGTTTATTCACAACCTACATGTTTACGACCCCCACACTACTTTACATTTTGAACGTGGTAATAACATCGTATAGAATGTCACATAGCTTGCTACATATTGGTACTTCAATTTTCCACAAGACAGAAACAGGAACAGCCTGAAAATTTGTAAATAATGTTTAAATATACTAAACAACAGGTTTGTTACATTATTAATACCTATCACTAGCTTTGTTTAACACATTTTCCATTCATTTGAGACTTTACAGCATTAATAACAGTAAAATCGTAGATTTATGCACCATAACACTAGTTAAGGGTTGCAATGTAGAGTAACACACTGTTCTCCTTACTAATTACTATATATTTATAATCTCAGCAATAAAACAACATCAAGGGAAATTCGATACATATTTACGGTCGTGAAATTAGTCTTTTTACCTGTTTTACTACGAGACTATTCTATTAAATCATGATTTTAGCACAAAAGAGGAAAGTGAATAACATTTTGGTTTGACGTTTCACTATTGCATGAGTAAAATGTATGGCGGGCCTGTGTATCGTTCGCCAGAATTTTGTCTAACAAAAATACAGCGGCAATTTAATAAAATTAACTCTTAAAATGATATCCCTGCTTAAACACACTTTTTCTACGCTAATTTAAAACTCGTGAGTTTTAATTTGTCGATCTATAACAGTAAATATTTATCACAAAGATATTCTCCATTGAATCTACTTAACAAAATTGACAACATAGATAGCAGCACTGTATTGTTGCCAGATTGACGTTTGTCCTACGCATCATTTCGACTTGCAACTAGGTAGGAAAGGGATATAACATATATTTACATTAATAGGTACAGGTATACATATTACAACAGGTCGATTTAATATACTTAATCTTTGTTATATGAAAGAATATGTTTTCTTAATACATACATTTTCTGTTATAATGATTTCGCGCCATTGATCAAAAATTCACTTGGATCACGTGACTATTACATACGAATCATTAAGACAAGCCTAGTAAAATGGCCAAAACGCACATCGAGTTCATAAAATGTCATGGGTTCAAAAAACTTCCAGCTTAACATTAACATTTAGGTAGATTCCAATGTTCTTTAAATATGATAAACTATTCACTAACACAATCTTGAAACAAAAATACAGTTCATAGCGTTATTAATCACAATAATTTTACATGGACTTTCGATGAGGGATATCAATAAGAAGTTTCAGATATCTCACAGTAGTTGGCGCTACTAGTATTGAGATTTGTGCATCAGAAATATTGCCATCGCAAAAATTTCCTACGAGCATAGAGTAGACCACGTTATAGTATATATACAATTTATATAAGTTATTATCCAGCCACTTTGCCGTGAACGACCCTAAGGTTTGAAAATTATGTTGTTAAAGCATACATTTGACAACTAATACCTTATAATTTACGTAATTATCAATATAGTCCAGGAGGAATCGGCGCATGAGTACCGAAAACTACTCCACCTCAAGTTCTTTATGCGATCCTCTTTAAATTGTCCTACTGATGATATAAATGGATGTTGCCATGGGACAACCCCGTGCCATATTGTTTAAACTGAAATTGTTTAAACAATTGAAAGGAATTGTTATTTTTCAACCGGACAATTTTTTTTATATTCTTTATTGAAATACGAATAAAAAAAGTCCTATGACTTTTCACGATAAAGTTAATATTTTTAGAGATATGAATTTTTAAAGGTTTGAAAAATCTCAAATTTATGTACGTTTTACCCATGAAAAATATATTAAAACTAATAATACTAATACTTGACGGTTCATAGTCGAGTCTTTGTGTAGGATTCAGAAACGAGCCTTATCGCTAGGTGTGATTTCCGTATGTCAAAAACGTATTGGATAATGAATTTTGACACACGGAAGTCATACTTATTGTTAAGTCTCGTTTCTGAATCTTATCCTCTGTACTTTTTATATATTTCAGCATTCAGTATTAACATTAAAATACTGATGTATCAACTTATACTTTTTGACAAGGAGTATTCGTATATTCAGAATGAATTTATACGGGTTTTATACCAAGGGCTTTAAGGTACTTATACTTTAAAGTACCCAACGTGGATTATGTTAGGGATGGTTGGATACAACAATCCAGACGAGAGTTACAGCTTGCCTGCTACGTTGTTAAACTTTTTCGGCGAATTATTAGCAATCCTAGTGTTCTGCAAGTGCTTAGTAGCGACATTAAAATGTTCTATTACTTATAATCAACACAACTATCGCATTATAACGGTTAAGATACTTGTATATTTAGAAATAAATACATCTGCTTACATTCAATATTTATTAATTATTTGACAAACTCAAAATATAAAAAAAATTTACACAAACATGGATAAAATCCTTAAATTACTTATTCTAGACCTTTGTACGTTATTATGACTGTTGTTTTATTAACAAATTTGGTATAAATGAAGAAAATAATAATAATTTGATTACAATATACTATGATTAGAAATAACACAATTATTTTAGTATTCAGTAAAACTCATGTTAATTGTTTATATATTATACATGTCAATACATGGCTTAAAATAAGTAGACATTCTTTTATGATAGCATCAAGACAGAAATACAGAATATTTTCTGTTTTTATAAAATAGAAAAGTAGAAAAATATAAATTTATGGAATGCAACAAAAATGAGATTCTGAACTTGTAACATACATTTTGGGATAATTAATCAGTCATATGTAATAAAAACTTACAAGATATAATGCTCTAAACTTTAGTTACTGACAAAAAATAGCTAAGTATGGTATCTTTTATACAAAACGTTTGATGTTTAAATAGATGGCTATTTATTTACTAATGAAATGTACAAAAATAAGCAAAGAATATAAATTATGAATTATGAAGAATATACTTCAATGAGTAAGTAGTTTAGATAAGTAAGACACTCAAAAGATTAACAGGAATAATAAAGACTGAAAAAGTTAATTCAATAATTGTCACTTTAGCAATAAATTATTATATGATTTTAAGAAGCAACGCTATAAAACAATAAAATACTAATCCTAAGAAACCAACAAAGAGATTTCAATTTATTTTTTGTCATTAATTATTATTTCTCCTAAATATAACATTTTCAGATCTTTACAAGTTAAAGCTAGTATGAGTTTATTTTTATTATTAGTGTCAGGTTATATTTTATATGATATATGACATTGAATTCCTTAATTACACTTATCCCATAACTTTGTTACAATAATTATCTATTTATATTATGATACATTTTAAAAACAATTATAAATCTTATATAATCCATAATACTTGTATTGGAATCTGTAATTAATTATTAATCATAAATATATTAATGCTGTGTTGTATAGATCTCTTAAAATCCTAAAAGTAATTAAAATGTAATAGAAACATAGACAATTCGAAATGTGTAGATACAACTAATGTGCGCAATGTAAAATACAAAATTTGGCGTTTAAATTATGTTCTAAATTCGAATATGCCTCTTTGACCTTTTATGTGAATACTAAATGAAAAATTAAATTTACAGTGCATGAGACCAGTACAAATTTTTATTTTAATAGCTAAAGGTTCATAAACAGTCTGCTTGTAATAAGACGCAAATATTGAGGATTTGTTAATTCTAAAAACACAAAAATAATCACATTATCTGGAGTTCCCCTTAGAGTGGAATAATATAGTTTTATACACTTAATTACATATAGTAGCATAGTGTTTAATGCCACCTACCAATTTAAAACTTACACAAACTACAAGGTACATATGAGAATGGAAATACAGTTACTTATTTGTTTAATAAATTTAAAAAATATTAGGTCCTTACATATGAAATTGGCGTTTTGTATGGGAGGAACAAAAAGTCGAATATTTTTAAATATAATATATTTAATTAATCAAAGTATGAACTATTGTTTTCTATGCACTTTTGCCATCTCATAGGTAGTTCATTGATCCCTTTACTAAAAAAACCAGTCGGACGGGAATCAATAAAATCTGTGAAGGCGATTTGGACTGCCCCATCAGAGTTAAATTTTTTCCCTTGCAAGAAGTTGTCCAAATTTCGAAAAAAAAGGTAATCTGTTGGAGCAAGGTCCGGGGAGTACGGAGGATGTCTTAGACATTCCAATTGAAGCTCTTCTAATTTGGTAGCCGTCTGTTGTGCAGTGTGTGGTCTAGCGTTGTCGTGAAGTAGCAGTGGCGTGGAGCGATTGACCAGCCTAGGTTGTTTAGCCGCTAGCTTTTCCATCATGGTTTGCAATTGCTGACAATAGACATCAGACGTAATAGTCTGGCCAGATTTGAGATAACTGCAAAGAACAATACCTATATATAACTTACCTATAAGTAACTTTTTTGGGGTTAATTTTCGCTTGGGGCAGGATTTGGCTGGCTGGCCAGGATCCAACCATTGCGCTGAGCGCTTCCGATTATCGTAAAGAATCCATTTTTCATCACAGGTAATGATTCGGTTTAAAATACCTTCATTATTGTGCCGGTTCAGTAATGTAACGCAGCAGTCGACGCGCGTTTGCCGGTTTGCTTCAGTCAATTCGTGAGGTACCCATCTTTCAAGCTTTTTAATCTTCCCAATTTGCTTCAAGTGAATTAAAACAGTTTTATCACTAACACCGCAGCCTGCAGCTAACTTGGACGTGGTTTGCGATGGATCCGCTTCCACAATAGCCTTCAATACTTCATTATCAACTTGGGTCTCAGGCCGTCCACGGGGCTTGTTCTGCAGGTCTAAATTTCCAGAACGAAAACGTTGGAACCAAAAACGAACTGTGTTTTCTTTTGCAACATGACCGCCATACACATCATTCACCCTTCGAGTCGTTTCCTCAGCACTAGTGCCACGGCGGAACTCGTACTCGTTAATAATGCGATACTTTAAGTTTTCCATTTTGTAAAATGAGTGACGCAAACAGAAAAAAACAGGAGAAAAAAACAGATGAATGACGGTCATCGAAGCACAAATACATGAGTAAGGGTTAGGGTTAGGGTAGTAGGACTCCTTTCTCCGCAATTAGACTCGTAATTGGTCCGTTGTGCGTACGAGTCCTGGCTAATTTAGCCAGCCTAGCTCCTTCCAGAAGCACAGAAGTCTCCTGGGCACTTCACAGGCTTCCCGGAGAGACCTCACCGTTCCGAGGATTTTTTCACGTTGATTAGCCACAGCCTCGCATTCCAGGACTACGTGGAATACATGAGTAAATAGCTGTACAAATTCGAATTTGCAATTCGTTACCAAAGAGGAGAACATCGTGATTAAAGTGGCCAGTACGAAATACGCCAATTTCATATGTAAGGACCTAATATAAACATATGGTGCAAACATGCACACATATACGACTCGAACGATTATAAGTTATTCACAATTCATATACTTTTTAAATAATAAATATGGACTCATGGTGTGTGATTAAGAAATCGGTAAATGCGTTTATTGGTGCAATAGATTGTAATGAAACATGTCCGTTCGGCGGCCACAATAAATTGGGCCCGAAGACCACTGCTAAGTTGCTGCTTGTCATCTTATTTAGGCAGCTCCGATCTTGTACCTATAAAAATAACCTTCGGTAGGACTTAAACTATTTTTGAATCTGGGATATTAATTTAACTATGTGAATTTGACACAGAACTCCTAAAGGAGGCTTATTATCTACGATTCTACAAAATAAAAATAATCAAAGAAATACAAACAATAATTTCATTTAGGGATGTAGCACCACTGAAATATTATTGTACATAGTATATAATCATTATTATATATATATATATATATATATATATATATTTAATGTAATAGGTAAAAATAAAAAATATATATACCTTCCACAAAAACTGCATAATATACTTTAAAATCTTGTAATTGTCTACAGGTAGCTTTTCGAGCACCAAAATTTTTACTTTTCTAGGCTTCTTAGGTATTTCCCAGGCTGAAAATATAAAAGCCATTAAATTATGACCAATTTCATAAAAATAAGGTATACAATTCTACGCGTTTTTTACATCGATAATAAATTTTCTGCCATGAAAAACTAAAGTAATCCGTTTATGCCTAGGAGAAATAGTCGTTTCCTGGACTTCAGGATTCCAAGCATGTTAATTTTTCACTGAGACACGAGGGTAGTTTATATCTTATATAAGTATATAAATTTTAGGGATTGACCTAAGCCTAATATATATACAAACATGTATATAGTAACATCTCTTGTACATTTTAATCTAATATTATTAATTTTAATTTTATCTATGAGTTTTATTAACTAATTGGTTTAAAAAAAATTCTTCATCATGTTAGTATAATGTAACTGAATTTTATGAATAAAATAATGTCTTTAAACTAAAAAAAATATATATATATATAAGATGCACAACATAGCCCGCAAATTCTTATACCCACTAAATATGACAAATCAAGACAGCATGTTATAATTAAAAAAAAAAAAAACATTATTTCAGAAATTAATTACCTAAAAAAACAATACTAACCTTGAAATTTGCTAATTTCATCATATAAATCAAATGTCAATAATGGCTCTTCAAGGTCCCTTAAAAAAGTTTTTAATAAAACGGCGGCAATGTGTGGGTCGTTCCTGAAAGATATGACGCCACCATTGTTGCAGTCACGCTGTATTTCCTTCACAATAGCTGCGCTCGGCGAACGCCGGAATAATCCTTCAGTTTCTAAGGCTAAAATACATTGCGTTGGTATAACACCCATACACGAACATTTTTCTTAACACGAACCAGTCTTGCGTTGCGTTCAAATTTTTTTCAAAAAGATATGACAAAGTGGAGTATCAGAGATAACGTTGACTAATCACAATCTAATGGAGCGCACAATCGTATCATCTTTCGTATTACACTTTACTTTATTCACTACACCGTAGGTAAGCACTGGAGAAAGATGTATAAAAAATATTATCATAGTAGGTACGATTTAAAATTTTTTGAATAAAATTTACGAATATTAAGTAAGCACACGAAAATACGAGATATAATAGAACTGGAACTATTATAATTAACATATATGTAGCTTAAGTTATATAGCAGAATACCAAAAACCGCCTTTTAAACGGCTAGACATGAAGAATTTTGTCAGTTAACGAAGATAAATAAATCTGGAGCTCACCGTCGGGTTGTGATAAAAACTCAATGCATTGTCGCACTATCGGCGGAATTGAATCGATCATTTCCGTATTATTTTTCTTTATGAATTGTATTGATACACCAAACTGTTTTGTTGGGCATTTTAAACTGCACGGACCCTCAGCTTCTCCAAGAGATGGTTTACTGGCACTATTCATCTCTTTAGCTATTTCCGCAGCACGTGGATTTTTAGATAAGAGAATCTTGTCACATCTAAAAAATAAATTAAGATTTATACTCGTAAAAAACTCTAAAGGTACGGAAATAAACAATTTAGTGATTATACATACTCAATAACTTGTGGTGGAATGTGAACTTTGTCCAAATCTAAATACTGTTGCAATTCATGTAAATAGTTCACGTACATCATTTTCCTGCCAAACTTGACACTTATTGCTGGCCTCAGCATTTGCCATACTATTCTTATCACATTCGTTGGATGGACTAGATACAGCGTTTTAAGATTTTTCTTGTATTTTCTATCAAACGCCTTATATGCTTTCCACAACCAAGAGAATGGTGGTTTGTTTCTGCTGGAGAGCCCATAATGGAAGTATATGACACTGTAATCTTGTTCCACATACTTGTCCAATGTATGCATTAGGAACCTATTAAAAAATTAAACAGATTAAAAAAAGTTTTTTTTAACATTAAGAAAATGTAATAAACGCTTAACTCGTTAACTATTGCCATTCACTAAAGAACTACGTTAACTACGTTAAGTTAAGCTTAGTGCTGTACTTATCGAAACACGAACCTCAAGAGGAGATCAGGATGTACATCCTTAGAAAGCGGCAGGCGACACGCAGATATTACGATAATTCGACGTCCAAGTTCATCGTCTCCCACAACTTCGACTACTCCACTTCTATGTAAATCGCCAAAAACATCATAATCAAGCGAGCAAGTAGCTATCTAAAACCAATATAGAGAACCAGAATAGGATTTTAAAGAAAATCTGGTTGGAAAATTTAGCATTTTCATATTAATAGCAAAGGTAGCATTCTCTAGTTTTGGAGACCAAGACTCACTTTGGTTCGCTGCATGTATTTATAATAATATAATTGGATAAATCGTTAATTAAAGTAATCATAACCAAATAATAACATGAAAATGTCGTAACAAAAAAAAAATACACGCCGAAATGCAAACTTCCTTCCGGTTTTAATACATGACATGAAAATATGGAGTAATATATTTAGATATAGGTGTGACTATACATTATTTCATTTAATTTTATCAATTGTGTAATGTGAAAATTGTATATCAACTCAACGAAGGGTGAAAATTTCAGATAATATTTTATTATTGCAATGTACAATACATACCAATCCTACATTATCTAAAGGTTAAATGAAATACCATATTTACGATGACCTAAATCTACTGCGCTATCCCGGGAGACCTAGATTAACATATCGATCGAATGGCGTACTATGATACCGGATCATTCGAATTCAATTACTCGCACACCAAATAAATCTTAAACTATAAACTGTATAGCAACAGTGTCTCAATATATTATGATTATACAACTTTATATAAATTTAGCAACCTAGCATAAACAATAGAAAAATGTCGGTCAATGCAAATACCAAAATGCAGAAATCGTCCAGTTCTTACCTCTGAATATGATGGGGGACCCTCACCAAGTTCTTTTTCGAAGTTATCTTCTATGGTTCCATCACTACTTGAAGGTAGAAGAAATTCTTGCGATAAATCTAGTAATTCGGGTGTCAATGGAGCTAAAATACGAACTTTGAATAAAAATTCACAACCGTCAATTTTGGCGGTAGGAGAGAAATATATCCTTAACAATGATAGGATTTCACAATAACAATTACTTGTCCAAGTAGAAATGCTAAGCTAATACTAAGCTTTCCGCTCACGGAAAATTTCTTATGTTGAGAGTGACGGTGCGCTCGGCTGCACGCAGCCCACGAGTTGGGAGCTTAAGTGATTGGGAATATAACCTGGTAAACCACATCTCGGACTACGAAGGACCGTATTTCGTAGTTGCTATACCAGTGAAAGGTTTAAATGCTTACAAATTCTCAATCGAATTTCTTATATGGAGGCTCAAGGTATACTAGTCAGCACAGTTTCATACCACTTATTACTTATTTAAACACCGTTACTTACAAAATGGCGAGCGTTCCGTATCAAAAAAATGTAGTATAATGTGTATCAATTTATGGATGCAAACAAATTTTCAGATTGATCACTTGAGAAACACTAAAGTTGCCCTAGTGTTGAAATAATGGCAGGCATCTTTTTTTCGACCAATCGATATTTATATGTAAAAAGTTAATTGGGTAATCTGCTCTTTACTGGTCTAACACTAATTAAATCAGAGGAGGCACAATAGATTTAATGCGCAGATCAATTTATAGATGCAAACCAATTTTCAGATTGATCATTTGAGAAACACCAAAGTTGCCCTAGTGTTGTAATAATGGCAGGCATCTTTTTTTCAACCAATTGATATTTATATGTAAAAAGTTAATTGGGGAACCTGCTCTTTACTGGTCTAACACTAATTAAATCAGAGGAGGCACAATAGATTTAATGCGCAGATCAATTTATGGATGCAAACAAATTTTCAGATTGATCACTTGAGAAACACCAAAGTTGCCCTAGTGTAGTAATAATGGCAGGCATCTTTTTTTCGACCAATCGATATTTATATGTAAAAAGTTAATTGGGTAATCTGCTCTTTACTGGTCTAACACTAATTAAATCAGAGAAGGCACAATAGATTTAATGCGCAGATCAATTTATGGATGCAAACAAATTTTCAGATTGATCACTTGAGAAACACTAAAGTTGCCCTAGTGTTGTAATAATGGCAGGCATCTTTTTTTCGACCAATTGATATTTATATGTAAAAAGTTAATTGGGTAATCTGCTCTTTACTGGTCTAACACTAATTAAATCAGAGGAGGCACAAAAGATTATATAGATTCTTCAGATTTAACAAAAAATTTACATTAATTTATAATTTTTAAGACATATCTATAAGAAGAATGCATACATGAAACACTAAATGTATCAAATTAAACATCATAATAATTATAAATAGAAGCATCCCAGTAATAAAAAATATGGCCTAGAGTTTCTGAAAACATCTGCAGGCTAAATAGCAATGTGGAGAAGGTTCTCTATTGGGACTAGTTGATAAAATGTTCTATTTCAGAAGGCAGTTTTATACCTATAGCTAATAAATTTTAAACATATGTCTATAATATAATGTAACCAACTTCTTAGTATTAAATATTAAACATACCTAGACTTGTGGTACAAATAAGCTCAGAATCGTCAAACTCTAAATTAGGTTCGTAATCATGGTAATCGGAGAGACTCAAGTTCAAATTGGCGTCATCATCCTCACTGTCCATAATACCACTATGAGTAACTATAAAAATATAGACATTATTATTTATACACATATAAACAGTGATTCACATAGATAAAGACCTTACCTTGAAAAGCTCGAATGGGTCTTAAATTAGGCTGGTGCCCAGGCTCCATGGCATAAGGTTTTAGGCGGAATGTTCAAATGTAGATAGAATCTAAAAGATCATTATTTAAATAAAAGCAGGTAGATAATTTTACAATTAAAATAAAAGTTCGTTGGGTTGGAAAAACAATAATGATCTAATAAGTGAATACCAGTTCAGGGACAACTATTTTGCCACTAATTTAATGCACATCGACTCATTATATAATACTTTATTAATTATAAACTGCACTATTTGTTCAACTTGATATACAAAAAATCTGAATTTAGCAAAATGCAAACGCTCAACACCCAGTATTGATCACAGATTACTACATTTACACAGACAAAGAGTTTTACAGACCAAGTAGAGATGCTAACATATTATGTTACTGACAGAGTATTCTAACAGTGTACTGATCTATGAACTAAAAATAAAGCATAGAAACCGTGTACAAAAACAATGGAGGAGAAAACTGCCAAACTTTGCCACTAGTAGCGCTGGCTTCCGAATATAACCTCGAAGAGTTTATAGCTTTGAAATTACGTCTTTTTAGAGCTTTTTCCCAGAGTCATCTTATGCGTAAATCCTTAGAAAAACTGTGATTGCCATTGTAATTACAACCGATTGCTGCGCAGCGAGGTATTTTTGTAGAAAAAAAATGTTTTATCTTGTGTTATAATAATAAAGTAGGGGATTTGACCCTTGTTTTCTTTTGTTATGGGTCTAGACTCTAGCCGCTAGCGATACCAGCGCTACTAGTGGCAAAGTTTGGCAGTTCTCATCCATCCTCCATTCCTCCGACTTTTACATAAAATATGAATTTAAGGAATTGTTGTCTAAACATTATTATTTAATAAAAAGTAATCTTAGTAGAATTGTTTTATGTCGAAAATCCATATTAGTCGGAAAACAATAAAAATAATACACATTTTTATCTATTATTACCCTAATCTTGATTGAGTGTTTTGTAAACGTTTTTGCATCATCAAATTATAAAGAATTCTCAAAAAAAAAGGAATTATAGCTCTTTATTTTAAATCAAGTTATATATTAAGGACGATACTAGTCCGAAGTTTTAAGCACTATAACAAAGTATTTTTATAAAATGTAATAGCTGTTATAGAACCGCGGTACTCTGTTTAGCTTTCTCAGCGTAGATAGAGTATAGAACTAGATGAGCTTCTAAAATAACAATATTAACTAAAGAGAGAAGGCATTAACGTGAAATACTTAAGTGCGAGCGAAACAGAGTATCAGTTTTTCTGTCTCTATTTGCGTATCAGGTTTTATTTGTTTACCCACGAGCGCTTGGTGGTAAACAAAATGTCACCAATTTGCCACATTGCCACAATGTTGTCATAAATTTGTGAAACCCAAGTCAAATCCATATTAATTTAAGACTTTATCCTTATAAGAGGTGTATTTTAAGTCTCAGTCATGGTGAATTGTTGCATAATTGGCTGTAAAAGCTATAGTGAACGTAAATAACCAAACATAACCTTTCATCGGTAAGTAGCTTATTTTGTCACAACTCAGTAACTTTGTTCAAGAATTATTCATTCAAATGTGTATTTCGCAATATATTGTATAATATATATTGTCAAGAATAAGCAATCTTCAATGAATTAAAACTGTAAATACGACAATTCCAAACATATTTTTCAGTGCTAACCGACTAAATTGCGAATCATGTTACCTACGTCAGGTAGTTGCCACACTTTTCGTGTTCTTTGTAAATAGTTGGATTATAACTCGTTGGCGCTACCAGCACTTGTATAAACTTTCCACTTTTTTCACTTTTCCGAATGAACCGTTTTTAAATAATAATTGGACTGCACTCAGTCCAATTATTATTTAAAAACGGTACCGGTAGATTAAACTGGCATCCAACTCAAAACGCCCGGCATATCAAGACACTTTAAAAAAAATGTTATAACCAAATAATAAAAATAATAATAATATTGTTATAATAATTGTTATTGTTATTGTTTCTAACCTAACCAATGTAGACTGTACACTGTACACAGTGTAGTCGGTAGCCCTAGACTTCACGCACACTGCTGTGCGTGTACAACGGCGTGTGTGTATTACACACACTTCCTATAATGAACGTCTATGGTGTATTAGGTAGAACAGTTACTACGCAGCGGTTGTATAGAGTGTTTGGGTGTGGTTTAATTTAACGTAACTGATTAATATGCGTGTGGAGTGAGTGAGCACCCCCTGAATTTCTTTTTTTGGAGGTATTTCTTATAGAAAATATTACCCCACAAAATAGGGAAAAAAAATCTCATGGCAATATTAGTGGCATTATGAAGATATGTCAATCATTCGCTATCTCACACGCTGTACGCTGATGCCTGGTCTATACCATAGTCCGTCTACGTTTCTAAGTAATTAAGTTGTTTAAGGTTGGTACTTGGTTTTTGATAGGAACGTCATCTCAAACTCAAACTATTTGGTACTAGTTAACTAGTATCTCCGTGTTGGTATATTTATATACCAATTTTTTGGTACTTCATCATTTATATATTAGTCGGATAAATCATAAATGTTATTAATCAAAGCATTCGAAAATTTTAGTGATCTGCTCTTGGTCCAAATTACATCATTCAAATAAAGTATTTTACTATAATTTTAAGCTTGATTTTAAGAGGTGCAGTAGTCATGAAATATGATTTCTGTCTTAAAAAAAGTATTTATTGTTATTTTTGCTATCGTGGTGTCTGTCTCATCCAGGATTCACAAATTACCTCTTGTGGTATGTAACATTATTAAGTATTACTTTAAGTAAATTAAAATAAGCGAACGGAACATTGAAGGGTTCTTATTTTGCAGGATGATGAACGTCACTATGTTGATTTGACAACATTTGGTTTTTTCGAAGGCGGTGTTCTAGATGTACATATGATTAACTTCAAGTTGCCATCTGGTTCAGTGCTGGGCGAGGTAACATATAATGTCTTCTAATATAATTTTCATTACAATCTTAATAATTATTTAAATAATGTGGTTTACCATTAACTATAAATCATTAATTATAATCATTATAATTGCTTATATTTGTTTAAACTTTGTTCATTCTATTATTACACACAGATTGCTATTTAGTGGTTTTGTTCATAATTATAATGCATGTTTCTTTTTAGTATGGTTTTACCTTGGATAGAACTGTCAATGATGCTATTAATCCTTACTTGGAAGTACATTCGGATACATGTATTCTTAAAGGTGTAGAAAATAATGGGGGTCTTTTGTCACCACATCATCCAGCTATAGTTTTCTTGAAATTAGATTTTAAAAATCTCAGGTGAGTTTTTTCTACACTCTATACATAAAAATTTTTTGTATAGAGTTCTTGTCAAGTCAATGGAATGGGCCATTGAGATTTAAGAGGATGACTGCCAACTTTCATTAATTTAAGAAGCACAACAATACTAGTACACACTGTAAGACTACAGTGTGTACTAGTGTTACTAAAGAGTCTAGTTATCTTATTCTTGAATTGAATGTCTAAAGATAATTTCATTTTCTAAAGATGTTCAAAAAGTGAAAATCTTAGTAACTCATATGAAATTCTTATATGATAAGTAAGTAATAAATTTACTTATTTCATTTTCAGAATTAATATTACATGTGAAGGTGAAGTTACTGCATTACATCTTTACCAAAACAGGTCAATGATTCCGATAGATAGAATTAAACGTCAATCACAGTATATATTTGTAAACAGACAACGACGATCACCATTAGGTAATGTTTTATATATTTTCTATAAAATTCTGATTATTTCTAGATTTTAATGGTAATCTTTATTATAGAAACTAAGAAATCAACAGAGGCATTGGGATCTCAGTGTTCATATGCGGTTCTTCCTATCACAAAAGAAACACGAAATGGCTTTGATTATTACAACACAAGTGTAAGTTCTCTTCCATACTCAAGGGTGTTCTTTTCCTAATAGATGTTTGACTGAATTTCAATATTACAGTTTGCTATGTATGTGGCTTCAGACAAGGAAGAAGGATTGTACAACTTGTACTTCCATAACTGTCCACATCAAACAGAGCCTGCTATTAATGTTTTGGTAAATACTTTTTAATGATATTATTAATCTATATACTTGGCTTTATATCAAAGTGTTTGGTTACACACTTCTACTTCTCTGAACAACACATTTGATGCCTAATGTTTTTTTAAGCACTTACAACATAATTGTTAATATATTGAGGAATAGCAAGTGGTCTCGTAAATTCTGAAATAAAAAGAAACAAGACATTTTGATTATGGGCTTCTATTGTGATCCCTGGTTTCAGTATAAATTTAACTACATGGTAATTATTCTTCAAAGTGGTGCTGTAACCTAAACCTTGTCTTTACAGATAGAAATATATGAAAGTAATGATGGAAACTTTTTGTCAGCTGGGGAAATGCCACTTCCAGCACTATACAGCATGATGTCACTGATATTTTTCTTGTGTGCTGGCTTTTGGACATTTATTCTAAAAACAAGCCGTCACAAAGTATATAGAATACATATTATTATGTGTGTACTGGTTTACTTAAAAGCAATGTCATTGGCTTTCCATGGAATTAACTATCATTTTATACAAACAAGAGGAGAGCATGTCACAGCTTGGGCAATATTATACTACATAACACATTTGTAAGTATTCAATTGTATTATATAATGATTATAAATAAATATATTGTAAAATTTTGAATTGAATAAAATATTTGGCATGATTTTAATTTGTAGCAATTTTCTTATATACTTGCATGTATATTTCTTTGTAGATTAAAAGGTGCTGTGCTCTTTGTGACTATAATTTTAGTTGGAACTGGATGGAATTTTATTAAACACATTCTGGCAGACCGCGATAAAAAAATATTTATGATAGTCATTCCATTACAAGTATGTATATTCTAAGAAAGTTTAAGCACCATGTAACTCTATTGTAATCTATAATTACAAAATTATTTAGGTGTTTAACTGTGGGTCTAAACCATAAGAAGAAAAAACATTTAGTTTAATAGATCTTATTACTAATAAAACTGTGTAATTCTTCTGTCACCCTAAAACAATCATTAACGGTCCGATTACCGGTATAACAATACGACAAACTTAACAAGTGAATCAATCTAAGACTAGGTATCTTAATATTGGAAGGTTATTATAATATTGAAGATGAATGATGAAGATAAGTGGTATTCTTGTTTAAAAGGTGGTCGCTAACGTTGCGGAGATAATAATAGCTGAAAGTGAAGAAGGTGCGGTCGAACATAACGCGTGGAGGATTCTTTTAATGTTCGTCGATGTACTCTGTTGTGGCGCCATTATGTTCCCGGTTGTATGGTGAGTCTTATTCAACAATAATATGTATACTCTTGTCTTGTAAATGATGAAAATATTAATTTAAATAATGTCTGCTGTTGTCGAATAAAGAGTGGCGGAGAGTTTCTTGCCCCTTGATTTGGTTGAACTTCCATTTTTTTAAGTATTGGCGGTTATAAGTGTTAATACCAATATTAAAAAAAACATTCTTAGGGCCAGTTTTTTGATCCGTAGTTAAAAATGGTATAACCATTTGTTTTACTATAGTTAAATGACTAACCAGTAGTTAAATTGTAAATGCGTTTTTCGATGTCTATTTTAACTATAGTCAAACTTAAAAATTGATCAATAATCAATTTGTTGCCAGTGCAATGAACAATGACATCCCAAAAAATGTAGTATTTTTTTGTGATGAACATTCATTTAGTATGACAACACTTGACATACTGAGCGAATGAAATCCATTTTTGCCACCCTCTTCCGTTATTTGCGCTTTGAAGAGTTTGAAGTGTCAAATTAATCTAAATGACACGATATAAATAAAGTTGTTTTTCACCTTCTACGATACTAAAATATATAAATAACGATGTTCGCAAACAGCCAACGGTCAAACAAGTAAGTACAGACATTATTCGTGTTATTTATTCCGGTTTATCTTGTGTTTCGTAATAGAAAGTAATACATTTATGTTTTGTCAAAGGGACCGTACTGCTAACTTCGCCTAAGAAGAAACTGCCAAATCGATGATGCTTCTCAAGGATTACACAGTCCTAACCTGCAAAAAAACCTATCACTGCAGCAATCTACAAAAAGATGCAGCTTGGAAATCTCTGTGACGTTTTCAACTCAGATGGGTCTAGACACCGAAGTGTTAAATTAAATATACCTTTAATGAAGGTCTAGGCACATACTTATATTTATTCTTGTTTTCAGCTGTGTCCTACAACAAAAGGAAAATTATTTTAACCCTTTACACACGGATAAAAAAATTGAGTTTTTGAAACAAAAACAAATAAGAGAGCGTGATTTGTCCAATTATGCTAAGGAAGAGCATCAATGTTTTGCACAAAGAAGAGCCCCACCAAAACTCCATGCTGTATAAAGAGAAGGCACACCAAAAAGCGATGTAGCAGATGGAAGAAAGGCACAATAAATATATGTAGGAGCAAAAAGTGTTGCATCAAATTGAGATGGAATGCAAGAAGAAACAATAAGAAAATATTAAATTACTACTTTAGGGTTTCATGTAAATTTTGTAATGTTATTTTATTAAAAATGGTTTGTATTTAAGTTATAATTAAACAGTTTATTAATCAAGTCACACGTTTTATTTATAAATTCTTGTAATAAAGTAGGTAGATGCCAACTCACATATGTAATAAAAGCCTAAAAGAATATCATAGGTTCCTTAACTAATGTGTAGATGTAGTTTATTACAAGTATATACTTATAATAATTATAAGTTAATATTATAGGCAATAAAATACATATTAATTAGAATTAATATTATTTATTAATATACTTAATTATATACTGCTGCGGTTCTGTAGCTAGTAATGAAGCAAAATAGGTTTGTATGAGCTGCTGTCTATACTCTTGTTTATTGGCAGTTTAAGATCATTTCCAATTTCAGTAACAATCCAGAGTACTTCCCTTCGATAGGGGGTAACGGTGACAAAAATCTACATCATCCCAGGTTTCTAATGGCGGATGGCGTTGCCTAAATATTGTTGGACTCCTCATTAACACATTCTAATATAATATGATCGTCTTCTTCATCGTCTCATTCATTAAAGTATCTCACTATGTTTAAATTCATCATTAGATAGTAATAAACGTATTTATCATAGTTTGATTTCTTTGACAATCAGCTGTTACTATATAAATAACCAGCGGCCATCTTGTTGCGGCAACCCTCCGATACTGAGTAGTTAACTTTTTTGACTAATAGTTAAGATATTTAACCATTAGTTGAGTTAACTACGGATCAATAAACCGGCCCTTAGAGAAGTTTATTAACGATCATAATAACTTCATCCTTTCAAGATATTTAAGGAATCAAAATCTTTAAACAACAGTGCCCGGTATTGGTCAATTAGAAGCATCGCCAAATGATATCTTTGTAGAGCGGTGTTGCTTGGGCTTGAGCTTACATGACTTCTTGTCTCTTGAGTTGAATCATGGCTGGGCACCAATGGAACGACCATTATTGGTTCTTGCTATGCATCCATTTAACAAGCTTGAAGCAAATCATCAGAAAACCGTTTTTATATCTTTACTAGCGGACCCGACAGACGTTGTACTGCATGATATTTCAAGCGATTAGGATATTAAACAAAGTATGAAACTACTAACTGCAGCGCCATCTGCCGGGCTGATTTGTGAATCTAAACCATTCAGGGCTCCACCCAAACGCATACAAAAAAAATCAATAAGATCGTTCCAGCCGTTTAAGAGGAGTTCAGTGAAATACACACGTACAGTAAAATTATAGATGTATATATAAGCTATCCTATCTTTTAAGTTAGAACAAACTGCACACAGTTTGTAAATTTGATTAAAATCGGTGAAGTAGTTTAGGAGTCCATAGCGGACAAACAACGTGACGCGTAATTTATATATATTACTAGCAGACCGGCCAAGCGTTGCTGCGGCTAAGGTTTTAGTTATATTACAATGTAGTAACCTATTCTAGGAGAACACCAGTCATGGGGACCACCATGCTTTTTTGGTGGTAATGCCATTAAATTGTAGCTTATGTGAAACGTTGGTACTTTTAACACAGCGCCATCTGTTAGAATTGTGACTATCAAATAATAAACAAATATTTTGCAATAAAATAATATTGCGGGTAAAAATTGAGATGTAAGCTATCCTATCTTTTAAGTTGGATCAAACTACACATGGTGTGCAAATTTGATTGATATCGGTTCGGTAGTTTAGGAGTCCATAGCGGACAAACAACGTGACACGTAATTTATATATATTAAGATTAAGACTACAACTTATTAGTAAAAGATTTGTTTTGTAAATTGATATGTCGTACATTTTTATTTAAATTCGCAGGTCAATACACCATTTGGAAGATTCTTCGACAACAGACGGCAAGGCTGCTGTTAATTTGAGAAAGTTAAAGTTATTTAGACATTTTTACGTGATGATCTTATGCTATATTTATTTCACGAGAATTATTGTCACTATATTGGAGGTAAGAATTATGAAATATCTGCTTAACACGTAGATGAAATTATTGTTTTATAAATTGGCTCAATAAAAAAAACTGTATTTAATGAATATTTTTCACATTTTCAGAAAACAGTTCCATTCCAATATTCTTGGATCGATGAAATGTTTCGTGAGATGGCGACGTTTGTTTTCTTTGTAATGACAGGATACAAGTTCCGACCGGCCGCAGCTAATCCTTATTTCACACCGACATACGACGACGTCGAACCGAAAGTGTAATTATTCTATATTTTTAATTAAAAGAGATTTATTTATATTTAGGTAAAAATTATTCGCTTTAAATGATTTTTTATTAAACGTAATTTGTTTAATATTCATTGATTGGGACAGTCGACACTGTAACTTTTATTACTTATAATATTTTTAAAAGATACATTTATCCATTTTCGTAAGTTTGTAGCAAATAAACTCAAAAACTACTGGACTGATTACAAAAATTGTATTCCCTACATTATCCCTAAATAACGTCTCATTTATTTTCTAAATGCGAACCGTGCGAAGCCTAAACCTGGTTAGATATATTTACTTATAATTCAATGAATAAATCTGAGAATGCCCATCATAAATCCCAAATAGTTTCCAAAAAGTTAAGTTAAAACACACATTTTAAATACTTTTTAATAATTTCTCTTCTCATTTCTTATTTTTTAGGATATCAGAGATAGGAGTACTGGACGGTGTCACGAATAGAGAGAAAAGACGTGAAGATATGCAACCATTAATGCAAGAAAATTCCGAATAAATAAATGATAAGTAGATAGAACATTTGCATATAACAACCGCATTTACCGTAGATAATTTGTATCTACTTACTTGCTTATTAGATGTTTTTGTATTATACACCTACATTAATATTTGGCTATGAATTAGACATATCCCGTATAAATCCATTAAAGATTTACACTAGTTAGGTACTGTAGTCTGGTATAAACTGGGGTTTCGTAGCTGTTAGTTCTAATTTTGCAGGCTTTATATTTTATATAAATAATTACGGCCAAGTACGGATGTTTTCATTAATTTCCTTTTAAATGTAGCTCGGATTTCTGCCCTCTGCTGAAGCGCCTGCATTGTAATGCCGAATACTTGATATTTTTAAAATAATTATATTTCACGTTTTTACTCAATATCATCACGCTTCATAGCTTAATCACCTTTTACAATTAAAAATTATCGAAACCATTTTTATTTAATAACTTGGTCAGCCATAAGTCAATATGGAATATCGGTTTTGTTATCTCACAATTTACAAGATATTTTTCTATTAAATACACGTCTGTCTCGGAACCTATTACGAAAACTAAAAGCTTTGCTCTTCAGTTTCAAATGCAAAGGCCAATCGCAAAATGGGTGACTTGATTTTGTGTCGCCTTCGGGTAAAGTGCAATTGCCTTGTGTATATTTATGTAGATGTTGGATTGTGGCTTAGGCAAAAATCAACCGTTTTCTAGTGAATTTGCTACTAACCTTGGCGTCTGACACCGATTTCTTTCATTTTCATCGCCTGTAGCCCTTATAAATTCCATGTTACCAATAAGCTAAGTTTGAAATAGTCCGATTTCATACATGTCATCTTTAGCCTATAAGTTAATTGAGACTGCGGTAAGAGTGTAGTTAGGATTTCAATGGATGGACCATCACATTAGCAATAGAATTAATATGCATTTAATTTCATACATACAATAAGATGTATATTCGAGTAATTCAAAATTATATTCACGGCGACTTTTGTAGGTACTAGTAAGTGTGGGGTTACTTGTTTTAAATACACCATATTCAAATATTACACATTTAATTTTATATTTTTTTTTAGGATATATAAATTTAAGGTTTGGTTTATGAATAACCACTAGTTTCCTGTATGATTTACAGCAATAATAAATGTTGATTTAAATAACAACAAGTATAAAACATTATATATTTATGTATTAGTATGAGGTTGACGTGGAATTATCGAATTTGTCCAAGAACAATATGTATTACATATTCCGCCAAAAAATTGTGATTCAATTGGTCTCGGCATCTGTCTTAGCCAGATTTTATATAGGCGCGAAGGTTTTAAAAATTCAGTAAAAATCGTTATCTGACGACATTTAAAGCCAAAATAAAAAGAATTTTACGAATTTTCTAAAATACTTAATAGACTTGAAAATTATAATATGTAATATGTTAAATTTATATTTTGACACACCTTCGAATATTAGTTCAACAGACTATCTCGTACGTATGTATGACTTAAGATTGACACAAGATTTTATTATTCTATGCATCATTGATGGGACACATACATTATTAGTTTCAATTTAAATAGCTTCATGGGTTTTTATTTTTAAAGCCCTAGTTAAGCCATGTTAAGATTTCCCAATCTGTCTTGCACTCTATGTCATATAAAACATTGGAATTGTTAAATACTATAATAATAAATCGTCCGAAAAAAGATTTACGAAAAGCTAAAATGCAAAAGGTTAACGCTTGTTTAAAACAATGATGATAAGTATCTACTTATGAAACAAAACGACGATTTAAGTTTTTTGCTTAGTTTAGTTAAAATCTTAGCAATTTAAGGATATTATGTTGAATTTTCTGCAACAATGGTTGTAAATATTTTTTGTATGTGTAATTGTAAAAACTGTTTTATTTCACATTAAATCCTTCAAGTAGATTTCTCTCTTTTATTCTTTCAACTACCTAATTTTATACAAATATTAATTATTTTTTATTTAATTAGAATATTTAACTGTTTTAACACGTGATGTGATGCATGCTGGTGTAATGGTTGCTTACAAACATTTTAAAAGAGTGACGGAGACTTTATTGCCAGTTCTCGTCCTTGATTTGAGAACTTGCAGTTGATATATATATATATAATGGCCTTCATATGTGTACATCAAGTTACCTAGATGATTAAATTAAATATTTCCCTACGAAGTATTGATAAAACCTATTTATATTCTATTACTCCAATTTGGAAAGGAGACTAAGTCGGAGTTATTAAATATAATGTCGTCTTACTTGAAATAACCCCGAAATAATAGCTATAAAATCCAAAACGAATGTTCGGGTTCGGGGCTTCTAAAATATTGTTTTTGTCATGTAAGTACTCGTGCAATGAATGAATACATTCATAAAAAAATATATATACTACAAAACTAAAGTTAAATTGTTATTCAAATTCAACTCTACAAATCGAAAAATACACTTAAAAATCGCGCCTCTGTAAGTCGAAATTTCAGCAGTTAAATCATATGTATCTCGAAGTTCTTGTTATGTCGAAAACTCGTTAACTCGATTTTTTGCCGTTCTCTTGACATTAGAGTTATCGAGATTCCACTGTACATGTTTAATGTTTAAGAACTTTATTTCTCATTACAAAAAATGTATTTTTATTTACATGAGAAACTTAATATCGCCATCAGGTATCCCAATTTTAGTCTATTAGGCTCATTCTAATCTTATATTTAATGCCCTTTTATATTCTTCGTTTAGGGTACTTAAAATAGTTGTGTTCTTTCCTCGTCAATCTCTACCCAAGTACACCAACTATTTTATTGGGTATAATTTCAAAATTAATTCCAACCTTACAATTTGCAAAATAAACGGCACGGCGGTGTCGTAATGGTCACAAAAAATATGCACTGGACTTTACTTTTGTAATGTAAAGATTCCCGGGCCTAACCTTCCTTAGTTTTGGAATAATGCAGTTTTATTTCGGTATCAACAACGTGTATCCAATTGTTGTATAAATTATTCTTCAATGTTATAAATTTTCATGACCTTAATACAGTATTGCAGATTCATAATAATGTTTCGGACATAACTGCCTGGTTTTAAAAATAAATGTGTTGTTTAAATGTAGTCTTGTTTTCATTCGATCCATTTCTTAGAAAACCTTAGTTATAGATAATTACAATATCTATATTAGGTATAAGTACAAGTATTGCAAAAAAGGATATAAAAAAATATAATTTGTTGCCGTTTTAGTACAGTTTTGTATACATCTATTGAAATTAGCCTTACACAAGGGCAGTGATTTCTTCAAGTTCACCAGTTGGCCTACCGCCATGGACACGTGGCAGCGATCGTCAGGAAGCCCGCGACGTAAACATGCCTATTTGCACGGGTGATCTTGGCCAGATCTTGACCCATTAATACGAGAACCGATGTCAGAGCAGTGTCGCTTTATGTATTTTTAGCTGACAGGCAAGAGCGGGGTTCGAGTCTCGAGACCGCGGTGCGCGCTTACCGCCGGCCTCAGAGTATTCGGCGTCCGCGTGGCAGTACCATGACTGCTGGAAAATGACAACACGAGGAATAAGGCGGAAAAAATCTTCGCTTTCCGAAGTCAAAGTAGCTGTTATTGGAGCACCGTCTGTTGGAAAAAGTGGTACGTGCTTATTTTGGATAGTGTAGGTATATGTGAAAATTGATGACCTTAATAAATCCGGAAATTAGATCGCTTGTATGTACAGTGTGTAATTATTGGGACTTCACAACTTCAGTTGTAGTAGTTTAATTTGATTGTAAATGTATTTAATCGAATTCGTATAATGCACAAAAGTTATGGGTTAGTTTAATGTGTATGGTTTAAATATGCTTCCATTATTGACTTACATACAATGAATTAATATAAGAGTAAACTAAATTATTATATAAGTGTGGTATTTAATAATCCTACGCTTTGTAATGACATCAATGCTATTATAAAAATAAAACGATGAACTACAAGTGGTATCTCAAGGCCCTGAATATTTTCAGATTCCATTTAATGTTAAAATTTTATGCGATCGTATAACTCGTCTAATAATGATTGGCGTGTTCTGCAAAACATATTTGTTTGAAGCGTAAAGCGAATCGAGATAATTATATATTTTAATACAAATACGTTCTCTAAGATCAGTAAATTATATACATCAAAAGGGTTTATCAATAATTGTAATGTAAAGAATATTGATCATCAGTACATCTCAAGCACTTCACCAGTATTAGATTTTCTACGGTTTGCCAATTGTAGAATATGTGTTTGGTGAGAGTTACGAAATGCCTGAGTAGGCATTATTGCGAAACCAAAAGAATGTCGATAAGTAAAAATAACATTTGCAAATGCATATTTAAAAGAAGTTCTTACTTGCTTATGAATGATTACAATTCGATTACTTACGTAACATTGTATTAAGGAGTATTTTATTTATATTCGGTAAAAGTATATACAACGCTGACAGCGTTTCTTAATTTAGTATATGTATTTGAAATAGAGCATGTGACGTTTTTAACAAACCCCATCTTGCCTCTTCAAACATCAGGTTGGACTCTTGATGAGACAATACACCTTTAGAATGGATATTGCATAAAACGCCGTACATAGGTTAGATAAAAACTGGAATCTAACTTAACAATATTATTATAATAAAATATTTGACTTTCTGGCGATAATTTTTTAGAGTTCTTTGAGTTTAGAATATATTATTCAATCAGTACCTAGTCCCAATTTAAACAATATGCAATAAATTCTCCTTTAATTTATCTTTTAGTGTTTTGTGTCCCTGTTTGAATACGGTTTAAAATTTAGAATCAACAAGTTGTATATTAAAACAAGATCAAGATAATAGTAATATTTTAGCTGTTACACACAAGACTAGGCGCCCTTTCTTATTGCTCATACTAATTTCACGTATTTGAAGAGAATTGCTTGATTCGGTTTAGTTTCGCGTCTAATTTTGGAGTCAACATTGTTATTGATATACACTTTGATATTATGTATGTGGGTCAACGAGTATAAATTCAGATTCATTTGTGTTTTGCAATAGGATTACATACATCGATGTGGTTTACTCCTACGTACATTCCTATTAGATTATTTATTGTAAACTATGCTGATTTGTGTAATCGTTTTGCTACTAAAAAGGCTTAACTATACATTTTAAGGAATTTCATATAATAATCTAAGTCAACATTGGCGCTCATACAGTAAATCACGCGTTAAATTCAGTTATAAGCTCACTCAATCAAGACACGCGCGTTTACTCAGTTTGAATTTCGGGAAGATGCCTTTGAGAGCTGAGAAGGAATTGCCTTAATTAAATATCAAGCAAGCAAGCAAGAGATGTCGGCATCCGAAAATATTAGTTGTGTACAAAATACATATAGATTCAAAAAAATATCTTAAATACTCTTTATCCCATTAAACTTTCTAACCTTGATTTTCGTAAGAAAATAAATTATTTGAAAAGTTCTGTTGCTGACTGTAAAATAATTATCAGTATGTAGCCAAGAATAATATGCGTACGAAGACAATGCAATGGCACGGAAGTCGACCTTTGTTGTGCTGAAAATATCTCAGGAAATATTCAGAGGAGTATTTGCGAATGTGTTAAACGTTATTTAAACCGTTACGCATTTAGTGATTTCACATTGTTTGCGGATATTAAAAGTATAAAAGACGTACATAGTTTTTGCTCGGCCTAATAATGCTTGGATTTTTAGATAGTCTTATTGACTTTTGAAATAGAACTTGTAAATCTCTTTTTCTCTCTTTCTCTAAATGTCTATTAAAATAGAGTTAATTAGGCCTAAAAACACCTTCTGTTCTTGTTCTATTCTTCACCTGGTTGACCATATTGCGAATCCCAGAGCTTGCACTTTCTTCTCGCGCAACTCGCAACCTCACAATATTTCAAGTATTTTATATAAGTGTATTGTTGGAAAAATATATAAGTACATACTAATAATAAATGATATATTTTTCATATATATGATACTGAGATTTGGCTTCCAATCTTGTCAATTAAATAGCTCTTAGAGGATATTTTAGTCTAGCATGAGTTATTTTTGCTTCTCACCTGTCTTTTGATTTCAGAGCTTTTTAAATCTGCTAAGACTATTAATGTTACGCTTTAATCATGTTTAAGATATAAAACTAAACCTATATACAATTATGATTTTATTTAGCTAGTTATTATTATTATATTCGATTTCGGAAGCAACTAATTTCACTGTTTTTGGGCTCAGATAACTGGTAGTAAAATAAATAAATTTCCTGTTGAAATGAAATTATTTAAGTTTTTTTATATTATAGCGTACATGGATACGGTTTGTAAGTAGCCGAATAGGCCATTTAGGTTCAAACAATTATGATATAAGGTAAAAGATAGAACAACACACTCTAACGCTTTAAGCACTATTGCAAACTTACTAATTTACGAAATACATATTAAATATTAATACTAGCTGCCCCCGCGAACTTCGTTTCTCCTTAATGTGATATTACTTAACCTACCTTTTTAGTACATACCAACACGGAACATTTTGCTATGCTACCCCAGAGACTGTTCGGTTTTCCGAAATAAAAACTTTTTAGGTTGTTCTGTGAAGTTTTCTCTACATAAACCTCAGAGTTCAAGTCATAATTATCAAATAAAAAATAGGGGTTGATTGAGTGAGTGAAAATTAAGGGATGTATGTATTTTTGTATACTATATTATTAAAAAATAAAAACAATTTTTCTTTATCTAAAACATAAATTTTGGGGTGGACACCCCTTATCACTTAGGCGTTTTAAAGATAGATAGATGGTAGCCGATTCTCAGACTTACTGAATATGCATAAAAAATTTCATAAGAATCGGCCGAGCCGTTTCGGAGGAGTATGGGAACGAGTATTGTGACACGTGAATTTTATATATAGAGAGATATTATATCATAATAAGATATACGAGTATATTAGTTCAACAAAAACACAAGTACTGTTCTATTTATTTTGTTTTTATATATATTGCACTACGAACTAACGATAACTAATACCGAACTTATGATTGTGAATCTTAAATCTATTTCTCTAGATACTAATCGACTCGAGTGTCAATTGGAATCAACGGTTATGTCTTAGATTCGACATTTATTTATACTATCATGTTCCTGCTCACATTAATATAAATAAACCAGACGTTGCGCTCGAAAGACATTGAAGAATGTGGGTTTGGTAATCCTAGACACGTCAGTTTTCATGGTACCAAACAAAAATTGCGTTAGTAGTTTTCAATTATAAAAATTCTGGCTGTGCTAAAAGTTTATTTGAGTATAAAATGCCCTTATGTCTAATTTACTTCAGGGATAGTATTGACAAATTTAATAAGTCATAATCTTGTGAAATGCAAAAGCAACACTTGTCAAATGTGAAGTTTTTGAAAAGTTTTTGGTTTCGAATATTGTGGTAGGGGAGCCCACGATGCTAAATGGGGATTTACTCGAGCGTCGTAGAGACCTATTGGGATGCAAAGCTTAGATAATAAGAAGAAAAAAATGTTATATGATAAATTCCTTTTCATCGGTGGGGGAAGCGGCTATAGATAGTTAAATATGTAAAAAAAAAACTGTTGCATGGACATCCTCGAGCGCGTCAGATATTGATAGCATCTATGCCCTACGTATTTTTAATAATGTACGTATGTTAATCTGATCGTTTGCATGATGCGGGTGGTTGTATTTAAGGGTTGAAAATGAAAAAAAAAATAATTTTATCGAGCGCGTCAGATTTTCTAAGGGAGTGTTAAGTGCACCAAAAAAAAGCTCTCATTCACTAATCTGACGATTTCGATGGGACGCAAACCCACAGCCATTTTCATAATTTGCAAAAAAAAATCGCAATTTTGAAATACTCAAGCGCGTCAGATTAAGATATATGTGGTTCATCTTTATGTTCTAAACGTACTGTCTCATAATCTGACGATTATCTAGAGGGATTCGCCTGATCTGACAAAAAAAATTTAGAAAAACGGTTCACCTAAAGGGCCATCCCTGCAACTTCCCGCTAATTCCATTCCTGGGCGCTTAAAATTGATATTTTGAGCTCGCTGAGTTCAAAGAAATAAATTTCTATGCATTTGAGCTCTCCCAGCTCGAAAGTCTGATAGAAGTTTCATAGAACACTATTTTTGGAATTTTCAAACCGCAATAACATTTGAATGGATCAAGCAATTTTCACGCGGTTGGCGGCATTCGACGCAGTTTTATCATCCTCATAAGTAATTTTGCAATTTTAATTGATCGAACCACAAATTTCGGAGTAATCCCGAATAAACACTTTTTCGGGTTTCTTTCGTTCACGATATCTCTCGAACGAATCAACCGCTTTTGACCAGCTTAGTGGCGATCAACGTGGTTTTTCAAGCTCAAAGGCGGATTAGTTTTTGAAGTTGATCGATAAAGAAACCACTTTAAAAAAAAATATTTCTTAATTTTTTAAGATTTTTCAAAATTTCTCAAAATCTATCGTTTCGAATCGGTTCAAATTCACAGGAAATGTAATTTTGAGGGAAATATTTAGAACGCCGTTTAGTAGATTCCGATCGGTTTAAGGAAATGTAGGCATCACGCAGCTGCACGCATTTAACTTTATCGACGAATTTTTGTTATTTCGGCTTGCGGAAATCGTCAGATTATATATTTTTCATTATTCTTGAATTATTTCCTTCAAAATAAAAAAAAAATTAGCTACGCTCGAGAATGTCGAGATGACGTTTTTTTTTTACAACTTTGTTGCCCTCCCCTTTTTTTCCGTCACTCTCAAATTGTCAGATTAGTGGAATATACACTTTTTAGGATGTAATTAACTCACCCTACCTTAATCTGATGCGCTCGGGAATTTCTGATGGTCAATTTTTTTTTACTAATCTGATCCTGTCTCCTTCACAGGCGGCCTTATATATGGACCTCATGTTTTGTGGAGGTACTTAACCGAGTACAAGCTATCCCCCTGTATATTAATCTGCCGCGCTTTAGTAAATCCCGAAATCCCCTCTTGGGCTCCCCTACCATTGGAATGTCTATTTAAATTTTATATAAAATGATTGTTTTCTGTTATGAAAAATTTACTTTTCTTCTAGACGCGGACAATGAAACAACAACCCAGAATGTTAAAAACATAAATTATTGCAAATGTGTAATGTTTCTAATATATATGTTACTGTAAAAGTTCGAACTACGGTTAATCTTAAGATTTAAGTGTAAGTCTTAGGATTTACCGACATGAGTTGGTAAATCCTAAGACTTAATGTAAGTATTTCTGAAAATACGACGATTTTTTCGAGCTTTTACCATCCGAATTCAGTATATGCTAGGTTTTACCACTGTCAGCTGGTAGATGTTGGTTTTAGGAATAAAACAATGAGTAATTCTTAATTATTTACTTTAATGAACTATTAGACAAAACATGTACATAGTATTATAAAGGTATCATATGATATACGAAGTACAAACTAATACCAACTTATTTAAATTATTTTGAAAAAACATATAACGTATATCTCTGAATATCTCAATCTCTATCATATCTATCTAACTGAATCAGTAGTTCTCTATTCGGAATTTAACAGCGAAATACAAACATAATGCTGTAAGCATAAGCTAGTCATGTTTTGTTTTTCAACATTTACCGTGCCATTAATGTAAATCCTAAGATTTACCAACGGCATGGTGGTAAGAGTTCGAATCGCAAACCTTTTGGGACATTTACCATTAGGAATTGGTAGATCTTAGGTTTTACTGAAATATCTTAGGATTTACTGCAGTTCGAGTTTTTACAGTAACATATATATTAACCATGAACTAAGTGTTTTTAAAATAGCCCTTCACCTCCAGAGCTCAGTCCCTTCAAATTGGAACCACATACCCCCACAGAAAAAACATGATATTTGTTTTTTTTTCATTATTGTTATTTAGAATATTTGTCTTCCAGTAAGGTACAATGGCTATTCGTCTCAATTTGACTTAGACAAAACGTTACCAATATGTAGAGTTAAAGGAAAGGACACGTTCCTTTATTGGATGAAATAAATAGGATTTATGTTTAGAAAACTACGTAGTAAACATAAGATACAATTGAGGATGGTTCACAAACAGCATCTAGTGAATATTTCTAAGCGATTTAATGGTTGACAGCATATTATTAATAATAGTCGATTATGCACAACAAACAGGAGCCAAAATATACAACATAAAGTAATGGCTGCCAATTTCTGCCAACAATCTTAATATATCTAATGTTCATTTATAATTTATACTTTGTTTGCAGCCCTTACTGTACGATTCTTAACAAAGAGATATATTGGAGAATACGATCACCAACAAGGTAAATTAATATAACAACTTATCTATTTTTCATTAGTATTTATAATCAAAGACTGGTTTTGTATTGAATCACAATTATGATTCAAATGATATACATAATACATTATAATTATCTAAGGAATTGTATATCTTATGTAGTTTTGCAGTTCTTGTGCTCAGTTTATCTAATTTAATATTTTTTTCTCGCAGTGGTTGCATGGAACAGGTCTCTCGAAAGCGATAAGGCCGCCAGTTTCCCTCCTTTTTATTTAATTATTTTAATTGTAATGTATTTCTGTATTCCTGCAACGCAGTATAAATAAAAAAGAAATAACGAAAATAATACTTGACTTAATTTTCGGTTGGTTTAAAAAGTTTAGAAATATAATCTTACTTGTATGTGAATGTAGTAAGTTTCTTTAGTATAAAAATATAAATATCAAAAGAAAGTAGTTTGTGAGTGCACTAAGTAACTCCACTACTGTTCATTAATAATTTTTTTTCACGTAGGAAAGACATCGTAACCATGGCAACACACGTCTTTAGTTCAAGTTTTATAACAAGGCTCTTTGAGTGGCAGCTTGAAATGATGTTATATAAATAAAAATCTTTAACGGATTATTATAACGAAATGGAGGAACAAATTCCTATTTATATCCACTAAAGAAGTTTTATTTGAATGAGTATTCACATAACCATAGACAATACTCTCTTTTCCAGAAAGTAAATACAAACACGAAGCCCTGTTGGACGGTGAACCGATTTTGTTTGAAATACTCGACACATGTCCTAAGGTATATGAAACTTTCATTATAATTCTAATAACTAATAAATTTAAACATAAGTAAATATAAGTTTTAGTATAATAGAACTAAAAATTGTAAGAAAGTTAAATTTCATACATATTTTTTGGGTGCTATATAATTTGAAACCATAGGTAAGTGCGAACGGCGTCAATCAATAATTGATACTTATATAACCTGTATATCACCTCTATGTATATTGTTGCAATTCGATAATGTTTGAGTGATCTCTTTAGACTTTCAAGCAGGTGCGGCAAATTGTGTAAGTGTATGTAAATGTCAGTATTTCACAAATACCTTTAAAACTAAATCACATTTTTAAATTACGTACACGGAAACGTTCAAGTGTCATGAAAATCGGCTTAGTACCAATGCATTTTTACTATTCAGTTGACCGTTATTTAAAGTCGGTATAATTTGTCTTAATTACGTTTTCACGTATAGATGTAGTCATTGATAATGAATTTAACAAAACAACAGTCACTTTTAAGGACTGGCCTCAGATTTCTGTATCTGTTTCGTTATCATTTGTTTTTCTAATAGGTAAATCATAATCAGCCTTATTTTTCGGACTCACACCGTGGACTTTTTGGATCTAAAACATTTGGGTTTCCTCATGATGATTATTTTGCACTGCCGGAGTTCGAACCTATCACCTCAGACATGAGGGTCGCACGCAAATACCACTAATATTATTAATAACTATACTACTATAATTATAAACAAAAATATTATTAACGATACTCTTAAGGTATAAACATATTATTACAGAGCACTGATGAGCTACCGGGCAATGATATAGCGCAGTGGGCAGATGGTCTATTTCTCGTGTATTCAATAACTGACAGGGAATCATTTAATTATGTACGAAAGGCAAAACAGCGGCTGCAGCCGGACGTACCGCTGACTTTGGTTGGAAATAAAGCCGATATGGTGCATTTACGACAGGTGAGTGCATTTAAAATAAATAACTACAGACAAACATTTTGTGCTTGTTTACAATTATAACATCGAACTTATCCTGGCTAACGCTGAGACGTATAACCCGTCCTGTGTTTGTTTCCCAGCGAAATAGCTGTTTGTGTAGGGTTAGAAGCCTGGTCCCGTAAATATACATTGAATGAGACACAGAAATGTGTCCGTCCATTGGTGAGATACGGGATTATAGAGAAGACTGTTCGATGTTAATGAAAACTATTTATACTCGAAAAAATAACAAATGAAACTCAATTGGAAAAGGTTGTGAAATCGTTATGGGAACTTTAAGTACAGTAGAATGAATAATGGTTATTTAAATTTTTGGTATATTATTTTATATTTATATTGTTGGCTATTATAAAAGTTACATAGTAAAAACCTAAAAATCACTTTCGAATCTACGTTAATAAATGCTACAAGCATTAGTTAACAGAAACGACGTGAACCTTTTTTGGAGTCTATAAGGTCTGTCACGGTCCCTTCGGCTATTCAATTTATAAAAAATTAGGCGGTAACGGATCTTCGCTTACAATTCTTTAGACATGATCAAATGCATATTTTCAAATGTTCCAGGTAAGCCCGGAAGAGGGCGAAATCCTGGCGAAAGATTTCGAGTGTAGTTTCGCCGAAGTTGCTGCCGCAGAACAAGTGAATCAAGTTGGTGAAGTTTTCCACGAACTGTGTCGCGAAGTACTCACGCATCGTCGGAGAGCGAAGCATAGCCTGCTGGATCGGATGTTGGGCTCGAAAACTGCATACAGAGTATACTCTCGAGGGAAAAGCGACAGTGCCTTGCCAAAAGACTAGTATAATATACTAAACTAGTGTATTTTAGTAAATACTAGCTTAATTTGATGAAACGCTACACCGAGTGTCCTTAAATGTGAGGAACCATCAATTTTATTAACGGACTTTAAACGACTTCATATTCGTTCAGATTTTAATAGTTTTTATACTGATGTTCTATCCCTACGATACGAAAGAAGATGTTTGCATAGGTTTAGTGAGTACATCAGAGTATCGTTGTAGACCAATTTTTAACAAAGAACATTCATATATTATTCGTAGTCTACCTATAGAACTGTCCCTGTCTTTTAGACATAAATCATACTTTAAACTAGGGCTTGTATTACACGAGAACATGGCGGAATAACTACTATTGAAGACAGCAGAAGCCAAATGCAATCAATATTGTCATTTATTTATACAGCTTTAAGTGCGGATTGGTGGTTAACGGGACCTACAATATTTTAATTTAGAAGATTCTTATTATTATATATATCGTAGTTATGATTGTAAATATATATATGAACTGTAAAGTCATAAAGTCCGACTTCTTGCATTTGTTCGATTTTTTAGATAGCCGTGACCACACCCTTTTGATAAAGGGTGAACTCACGATGGCTTTTAGTAATATTATAATAAAATACCTTAAAATATATAGTTTACGTTATTCCTACTCAATTTGACAAATACATACTTTTAGCTTTAAAATCGTAAATAATAACGTATAGAATAAATACACATGCTATAAAAGATCGTACCTAAAACGTACAAAATGTTGGATGAGGATGTTAATTTTTTATTGTAAGCGATTTTACACTATACCGCTAAACTATTTCTGATAGATTTTGTATGGCAAAGATCAGACTGGATTTTAAACGAAATTTCCTATTTTACGACGTCTACATTTTTTATTTGTAAAGAGTCAATGATAGTTATAGTGAATTATTATATTCTATTTATAGTGAGCTTTTGTGATGGCCTTTTCGAACAAATACGTAATTTTTTAAAGTAAGATTTTAATGTGTTGTAAGTACTGGAACACTAAAAAAAATAGAAATACTTAAATATGTTTGTCAATAATTTACGCATAAAGATAAATATTCTTAAGTTTTTTGGAAATTACTTCAAGACCAGATGATTATCATAGTTAATTCTGCATATTATAACATTAATTTAAGTGTTATTTAGTAAAACATATACAGTCTCATTTTTATAAGAGATATACAATAATGATAAAATATAGTGAACTGAGTGTTTAGACTTAAATCACCCAACAAGAGAGTATACTATTTTGGTAGAATCTTTTGTACTGTAATAATTAAATAAATACAGATAAATTGAATTTTTGTGTGTGTGATGATGTTAAATCTTTATTGTAATAATAGGTGTTTAGTCATTAATAAAAATTCTATTGAAATAATTTATCTAGTTTCAAGTCCCAATATTTATTGAAATAGCTGAGTTCGATTCACAGCATTTAATTGCAATACAATATACTAAACAGCTATTAAAAATGACTAGCGGACACAAAGGCAACCCCAGAGTCAGATATAAATACGGGGTAATCGGTAAAGTGGCCCCAAGTTAAAATAAAAGCGCCTCCCTTCACAGTAGGGTGCTTCAATCCTGACCAATGGGATTGCGGCCTTTGATTTGCGTCACAGGCTTGACAGTTGTCATTATTGTAAGATTTAAAGATGGCACCGCTATTTAATTGTCTGTCCCTGCATTATTACATCGGACTGGGGTCCGATCATCCTATTGAAAGGGAATTCAATACTCGTATGTTGATGTCAGCACGATGAGTTATTATCGCTCTCCTATATCATGTTTTAGATTTTAACTAAAGATAGATTTTTGCTGAAATTAATGAATTATTATTAAAGTGGTAATGTATCGCCGATATAATTTTTTTTAATCACGCTGTTTTCACATTTAATACATTGTTCAAAATGTCTCAATACATACTTATATATTAAAGAATATTATATATTCTTATAATTTAATTGCCGAGTTGAATAATTTTTTTTCTCTGACTGCGCGTTTTCCGTCAAATCAGGGTTTTTTAAGTTAGTTTCATAAAGAGTCATCACAAAATACATTTGTTAGGCCTTGGTTATTTTCCTTCTTTTACTATATTTTTAAAAATTTCCTCTTCTGAACTGAATCTTAGTGGTGGTGGGTAAATCTTATCAGTTGCATCCAGCATATTTAACCAAAAAATTCGACGACATAAAGAAAAAATACCAATTAAATAGGGGCCAAAATAAGTCCTTATGCCCCGATGGAGGTACATGTATGTTTTTCTTTAATTGATATGTCATCAAGAAAGAAGAAAACACCTCATCGCCTTTTTCTATTGATTCCGACAAGTACAAATTAAAAAAAAAACAAATGCAGTTATTCCCAATTGATAAGGTTTTCAGCGTAACTTTTTTTCTTTACAATTTATGACATTTGTTGGCCTTTTGTTTGGTATTCCATATAAAGCGGGTCAAACTCTTTAATCAGATTTAAACTTCCCGTCGCCAACCAGTCTACTGCAAGAATCAAGAAATTATATTAAGAATTATATTTTGGGCTAGATTAGAATTTAATAAATATTGTATTTTACACAAAACTTATTTAAAAAGCCTACGTCTAAGCCTTAATTTACCTATTACTTCTTATGTTAGACTTAAATTGATTATGTTTGAAATCTACACACAATTATGTTCCATTCACAATAAAATAACCATCCTTAATAATATAATACTAACCGAACTGATAAATATCTACTAATTTATTTATTTTTGGCCTAATAAAATACTCCAAATTTTTGCTCCACAGTTTAATGATTTTTGTAAAAACTACACTCTTATAAGCCAAGTGAGCTTAAACGCCATGGGAGGGTGAGTAGCAAAATCGCCCGACAAATTTCGTAGTGCGTTGTAGTATACGGCGATCCTGCGCCGGATTCACTTCGCTTTTGGCATCCTGTCAGAGAATTACGTGCTCGCGTCACTTTCTTCTTCATTAATTAGTGAGGTTTATATTGAAACTATTGTGAAGTGTTAATATTTATAGGTAAGGTATTATCGCTTATTTGCAGTTGTTGTATTTGCGAATTTATTTGCAATTGCGAAATTAATTTATATAAGATATTATTTTAATTAAATTCAGAAAGTGTTTTAAAAAACAATATTAACGAAATTAACTTTTTCTACCCTTGTTATATCATATACACGTTGCGGTGCTTATAATTTTTATATTTGTTTGAGCCCTTAGTTTGTTTGCGTAGAATCTCAATAGTAGCCTTTTATATAAGATATTATTTTAATTAAATTCAGAAAGTGTTTTAAAAAACAATATTAACGAAATTAACTTTTTCTACCCTTGTTATATCATATACACGTTGCGGTGCTTATAATTTTTATATTTGTTTGAGCCCTTAGTTTGTTTGCGTAGAATCTCAATAGTAGCCTTTACATAATAAATCCTCTACAATAAAACCATCAAATCTAAAACTTAATTGGCAAACTGAAGACGAGACACAATTTTTTTTATTAAAAAAATATTTTAATTTTCTGTGTGTGACTGTGTATGTGTATATAAATAGAATAATATACATAAATAATAATGTATATAAATAGAATATATATTCTATAGTCCAAATTCTCGTCTGCATTTTTTATGTTTAGAGCAAATATTTGCCTTATAGCTATTATATATATATTATAGATTGTGTACGATTTAACTGTTATAACGTTTTTTAAATATATCACAAATAAGTCGAACACTGATGACTTCGATAGCTGCAAGTGCAGAGTAAGCAATATACATTGTACTTAATTTGTTTGTAATTCGATTCCACCATTATTGTTTTATTGCTTCGCTTTTAAAACGATAGATTTTATGTGAATTTGCGTTTTTACGCAGGTTTAGACACGAGGTAGCGTCGCGGTGGGTCCGCCGTAGCACACTCGTAGCTTTAAGCTACACGTTCTTGATTATATGCGGGCAAAGACAATGAAAAACTTTAGGAAATGAATACTGTTACGATGTAGTGCGCTTTGTGTGTATCTATAGTGAGATAAGATTTTTTCCATCTATTTCGTTATAATTTGTTGGCCAAAATTAAGAGCCTTGTTAAATAAATCAACCAGCAGATAGTATAAAGATTTTTTGTCCTTTTTAATGCGTATATTTTTGAGACCAATTGCAAAATTTTGAAAGCATTGAAAGAGCTAAAACAGCAGGTTTTTAAAACATCGATCTGAGTGAGTTGTTGCCCCACATATTTTTATGGTGCCACTGGCGGTATTGTTGTGTACCGGGTTGTGCAGCTCCCTCAAAAATGGTTGAGCTGCATGAGCTATTCGGGGCATCGATCTGGTTCTTTCTTCCAAAGACCAGTCCAGTAAATACTCTGCATTTGTTTACACCAATTTATTAATTTATTATTGTATTATCTGGACTATAAAAGAGACTAAGACCCCCGAGTTTGTTTCGACATTTCTTCTCAGGGCAGTCAGTTAGGAAATGTCGACTTCATCTAGTTTAGGAAGACATTGTAAAAGTGATTTATATAGTCCTACTTGCAAGAATAAACTATTTCATTTCATTTCATTTCATTAGTTTCCCTACTCTACACTAATTTACTTAGACCCTTTAAACATATGTATTTATGTTATATAGCAAAGAAGTACTTAAAATTCTTGTCATTCCTTTTTCTAAAGGTTTGTTTTAAAACTTACTGTAAATTACAAGAATAATATTACCAGTATATTACAAACGAATACACAAAAAAACAATATTATTCAAGAGTTTTATGAATAACAAGCATATGTTGTTGTTTTCGTATGCACTTGCGTATTGGTATATTTTTAGGTTTATTTTTTATACCTATCGTGGCGTTTTGCTTCGGTTTGATGAATAAGTGACCTAAATTACTTCGTCGTATTTCATGAAATTTGAGACACTGAACTAACAACGCAAGATTAGAAAAGTGTCGGTTTTCAACCTTAAATAAATAATGATTGATAATTGTATCACTATATAACTGATAATAATAATTTTTATTTATTTACACTTTGTTTATGATATAAAAATTTAACAAAATTACAAGTAAAGGAAAGGCAACTGGCGGCCTTATCGCTTTCGAGCGATCTCTTCCAGGCAACCACTGTGAGAAAAGTAAAAATAAAACGTATTATAGAAAATAATTATACTCAGCGACTCCGTATCCACAGACAAATAATAGCAAAAGTACACATACATACCTTATCTATGACAAGTACCAATATATAATTAGAAAAAGTATATAATATTATATATACTAAGTCCATCTAGCATTAGTTATACATTTACATACCTTATGATTTATGGCATATATTGTGGCAACTCACTGGGCTTTAAGCACCAATTTGATTTATTAATTGATGAATTAAACATATTTGGGCTTGGATGCCTCATACAACATTTAGTAAAAATAGATAATTCTAACAAAGTGACTTTATATTACGTTTTCTATTATGGTTAATTGTTTTCAGAGCATTTAATAGATAAATAGCTAAGCTCATATTTGAGTAGGTAGATGAAGAACCAAATATACCGCTATACTCGAGTTGTGTGATCTTTAATTTTTTAAAATCTGTAATGGAAGATTAATACATGGTTCAACTCAGGTACAACAACAACAGACGGCAATAATTGTGTGCTTTATTAGTTAAAAGAAATGTTTCACCGTGGAAAATCTTTTCCTAGTTCCGTTTTCCTTATCCTTAACTTATCTTTAAATTTTTCGTGTGAGGCCAAGACAAATTTTGACGTTAAATTTTATAATTAATATATAATGAGCTAATTTGTTAGTGTACAAATTTAGATGTCAAACCTTCCAATTTAAAAATGAACGAGTTATATAATATTAATCACACAGTAAAATAATAATAGTTAACAAACCGGGTGCATAAACTTTATTTCTACATTTTATGTTAGCGTTAAATTAAATTAAAATTAAAACCGACTATAAGCACCAGTGTTAATGTTATTAATTAATTTTCACTTGTCAACTCGTAAAGATTTTTGCTATTAATGGGTTTCGGACACGGCCATTGATAGTTAATTTTCTGTAGAAGTGATTACAATATGCGAACTAGAAATAACTCTATGTAAGTTGTATATATTTAATACATTACTGTATACATTGATTAATAATTAAAACATATTCATCAAATATGTTGGAAACTGTCATCAGCGCAAAGTCGTTATTCGGTTGGTTTCTAACACAAAACCTTTTCATCAAATGTCAATTTAATTGCGTATTTTATTCACAATTAAACATCACTTTTATATTTATATTCTAATATTCAAAGTAAAAGTTAGGTTTAAATATATGCAAATAATTATCCATAGACAAAGAATAACTAATGGTATTTATATTATATACCATGTTAAAACAAATACTATTTAAGATTATCCTTACTAAAGTACCTATACAATAAATTCAAGCCCAATGCTTTCCAAAATATTTACACAAAAGCGTTTAATAATTATGGCCATGCCGTTATATCATATAGCATAAACCACAACGACCACGTTAAGCTGCAAATGTACATACATAATATATTTAATAAATGTGTATTAACTCTTATAACAATCAAAACACGATGAAAAAGTCTCGAATAGCATGAAAAACACATTACATAGGGTAATTTTTTGCATCTCAATTTTAAAAGCAAGAAGCTACCGACTTTCCGATGTTATTATTGAAGTTGCCTTTGTTGACAACCCTCCGATGCACACCGGGCCTATTTTATCCCGACAGGATCATCCGCACCATTGTGCGCCCGTACTTACAAGGATTATCCTCGCGTAATTACCTGTTTTGCGAAACTACATAATTATGTCAAAAAAACACAACTTTAACATCTAAGTGACCGACAAACAAACAATGGGAGCGTAGGCCAGTGCTACTGTAGATGCTGTAGGTTCTTTGTTCTGTTTACGCAAACAATGCGCCGTTTATAATTGCGCTGTTTTTTGGCACTTCTAACATTTTAGAAAATTACTGGATTATGTATTAAGATTTATTTTGGCATGCCCATTTCATATTTAGATAAATGTTCCCTATTTAATTATTATCGAACAAGTACTTGAAATATACTTAAAAACAATTATTTGTTAGTGTTTCTATGGTACTCGACATAAAAGCCGTTTAATTCAACGAGAGGCCGAATAATATGTACAAAGCATGAAAGTTTTTAACTGAGTACTTCGCTTTATATCAAAAAGATGTTAGTGGTTATAAACAATTGTTCTTTATTTCTTACATTTGTTGCGATTCTGTCCTTTTTCTTGTGCTCTATGTATGAAACACAAGGGCTCTTGAGAAACCACAAGTGACTATCCACTGTTCGAGGGTTGAATTCGCACGTAATTATTAGTGTGAGAAAATTGGTGACAAGTAAACTGAAAGATGTTAAGAATATAAAGAGGATCGCTAATTTTAATTTGAGAAATGGAAGTTTGAACATATATATTTTGAAGTGGTAATTCTATTAGACGGTTAACAGCGCATTATTACGTGTTTTTAATATAGCACTGAACAGGAATTAAATATAGTTTTTTTTTATTTTCAGGGTATCATTCACAATGCATGCGATTCCGAGTACATCAAGTAAGTCAATTATTATTAATAAAATAAATATTGAATCACGATCTTCTCGCGTTTTCTAGGGATATTTGTACAATTATACTTAGATCTTATTACTGACAGATAATACCATGAAAATATATCATACATGTATAATACATCAATTGCTCGGCTAATCTTGATTAACGTCGCATCTTCATAAAACCAAATGAGTTTTACAATTTGGCCCGTATTATTGTATGATGTCCATGCACTACAATTTTGTACGTTATGTCAACTCTTTTCCGGTCCTAAACCTTTATGATAAAAATTATGATTAAAAATTATTAGATTTGTATCCCAAATGTTTATAAAGATAGATGAATCTCAGTAGATTCGGATATTTTTTCAATTAACCCGATTTTGTATATTAACACACATTTTAACAAATTAGTATATTGTGATGAGATGACGTGTCATGGCTAATTTGGGTTGAAACAAAATGGTATTCCCACGCGTGCGAGCCGCATCTGCCTCCGTTCTCACCCCATCATCCCCGCGAATTACCTGATAACGATACTAGTAAATTAATGACATGATTAGTATCCCATTTTACTATTATTAATGGACTACACTCACTACAGCCGCATTTTATACTCGATATGTAATCTAAAATTATTTCCAATTCAGATTTTCGCAAATTTAGATGGATAAATGTCAAAATTCGATCTGTCGAATTCATTTATACGAAAAACGATCCATCGATCGGTTATTTAAATGTATTGTATGAGAAATGGCTTGAAATATCAATATCTAGTAGTAAAATTGGATTGGGATTGAGTATAGAAAGCGTCCGTGGTCACTGTAATTTTATTGTTTGTCTAGTTTCGCAAATAAGATTGAATTCAACATTTATTTAATTCACCTAGAAGTAACGAATACAACTTTCGTATTATTTAATTGTAGTTTTGATAGACTGCCTATATTAAGTATATATCCTTATTTATAATTATTAAATATATTATTGTATAGTTATTTGAGTCGTGACTTAGTGCGATGATTGGGAATACATAAATAATTTTAGGGCTAGATAGAATTTTCTGTAAATGAGAATGTAAATACTATATAATATTTTGCCTGTTCAACAAACTTTTCCCTTTATAAGGATCCCTAGGACCTAACGATTAATAGTTATCTATACGTGTAGTTTGTGACCCAATGAACATTGTCACGCGATGCTGATCGTAAGGCACAGGTGACAGGTCACACGTTGGGGTTAAATTTAAACGGTTTTTTAACACACTTTAAGAATGTTAAGATATTAAGAGTACTTACAGTGTTTGAAACATATTAATCAAACGGTGTAGTAATATGAAATTATTTTGACTTTCAAATTATTAGATAGCTTTCAAGTAATAACTTATTTATTTTGTAGATAAATTAACAAGCGTTAAAATATTTTTTTTTCATCCAAGCTCTTCAAATGAATCAAATTCACATCCTGCCATTGACTGAAATTGTATATTGAATTTGAGATTATAACTGTTAATTCACTGTTCGACGCGTTTTAATTCATGGACGTTATTCGTTTTTACTCAAACTTAATCGTACTGTGTATGATTAATATTTACAATAAATACCCAAATAAATACATATTAACAGACAGAGATAAAATAAAGTTAGTCAAGTAATCTTATAACTTATGATTTTAAACTATAATTTTCCAACCCAAACATTATGGGGCGGTTTATTAAATGATGTCCAAATTCTCGTCTTCTGTTACATATAATTGTTCCCTCTATTAAGATGTCAAAGTTCCCAAGCTCTCTATATTATTGTCTATAGACAGAAAAATATTTCTTTTAAATCTTTTTACATTCAATGACTCGTTTCCTGTTTCGCAAGTGTAGGTATTCATGTGCACCGTTTATTCGGTGTCTTATTCAATCCAAGTGCCTTTGTGCCTTTTCGACTGGGGTCGTGTTTGGAGGTGTATTAGTAAAAACTTTATTATATCGTGATCTCCTTTTGCTTAATTTGCTTTGTGCCGTGGGATTCTATCTACTTGAAGGACTGTAACGTGAAGCAGGATGCCTGTATATGTCTTTGTTTACATGATTAAGGCATTTCCTTTAGTAAATTTCTTTAAAGTCCATGTCAGTTTGTGAATACAACAATAGTATTAAAGCTAAATTTTGGCTTTTAACGCCAAAACCAAAACGCAACGTACTTAATCGAAAATGCTTCGAGACGTCGCCGAAATACTAATAATAATATTAAACAATCAATGTTTCTTTAAATCAGTAATAGTTATGTACCTAATTAGATGAATTTCAGAAATTAGTACCAAGTCCTAAATAACATTCTAAAGGTAATTAAATTATTAGCAATCTAAAAGCCGTTCCCTTCCCTTAGTGTCCTAAAATAAATTAGGCCAAAGAAATCATAACTGGTTCTCAAAGTAAGACGTAATTCAATACCTCCACGTCATTTATAAATTATTAAAATGAATTATGAGTTAAGTGAAGGCGTGAATGTTATTGTGCAATTTCGGGTGGAGTTACCCTTATAAGGGCGGGGTCTGCAATAACCATAACCGAAACGCAATCCTAATGCTCTACGTTAAGAGAATTCACTTCAAAGATCATTAATTAGTATTGGATTTATTCATTTGCACCATTTCGTTACCACGAAAAAATATGTATATAATAATGAAATAACAATCGCATTTAACTAGTGTTTTAAAATACGTTAAACCATCATTTAAAAGTAAATAATTCAAATAAATTTTTGATTTATTTTATTATTCTTAAACTTGTCTTATTTCTCATGTGTGTGTGGTGTAGCACTAAACCAAAACATATGAAAATAAATAGCTCATAGTGATTTTTGTCATCTTTTCAGATAGAATATTGTATGATGTTCCGTGCGTAGTTTGTAAGGACCATTCTTCAGGCAAGCATTACGGAGTTTTTGCTTGTGATGGTTGCGCTGGCTTCTTCAAGCGTTCAGTTCGACGTGACCGCCAATACGCTTGCAAAGCTCGCTCACCTGGCGCCTGTCTGGTCGACAAAGCACATAGAAATCAATGCCGCGCTTGCCGACTTACAAAGTGTCTCAACGCTGGCATGAATAAAGATGGTACAAATTATTGTATAATATGGAATTTAAATTACTTTTATTTATATTTAATTCGGTTGATAAAATTGAAAAAAAGTTGGAAACCTTAATGGAGTTTTTTCTTTCAGCTGTGCAACATGAACGAGGACCTCGTAATTCTACTATACGACGGCAAATGGCACTTTACTTTCGAGAACCTGCCCATGATGTAGGGTTACCAACGCCACCAGCTTTAGACTTAGTCTTGACGAAACAGCAACCAAGAAGTGATGTTCTGCTACCACCCTTGCCTCCACCACCCCCACTGCACCCACTCCCTGCATTGCCATTATACCATAATCCCTACAGTTCCATCTATAGTGGAATTAATTCTTGGCCACAACCTCCACCTCCCGTTTTGCTCTCGATACCATCACCTCCTCTTTTAACCCTGCCTACATCGTCTCCAGAAGCTATAAGTGACGCCGCAGCAAAGATTGTCTTCCTTAACGTTAATTGGGTCAGATATGTGCCGGGTTTCGAGAGCTTATCCTTAACAGATAAAAGAATCTTACTTGAAGAGTCGTGGAAAGACTTATTCGTCTTGGGTCTGGCACAGTTAATGCAACCAGTTAACTTGAGATCACTGCTAATACAGGACTATCAAAAGATTGATACACAAGTTGTCGATGAGTTCCAGTTAATCCTTAGTGATTTGTATAAAATTAATGCTGATAATAATGAGTACTCTTGTTTGCGGGCGATTTCTTTATTTAATTATAGCCACCTCGCTTCTCAAAGAACAAAGAACTTTGAAGATTTAGGAGCCATGTCTTCACTCTCTAGTTTCTACCAACTTTCTCTGCAGCAGGTATATAATTCACTTTTTTTTTATTTCAAACGTTGGTCAGTTAAATAATATGACTTCTCTTGTTTCAGTATGAACTTCGAATAAACCCATTAGATATTTCCCGAGTTACGAAATTAATGCAAATACTGAGGGACATAAAAGTATTGGATAGTTCTATCGTAGAAGAGATCTTTTTTCGGCCAATGATTGGAAATAGTTCTGTGGAAAAACTAATCATAGATATGTATACGAGAAAACTATAACAAACCAAAAAATATATAAAAATGAACTACAGCGTTGTTTTTATTAAAAAGAAGACATAATAGTTATTGCAATAGCTCAAATGTGATAGCTACAGCTATTAGTTAAGATGCATTTAATAATTTTGTTGAAGTCCTTGTGGATGCGCTCGTGAAATGTAAAATTTTGCATGACGAAGCCAGCCTCCTGATGTTATATAATTTTTGGATATCTGCCAATATGAATTGGTAAACCTTGAGTTCGTGCTGTCAAACTACTTTGTAATACTTAACATTATTGACAATTATTTAGATAACAGTGTGAGTTAAGTATTGGGATATGTCATCTGAACCTAGTTACGTAAGTCCATAGCTTAGGTTTTCACAGTACCTTTACTATAAAGCTATTTTATTGTAAAAATTGGTTAAGTTTTCTAGTCAATTACTAGTATAAGGGTATTGGTAGTACTAAGAAATTAATGAAACCCCTTTAATAAGCAAACTCTGGTATACATATATATAACAAAAAAATGTATTAACTGCATAATTAATGTTCGTAACAGTTTTACTGTAAAATTTTTTAATTATAGGAATGATAATAATAATATATTTTTTTCTGTAAAGATAGAAATAGGTTATAAACCTTCCGTGCCTGACTCACGTCGTCGATTTTAATTCACGATCTTTTTATCTCAACTAACAATTGTACGTACTATATATAGTATAGTATAGTAATAATGCGTTTTGCTTAGAGCTAATAGAGCCCTTACATATTTCCAATACTTTTGTAGTAATTTAAATACAAATAATTTTTATCTGACTATATAACGTATGTCTTATGGCATTTAAGACATTCATTATTCAGTCAGTCAACCATTGGAAGCAAGGAAAATGTAATATCAATGTTTAATACTGAGATCTACTTTATTCTTACGTGCACTTAATATTATTATTATTAAAAACAAAAGAATTAAAAAGAATATTGTTAAGAATTGACCCATCCTTTCTTTAATTTTAACATAAATGTTGTCTAAGTAAAAGATTGTATACATATGTTTTAGAATTAGATTCTATAGAGACAAGCTAAGGTTTCTAATGTGGTTCCGTCCCCGGTAGAAAGTAGGGGCGGCACTAGAGCTTCCTAAAGGCAGCCTTGTTGGAACTACCCGAAAGGGGTTTAGTGGTATTGCCCATCCGATTCTCTGATCAGAGATTCTGATGTGGATAGAGCCCGCTACCTTCGAGATCAATGTGCAAATACGCATCCACCTCGGGTATAAAACAAAGGATCTGCATCGCGTCTAATTATGCGTAACTGAAACACATCTTAATATCAAATGTCCTTACGCATAATATTTTTTGCAGTGATTTCGTCGGATTTAAATGTCTGTGGGTTAAGGAAAAAGTTTTATTGAATTTAAAAACAAAACTCAAGGCTACCTTCAAGTTTATTTTCAAATTGGGTATTCTGATAAAAAAATGCGTAGGTAGGTAGGTAAGTAAGTTTTTTCAAACCTTTGTTCATGTTTACCTCGCACTGCTTAAAGAAGCCGAAACAGGTGAAAATAGGTCAGACGGTAGAGAATCTCTTCAATCTCTTTGGGTCTCAATAGGGTTAGGTCTATATGCTTTTTGGAATGGGACAAAAATATTTTATTTCATTTAGAAGCAATTACTAATTCTTTTCAAAAATTTCTTTCTTTTGGTAATGAATTGTAACATTAATCTTAATATATATATATTTCTTGTGTGCGTGTGTATGTGACTGAACTTCTCTCAAACGACTGGACCGATTTTGATGAAATTTTTTGTGTGTGTTCAAGGGGATCTGGGAATGGTTTAGATTCACAAATCAGCCCGGCAGATGGCACTGCAGTCGGTACTTTCATACTTTGCTTAATATCCTAATCGCTTTAAATATCATGCAGGACAACGTCTGTGGGGTCCACTAGTATATATATATAAATTCACATTAATGAATGTAAAAATAGTTTTACAGTGTTAGCAGGAAATATCACTATAGGTAGTTCTGAGTACAATAGACAAAAATCTGCGTATTGGATCGAATTTTGCACTAGTGTCGCCTCTTTAAATCACATCTTGACAATTCAAACAGGAAACATCTATCAAGGTATCGTTCAATGTTTTACGTAACATTGAGGTTAGGACGCACTACACCACTTCCATCCATATGTATCTATCCCGTGGCTACAATTTACGATTTTACTAATATAGTAAATAGAGTAAAACTCTTATATTTCTTGGATCAAAACATCCAGTACTCTCAAAGAGATTTAACAAAGCTTATTCCTTGATCATATTTTTTTATTAGAAACCGTTAGCGTTATTATAAAATGTTGACACTAAATGAAGAATTTATTATTATAAGTACATTATTATTTTGTAAGTATTATAGTTCAGTGTATATTAAAACTGTAAATATGATTAAAAGCATTTAAAATATCTGTATCTTTTAATTATTTACTTTTTAAATTAAAATAAATGCATTCTTTATTGTATATTAATGTATACTTTTATACCCAAATAAACATAATGGATTTATTCCATATTTTTTTCAAACTTCTATTTTAATTACTTAATCTTATGAGGCTTTATGAATATGTAGTAATTGATTTAGAAATAATATTTCATTTATGGCTTATTACTTCGTATTATACTAACTAATAACGACGTACTATTTATTATTTGAAATACCTAACTGATATTATATAACTTTTTGATAGATTCTTTTTAATTACATAACATATTTTGACTTTATAATTTTATTAAAAGTAGGTATTTTTTTTAAATAGGGAATTTTTCTTCTTCTTTCAATAAACAAAATATAACTACGGGCACATCACTCCTTTGCACTGACAATATGTGTGCTGCATCTGTATTGTGCCTAAATCCCCGATTAATCTCCAACTTTTATAAGCTTTTGTTAACCTCCTTTCATAATTTTTTTGTATTACCCTTGTTTGCCAACAATGGTCCTAGTACAAACATTCTATTTGTACTCGTAAATCGTTGCAATACAGCTGCTTTTGGAAAATCACACCGACTTTCTAAAGTCATTGGACTTTTTGCCTTAATAACGGTACAACAGGATTGACTTCGCAATAAATTGAACTTAGTAGGTGAGCCCGCATTAAGTTGCAGAGTTTAGTCTTTCGGTCACGTCAGTCAATTTTTGTATTGTCAATTTGACATAATAGCGGTGCCATCCGCACGGATTTATTGGTTGAAACTTGATGAAACTTCCTCGGCTTTTGAATAAATAGTTACGCTCTCCCTTTTATACTTGAAGCCGGTTGGGCAATGGAAAGAGATAGAAGTTAAAAAAATTGAAAAGCCTACTTATCTAAATATGGCTCGATTATTGAGTGAATTTAATAGAGAATAATAGAGTGACAGTCCTTTATATGTTCGTCACATTATGGGGTTTAACTACGTGACGATGTTTCTTAATATTTGCTTATAATACGGTTAAGTCACGTATTATAAAAAAATTGTTACTGTCAGTTTCGTTCAGCTTTTTTTTTAATAATATGTCAGCGGCAAACATCTCAATTTCAAACTATGGCTAATTAATTATAAGCAATAACTAAAATTATGATTTCTTCTCACTGCCAAATCACCCTCGTTTAAATTCACTCGAAAATTCGTTAGCACTTACTTCGTAAAAAAGTACGTAGGTACTTATAAGGCCAAGGAGTTTCCTTTCTTCGCATTATTCAAATATTGGTATTGAAGCTCTTTTACATTGTCTTAAAGACTAGTGAAACTGTGGCTCGTTTGGTTATTGGTTTATTCATTGTTTGTTCAGGCTGGACTTGCATGAGATTTTCTCAGGTGGATGGCTCGACGGAAAATTACACAAATATTATCTTAATATATTTTCTTCGTAACTTACTACTGGAAAAATACGATTTTTGTACTTAGGTTTAATCAATTTAAAATTAATTGCAATTAATTTACACTCGCAAATACTAGATTTACTCACGCAACTTTGTAATTAGTCCTGCGTACAATTTCACCGTAACAGTGGCTACATGATTAAACCCTTTGGATATACTAGAAAGAACAGTCCATGATCTGAGCGGCGGATGGAATCGCCTCAATTTCTTCGGAGTTGGAAATGGTATGGTCTCTTCCAAGTCATGGACTGTTAATTAGTTTTCGGGTCATAATAGTGATGCCATGTTTCGTCCATAATTATGAATCGAGCCAAAAATCAGTCAATATCCTGTTCTAATAAACACAAACAGCTTTGTGTTTTTTTTGCCTCGTTTGATTTTGTGCGACAGAAACCCAGCTGACAGTTTTTAATACCCAAATGGTGTACTTATAATAATAAGAAGACTTTCTATAGAAATTTTCATTGCTTCTGCAATATAACAAAAAGTCCGCCAACGATCCGCCAAGACAATGTTTTCAACCTTTTTATGAATTTGTTAAATTCACTATCTATGTAAGGGGTCCACATCATAACGTCGTCAAAGGAAGTTCTTCCTCGCTTGAACTCAGCATATCAATGCCGCGCAATCGTAGAATATTCCAGTCTTGATTTACCAGCTCCTTTGTAGAATTTTTCAAGCAGAGGTATTTTATTGCCGCGCGAACTTAAATTTTATGAGTATTAATATTAATTTAAAACGATACGACGCAAACAAATGACTTCTATTTTTAAAAACAAAAGAGAATTGATTGTTTTATTTATTATACTTATTATATTTTGAGTCTTTTGTCACAGGTATGTGGGACTCGACTCATTCCAGGTTAATTAGAGAATCGGGTGAGCTAAACCCACAGAAACCACCTAGGGTAGTACCAAAACGCCCGCATCAAAGTGGCCCTCGGGGTTTCTCATTCTACAGGGACATAACCGTATATACCATAAAAGGTATAACCATATGACGTCACAGAGTGGCTGCATGTGTTTCTTTTCATAGAAATAACTTTGGCGCTAAGTCGGTGTTTAAGTCAGGACCTTAGCTGTGGGAACTGGGAACCACACACTACTCTAATCCTACGACACTAATATAAACGGAAGAAGTTGTTAGGTTTAATTGCTTCACCCAAATGGTAACATATTATAGTTATACTTATTTTTTCGTTGTACTTATATTTTCGTTTCTGTTTTGTTTTGGTGATCATTTTTTTTCATAGAGGCAGGTTGGTTCAGGCTTCTGTGGCTGACACACGCTGTCGGCTTATTGGGTCTAAGGCATGCCATTTTCCTTTACCGTACCAACGTGTTTAATATACATAGACAGAAATGCCATTGATTGTGTATAATACTATCCCCGTTGGGGTATCTCACGGATGAGTCACTAGTCCAACACTGCACTTATCCAAATGGTAAGTAATTATTTATAATAACATATCAACAACAAATAAACCATAGGTAAAGAAATATCCTCAATGCATAACGAAAAAATATTGCGCTTTTAAATGCACAATGGCCTAGTGATAATGTTAAAACCTACCCTTTATTTCAATCGCTTCTATTGTGTAAAATATACGAATATAAATATACGAAAATCCATTCAGTAGTTATTCGTTTAATCTCATACAGAGACTTTGGCGGTAATTTATATATTTTACTAGCTGACATCGCAAACGTCGTTTTTGCCATATATAGTGAAAATTAGGGGTTGTATGTATTTTTTAATGCTGTATCATAATAAAATAAAATAAATAAAATTATCTAAAAATTAAAAGGAAAAAATTTAGGGGTGGACTACCCTTAACATTTAGGGGGATGAAAAATAGATGTTGTCCGATTCTCAGACATACCCAATATGCACACAAAATTTCATGAGAATCGGTCAAGCCGTTTCGGAGGAGTTTAACTACAAACACGCGACACGAGAGTTTTATACATTAGATGTTACTCATAACTTAATAATAAGGTACTGTGATGGTACCGAAGTACCCAACTGTTATTATTCTGTTATCTGTAGAAAGGTAGGTACTAAGTAGCACCATTTCAAGTTGGCGTAAAATATTAAATAATGCTACTAAGTAGGGATGTGACAAAATAATCGATAATTAAAAAAATCGATTTTAATCGATTTTTTAAAAAGTAAAAATCGATTTTTTTACCCGATTTTTATATTTAAAATAATCGATTAATAATCGATTATTTTTATAATTGAAAATCAGTCATAATCGATTTTTTATCTGCCACCTCCCGACATTATGTCTGGTCTTTTATAACCCGGACCTCGAACTATTAGGGATATTCGATACACAACGACGTTTACAATGCGATACATTGAATCCGATTCTTTGAAGATGTATTGATATACTCGATACATTGATTTTTTTTTGTAAAACATCAAAAGGATGATAAAAGAAGTTAATTTTACAAAAACTCAAGTTTGAATGGAACACTATAATTTAAAAGTAAAATAAATTTATTCAGCAGCACAAGACTACATACAATTAAAAAGACAACAAAAATACTGCAATGTGCTACTGAAAAGGAATACACTCAGCATTTATCAAAATCTATCAAAACGAGATTAAGTTAATTTCGATTTTGATTATTCTTAAACGTTAATTTGTGTTTATAATTTCTATTGTTTATTTTTAATTTAAAAAACTATGAAAAATAAAATATTTAGGGTGTTTATTTTGAAATTAATTCAAAAATTAGGAAAAAATCGATTAATAAAAAAAAATCGATTATTTATTAATCGATAATTCATGCTACAAAAATAATCGATTAATAAAAAATCGATTTTTTATGCAGAAAGTCACATCCCTACTGACAGTGCATAAACTTCACCGTGCTTGCTTATTTTCACCATTGTTTACGATAAAAGTATTAAATTACTTACGTAACGTTAAGTTTAAGAGTTTGTATGAACTTATTTATTGTACTTTATAATTTAGTTTAATATAATATATTTTTGCTTTATCTATGTTTTTATTATGCGAGGAGTTTCGAGTTCAACGTTGTTTTCATTTTTCATCGTACTATGCAGTGGCATAATATATTCATTTGAAAGAACTACAGACAGGCTGTTAAAATTCTTATATGAAAACAAAACAAATTTTATGTAATTTTGTGCAAAAAAAGGAAACTCTAACAACAAAAATAAATAGCTATTTTCCCTAAAATTCTTTTGTCGGACCTGGATTATCTTGGTTAAATTTCTGGGAAAACACAGATACTGTTTTTGTTGTTTGAGTTTCCTTTTTCGCACAAAATTACATAAAAATTTTAGAATTTTGTTAGGGAGAAAATTTAGAGTTTCGTTTTCATGTTAAGCGGGGCCATAGATGGACCGCATGTTGCAGCCGATACCGACTGCTCTAAGCGGTCGCCGAACGGCGATCTGCAGTTTCCATACTATATTCATATTCGCAATACACGGACCGCTCGAGCAGTTCCTGAGCAAACCGCATATTGCAGTCGGTATCGGCTGCAACATGCGGTCCATCTATGGCCCGCTTTAAAATCTCTTAATAATAAAGTATCCATGAAATAGACAAGCTGCTTTATAGGTTAGCAAAATAAAAGAAGTTTTGACTATGATACATGTACTAATAGCAATTAATCTTATCATTCTACTAAAATAACATAAAATAGAAAACTATAACTACAGCTCAGCTATAAATAAATACATCAGTCTATTAAATCAAATTGATCAAGAAATGTTTGATCAACACCCAAAGCGGCGCCCAAACTCTCGCGGGTATTCTTTTGCACATCACTCTCAAAGGATATGCGACTTTCCTCAGTAAATGACAAGCTAGGGCTTATTAAAACTGGCAAAATTGATCTCATAACTTTCTCCTCTTCAATACATTTCTCTTCCTGTTCAATGAAGCTCTCTTTTGTTGGTATTACACTAGCTCTGACTTTTTTAAACCGATTTATAATTTTTTCAATGGAACTTGTTTTTTTAATCTTATGTGTGTTCATCTTTGGAGTGCCCATACATTCAATGCTTTGTCGTGCTGATGATGTTGTTTCCTTACTTAAATCTTTTAAATCTAAATCTACATTAGATATTATAAGTTTAATTGTACTCTCAGCATTAGCAATGCCCGGTGTGCTAAAGTTACTGTTATTATCCAACATAGATATGCCAGATAGTTCTAAAGGACTATGTTCCTTCATAATAGATAGTTTACTCCCTCTTGTCCTTGGTATTGATCGCCTTTCTCTGTTTTCATAAAGATTCGGAGATGAATAACTCCGTGTTAAAACACAACTCTCTACTGAGACTCCTGAGTCATAATTGAGTGCTGTTGATTTAGCACTTGCCGGTCTTTCATTGCTATATTTATATTTTTTTGAACTACTGGTTTTCTTTGTAGAAAATAGTCTCTGAATCTGCTGTTTTGTAAAGCCAGATGCACAATCTGCTATGGTTTCATTACTTTTTACATGTGAGATCACAGATAGATTACTGTTTGAACTAATTTGATTATTAGGATTTACGTTGAATGATAAAAGGCTTCTCATAAAGTCATCCTTTGGTGGGTGGAGACTCATAATCAATGGCTGTTTCATGTTACTGACTGTTCTGTAAAAGCTGAATTTCTGTTTTGATGCAACGAGGGGTGTAAATGTTTCAAAGAAAGCATGACAGTCTGTGCCAGCTTTTAAATTTGATAAGGATGGCCCAGTGAGAGTCCCTGGATATATGTCTCCAAAACCACCATTAGTTAGTGGCAATATGACAGATGGTGGAGAATACTGAAAACAATTAAAGCAGAATCAAAATTATTGTATTATGAACCTAAAAAGACAAATGAACCAGGAATTGTTTATTTCTCTCATTACTTAAATGCAATTTTTTTTTAATTAAAAACTTATTTTTTCATTGATGGATGGATTGAAAGTTTCAATAACACTCAGCAGTAAAAAAATATGTATCATATTCATGTTCATGTTAAATTAATTAATTTATATTATAATGATAATTAATAGGTTTGCTATTTTTAAATCATTAACTAAAATTTGTGATTAATAGTAAACAAGGCATCTCTCAAGGCTGACATAAAATTGTAACAGCAGGTCAATTAATTACAAACCAAAAGGTGTAGTAAATATTATACATACCTCAATTTTTTCTTCAGCATTTGATATTCTTTCTATAACAGATTGTAGTCCAAGAGAAACTTCATGGTAATTTATTGAACCTGTTTGTAAATACTTAGTAAAGTCATAAATTTGATTATCAACTTGAATATTTTTTAAAATAAACTGTATTGCTATTGTGAAAGCCCTTATTAAATTTGGAAAATTAAGTATTCCATTTAAATCTAAATTCTTTAAAACACAGGCTTGTTCCACATTTACTTGACGCTCAAGATCTTGTGTATTGATTTTATCAGATTTGTTATAAGATATCATGTAGTTACATTTTTCAGTTTGACCTGTATACCTCATAACAACAGTCTTTGTTAGTTCTGATGTTTTTTGACATAAGTCTAGAAATGGGATATCTTTTCTATACTGTTCTTCTAATTGGATAATTTTACTATCAGTGTATGCTAACCAATCGTCAAAAACTGAACAGTCTTCCTTTACATTTTTTATGTTTAAAATGATTTGCTTAGTTGTCTCATTTGGTTTGTCATGTTCAATATAGTTATCTACTAAATTGTTGATAAAATTCTGAGCTTCTGTAAGTTTCTTCTCATTTTCCACAATTTTAGTACGTAATTTACTGGCAATGTCTATTGTGATTTTTTGTTTATTAAGATGATTAGATAATTTAAACTGGATAGCTTGTGTTTTCTGCTCAACCAAGTTTACAAAAGTATCTTTGTCACATCCCTTTTGTTTAATTTCATCAACCTCCTTGATTATGGTCTTTTGACAATCATTACCAAGATGAGTAATAACTGTTCTTATTGCTAAGGAGGACATTTGAAATATTAACACAGTAACTTTATGACAACTGGGATTAACAAAATACGATGAGATAACTGGTGTTAACCCTTTATTGCTACAATTACACACAAATATGTATAACTCATTCCTATAGGCTCTTTCAGCTTTAGAATCGTATAAAGGCCACGTCAATTTAGAAGCACCTTGTGCATCAAGAATTGTAACAAGATAATAAGATAAATGGTTGAATAAGTTTTGTGTAGGTTTGTCAAGAGAATTTTCTTTAAACAGAAGTCGGGACAACTCTGGTTGCATAGGCCTCGCTTTCGATAACATACACAAGTTTAAAAACGTCTCTTTTCTATAATGAGCTGTTCGCATTTCACGCTGTGATCTAGACATTTTATTTTTTTTAAACTTCACTACACCATAAGATTAATTAATAATAAATAAACAATTTAAAACAGTACACTTCTATGTGTGCATGATTCAAACAACTACTCACTTCACTTCACTTTATTTATAATGGCGACATCTGTGTAAATCACAATTCCGCCAATGTCACGTTCTAAGTCTTCACACAGTGAGGATAGATTTGATAATTTTGATAGATTGAATTTTATCTAAGTAGAGTTACCCAAAACAAAAATGACATCACAATAAATACAACACACACAGACATCTAATAATATATACAAGAGGTTAACATTTTACTACAAGGTATGGAGGGGAGAATCTTATTTATAACTTTAATTTATTAACAGAAATAAATTTCCCTAAAATATTGACGATCGAGCTGGATGGGAGGGAAAGTAGGGAGTTAAGGTTACATGGACGAGGGAAATCTGAAGAAAGATGGTCAAATAACGAGTCATTAATTAAAGAACAGTTAAAAAATATGTGGTCTGTCGAGCCCTCGTCCATACCACACTCACAGAGAGAACTGTCTTTAATTTTAATTTTGGCTAGATGAACGGGAGTACAAGCGTGCCCTATACGAAGACGGCAGATTATAGACGTGACCTTTTTTGTTTAAAAACTTATATTTAAAAAACCACGGCGAAGAAGGGATTGAATACTGAATATTAGCATAGTGCCTGCCAGTTTTTACTTTAGAAGATTGCCAATCAATAGTCCAGGATTTTAAAAGGTGGGAGTACGCAAGAGCTGATAGGTCGTGGGCCGAGATGTTGGGATGCTGACAAGATCCGCAGAAAATAGCACCTTTTGCACAAGAGTCAGCAGTTTTATTACCCGCTATACCACAATGACTAGGTATCCACAAAAGTACAATATGAATATCTTTTTACTACACCTAAACAAAGCTTCTCTTATTTTTAGAATAGTATTATGTTTTTTTTTAGACCTGAATGGATTGGAAAGAATTGCCTGTAAACAGCTGCGAGAATCGGAAAAAATTGTAACTTTATTTAGGTTGTGGGACTCAGCATACAAAACCGCTTCTAGGATTGCAAAAGCTTCACCTGAAAAAACGGAGGTCAATGGAGGAAGTTTAAAGCTCAATACTGTTTTGAATGAAGGAACCCATACAGCCGCACCGATGTACTCATTATTGGGAATCTTGGAAGCATCAGTATACATCGGTAACCAACCCTGCCAGTCTTTTGAAATTTTTTCCAGAAAACAAGTGGAAGCTTGGGCGGATTTTTTTTTCAATTCCAAAGTTTAAAATTATTTTAGGATCAAAAATGAGGGATTCATAACTATTTAAAAACAAGGGATTACTAGGGAAACTTTCAATAGGATTAGGAAGACGAGAAAGTTTATTAAAACTATATAACAGGCATGGAACATTACCTGTACTAGATGGCATCGTGAGATTAGATAAGCGACGTAATTTGGACAAGATGGAATGTGAAGAGTATTGAAGGACTTTGATGAAGAAGCGGTCACTTAAAAATTGTCTACGTAAATACAGGGGGGGGTCAACACATTCTATTTGGAGAGCATTGATGGGAGAGGATTTCATAGCACCAAGGATGATGCGTAAAGATTTCGATTGAATTTTGGAAATTTTATCAAGGGCTTGCTTGTTGCCAGGATCTAAAAGGAAGGTGCCATAATCAAAATGACTTCGTACCACAGCATTGTATAAAAGCTTTTGCGAGTAGGGGTGTGCTCCCCACCTCACACCAGATAATGAACGGAGAACATTAACACCCTTCTCACTTTTTTTAATCACATGGTTAAAATGAGGAACACCGTTTAACTTTGAGTCTAAAATAAGGCCTAAAAATTTTACTTGCTTACAACACGATACCAAGGACCCTTTATATGAAATGTTACACCGTGGAACCTTGTATTTTGTAGTAAATGTGACTGCCGAACATTTGGGCACAGAAATAGAGAGACCATGATCATTTAACCAATCACCCAAATAATCCAAAGCCGAATTTAGGCGTGATGATGCCTCTTCAATAGAATTTGATGAAAAGTATAAGGCTACATCGTCCGCGTATTGAAGAATCTGACAGAAGGAATTCACAACAAGCTCCAGGTCATAGGTGTAAATGTTGTACAGAAGGGGACTCAAAACAGAACCTTGAGGTAAGCCCCTCCAAATAGATCTAGGAGACAGCTCCGTATTTTGAGATCTTATAATAATATAACGATTCGAAATTGCATTGCAAACAAAACGTACCAACTTCTCAGGAATACTCAGCTGAAGCATTTTTTGCCTGAGCACTGGATCCAGCACGTGGTCATACGCAGATGCGATATCCAAGAAAACACCCACCAGGAACTGTTTCTTTTTAAAAGCAATGCGAATGTCGGTCGTTATTATACTTAGGCTATCCATCGTACTTAAGCCTTTCCTGAAACCAAACTGGGATTTTGCAAAGATATTGTTACTTTCACAAAACCATTCTAAACGAACTTTAATCAAATGTTCCATAATTTTTAAAAGGGTAGAAGACAAAGCAATTGGTCTGTATGAAGAGAGATCTGATGGATCTTTGCCAGGTTTTAGAAGCGGAATGACGATTTGTCTATTCCACGATTCAGGAATAATTCCAAGATCGAAAAAACAGTTTACTAAATCTAGAAAGTACCTCTTAGTGCCTAATGAAGAATTTATGAGGAATGAGTAAGGGATTCCATCTTCTCCAGGGGAAGAGTCAGAGAGACCATTTAATGCTTTGTTAAGTTCTTCCAAGGAGAATTGACAATCTAGACTGTTTGAAGAGGGGATGTAAGAATTATACTTATAAGGAAGACAATCATAAAAAGGGACTGATGGAGGAGCCAATTTGTCGGCAAAGGAGGTAATCCAGCTAGACGGATCATTAAAAGGGACATCATAAGAATTGAGGGAACAACGGAATCTTCTGATCTGCCTCCAAACAACAGACGAAGGGGTACCAGGGCACATGCTCTCACAGAACTTATGCCAACCAAGACGTTTCTTATTATTAAGAAGTCTGCGAGCAGCTGCAGAAGCTTGTTGGTAGACTAAAAAATTTTCCAAGGTCATGCAAAGACTGTATGACCTTTCTGCCGTTTTTCTTTTTTGAATCATCTCAGTACATTCGGAATCCCACCAAGGAGGAGAAATTTTCCTTTGTGTAGAAGATTTCAGTGGAATATGTAAACTGGCAGATGAGGTGAGGGAGTTGACAAAATCTTTGTATGAAGATAGGCAGTTTTCAACAGAAACTGCGGGGAGCGCAGCTATCTTAGAGTCAATAGAAGATGAAAAGTCTGCCCAATTGGCCTGATTCAGTTTAAATTTTAAAAGAGGGGAAGGGCGAGTAACGCTCCTTAAATTGGTTGGGAGATCAATTAAAATGGGGAAGTGGTCACTTATGTTTATATCATCGAGTAAATCTAGTAGAAGGGACCCAAAAGAATCTGAGGAATGACAACCCCAAGAAACATGGTGGGCATTGAAATCACCCAACATGACAACAGGAGGAGGAACCGAAAGGATAATAGAACGTATATCAGAAATGAGGTCGATATGGGGGTGGGGAATATAAACAGAAATAAACGAGATATTAAAAGCTCTCATAGCAACAGCATTAATACCATCACAATGAGGAAGAGATAATGAGTGGAAGGTGAGGGATCGGCTGACCAAAAAGGCACAGCCAGCATAGCCATCATCCCTGTCATCTCGGAGACATCGATACCCAGAAACCCTAAAGCGGGAACCCGGCAATAACCAAGTCTCCGAAATGGCTAGAATAGATGGAGCGAATTTATTGATGAGAAAGGTTAATTCGGATTTTTTACTGCGAATACTGTTACAATTCCACTGGATTACTAGATTCGCCATTTTTGGTGACGAATGAGTGGAGCAAATTAATTTTTTGGGCAACGTGGGACGGTATGGGGATGTCATCATATTTAGATAGCATGTTACAAGTGACTGCCCATAAGCAGTCAAGAAGATTTTCATTTGGGGAGACTTCATTGTTGATAAGGGTTGGGGAGCTTACGGCACAACCATTGGGTAAAGAGGAGGGTAAATTGGAAGTAATGGCCTCATGGGCCGCCTTATCAAAGGATTTTCCTGATGTTGGCCTAGAGCGAGGAGGGAGAAATACCGTTTTCCTGTATGATGTTGTCTGACGGGAAACTTGGGAAGGTATAATAATGGGCTGGGATAAACTGAATGAAGGGGAGGGCGTTGTTTTAACAGAGTCTGCAAAAGTTTTGCCACTGATAGGTCTAAACCGAGCCGATGCTTCGAGATAAGAAATGCTCTCCTGAGACATACAACTCTTTATGTTTTTTTGTCGATTATGCTCAGGACAAGCTTTGTTGGTCGCATAGTGCGAGGCAGTACAAAATAAACATAGTGACTCTGATTCAGGGATATTACAATCATCACCAGAATGGGCTAGTGTACAACGAAAACACCTAGGCTTAGATCGGCATTGTGATTTTACGTGCCCAAACCTACAACAGTTTCGACACTGGATTGTTGGAAGTTGGTACGTTTCAACGTGGAGGGAACTATGACAAGAGAATATTCTATCCGGAAGGGTTTGACCTTGAAAAGTTAGAACAACGGTTTGCGTTGGGATCCAATTAATTTGACCATCGGAGTTTGTCTTGCGGTTTAGGCGTCTGGCCTTGAGGACTATACCAATACCTTCAGGAATTTCCAAGGTTTCGACAAATTCTTGCATCGACCAATCATCTGGGACACCTCTCACAAGACCCATACGGGAAACATTGTAATTAGGAATCACTTCAATCAAATTAGGGTCTCACTCTCTTAACACCATCACGAACAATGTTACTTACTTTATTTTTTACCAAGAAGTGACCAAATTTAATTGGGCGGATTGATGTACCGGCGGATGGGTCAGATTCAGGGCAAGAAACATGGACTAAAAAAGGGCCCTTGTCATTGACAAGGTATGACTTGG